ATATATATATAGCAACCTGTAGTTTAGTTCTTTAATCGGATGATTCTGTCCAAAAAAAAAAGGAACCTCAGGAAAAGAGAGTAAGAATATCTGCTTGTAAAAAAAAAAGTCAAGAGACAGCGCTATAATAACGCGTAGCCTGTTTCATAATAGTACGTTGGTGGGGGATCTGACCAGGGGGTTTTATATATTCGGGTCACGATGACGACTTGATATATTGAACTAGACTAAATAACCGCTGGTCTCTAAAATGCTTAGAGTTGGGTTTCTCCCACCTTCTTTATACAGTGCGTGCGTCTGGGGGGACAGTATGTCAAAGAGCAGCCCCTACTGGCCAAGTGTGCCATTCAGATTCTTAGTCTGACGCGGGCTTCAGTCGTTCTTCTGCATCTGTGATAGACAGGTCCCCGTTGGCGGCGTCTATCCGTAACAGTTGTATTAATATACTATTCTATATATATTACTCAGCATATAGCTTTCTTCTGTATATGGCAGGGATCTATTCTGTATTTAATATTGGTTCCATCTGCATATCTGGGATAACCGCACAATGCCCCATAATCACAACGAGGAACCCGAAATTGTCCACAGTGAGGGATCTGGAGTGGCTTTTAGCGAGCTTACCAAGGAAGGGTATTACTAGAACGAGATGCTTCTTCGTTAGATCATCTGATCGAGCAAAACTAAATAATATATGAAATTCCCACGATCAACTCTCAGATACATACTGTCGAGACTCCGTCCATCCTCCTTTTTTCTGGTTAATTCATCCATTCGAAGGAACAAAACTATGAAGTGAAATATGGGAAACATTAAGCTCAAAAAATACGTACCTACTGTCAAAACGCGGTCCGTCCCCTTTGGTTAATCACGGTCTGGACGGTCCTTTTGAAACGCACCTGTTTGTATATTGAATATTGCGTCGTCGATTCTTAGGACAAGAGTTCTATAGTAATCGCTTTAACTCAGATGGCTAGAGAGGCCTTAAGGAACTTACCTCCTGCGATTGGCTACGTCTCTGAGTATATACCTTGAAGATTTAAACGAATCAATTCAAATTTTCCTCCTTTGACTCAGAGACTTGCGTGTATTCTAAGCTTTTACCTCACCAAGTGAGGAGTTTACTTAGTCCAACATTGCAACAAATTTATCAAAATCCATATTCTTTGTGATGGTCCAAGATTGATGTGCTTTCAGTGTTTGTGAGCTGGCTGACCATTCGTCACATCCTTCTGTTGATTCGTGAGATCAATCAACAAAACTCTCTTGGCTGAATTCGTGTTGTCAAAGCATACCTTTTGCGTCGGCAGACTCTATTTCTTGAAGTTTTGCCAAGGTATCGGCACTTTGATATTTCTTTTACAAAACATCCTTGAAAAGTTCAAATATTTTAGTGAACACTTCTGATATAATAAGTGATTAATATATATTATTCTTAATTGATACCGCAACTTCTTGTCGCGGGCATATTCTTTTTCGCTCTGGCCGGGATAAGATTCGGCAGACATAACATGTCATCGGGCACACTTCAATCGATACTTTCGCTTGCCAAATTTCCTCTACATTTCAAGTCAAACCACGTGCAATGGAAAGGCCAAGCCTAAATATATATGAGTGATTTCAGGCAGAAGATGGAAATACGTAAAAACTATCTTGGTTGTAAAATGCAGCTTATTTTCTCAAATTACTCGTTATTGATTTCCATTTTTCCCTGAAAAATGAGTCCATATCAGAGCTATTAGCAATTTGTGACAAGTTCTCAGTGGGTTCTGATCTCGAGTCTGCTGACGCTTCCTTGTTTGTTTCGGGTCCGGGGACACTTGGATTGATGTTCTCAGTCTTCCCGGAATTATCTTCATTCCTATTGGGAGTATTCAGAGTTACAGCACTTGGTCCAGCCAAGATAACTCTTTCAAATATTTGTGACATCGTCTCAGAGTTGGGTTCTTTCGTGCTTCCCTGCTTTTCAACGGGGTCGTGAACCATAGTATGATAAATTGTTGAAGTACTCTTGTTGATATTACTCTGATCCAAAAAAACGTTTTCGTTGTCATCATGAGAAATGTTTCTCTTCTTGCGTGAATTTGATTCTTCTCCGACTCTGTCGCGTTTGTTGCCTGTTTTTCGTAATGATAGCAATTGAGGCGCAGCAATTTCATCACTGTCATCATCTCGTAGTAGAGTGACTGCAGCAGGTGAAGGAATAGGTATTTCATCTCTATTCAGGGAATTTGATTCCGCGTAACCTCTTTGGACTGGAGACACCAAGGAGCTTCGATCGGTTTGGTGTCTTAAAGCAGACGACCCATATACTGGCGTGTTTGGAAAACGTTGCGCAGATTTTCCCATGGAATCAGCCAGGTTAGTTGCTTTGGGCGTCAATTTTATAGACGGAAGTAATACAGGCAGAAGCCTCCCCAAACCCAAATCATCAGAGTCACTCGACGAAATGTGCTGGTCGACGGGTGATGCTTTCACGGGCCTTGGACTGCTGCCTGATTTCATCTTTCCAATTTCGCTCATTAGAACTGGCGGCTCCGGTAGGGTCGGGGAGGAGTTCAAATGTTTTAATATGAGTGACAGCCTGCGGGCCTCTGTCTCAGACTGTCCCCTCAGTGGAGTGCTCTTGTTCAGAGAGCTTGGAAGACGGCGAAAAGCAGATAGAGGTCTACGCAGAATGATTCGAGGTGTGTTTTCATCGTGTGATGACAATATCAGGGCTCGTGAACGAGCCTGTTGGGGAGTAGATGCCTGGATTTGTCCAAGCGAGCTCGAGCTATCATCTGAAACTGGATCTGGCACTACCTCCTTTGGAATGTCTTCTTCGGCTCTAGAAGTCTTCGGCTCTGGGGACTTTGCATAGCCTTTGTCAGATCCAATCATGTCGGCCGAGGTCTTCACCTCTACGTCAGCTGCCTCTTCCATGAAGTGTTTCCAAAACCCGACATTTTCCCATATCTTGCCTGTCGCTGCAGAATACTTCTTCAAAACCGGGAACATCTTGTCATTAATTACTGAATTTGCGCGCGAGAGATTATGGTCAATTTCCTGGAGTACGAGTGTAGTTTCCTGCTCCAACCTCTCCAACTCGAGAGCAGCAGAGTCATCGCGGTCTTGCTCATGCCGCACGCTCCTACTGAGATTTATTATGGATTTGCGTCTTGGTGACATTTGGTCCTTCTTGCCTTAGAATACTATAGGACCTTGTTAAATAGTGACAATATGAGCTTTCCGTTTCCTCATCTTCAGCTCGTGTCATGGGGTGCACGACGCGCGCGTTTCTCGAAAGCTTGATTCTGTATACACAGGACATAGTCTGTAGCCTCGAGGCGCACATGGAACTTGAAAGGGAAAAAACACCCTCCAGATATTTTGAGTGTCCGCTATGGGAAACATCATGTCGCAATCTTTTGCCCCCGAGTGTACCGACGCCAAATTGAAGTATGACGAGTGCTTCAACAGGTGGTACACGGAGGAATTTTTGAAAGGCAAGTCTCTCCACAATGAATGCACAGACCTTTGGGATGACTATATCACATGCGTAAACACAGCCTTGGCCGCTCACAAGATCAAGCCAATGTTGGACCAGGCAAGAAAAGATCAACCATTTTCCAAAGAGTTTGAATCTGATGAAAAGAAGTAAACAGCCTGATAGATCAGCACGACTCCCTTGACAACTGCTTTCTTTCAGTGTCTTTTAGCGATTTAAACAAATTCCAAACTTTGAGTCTTAGAAGATGATCTCTACCAGACATTTCCCCAGAGCATACAAATATATAGACATCCAAGTATGATACTTGTAAATAGACAGATTTCTTGAATACATTAGTAGAATGTTCAAAAGCGCTTTTTATTCATGTCCGAAGCATGTCTTTTGGTCTCTGATCGCGGAAGTACAAAACAAATTCCTCACATTGATTCACAACATTTACCTAAACGACGCATATGAGCAGCCTTTGCTCTGAAACAAATAAGTCCTCGATATCACATGTTCAAATTATTATGGCTGCTAGCTTTCCAAACCTTTTTAGCAATCGCACTTTGTGACTCAGACGGAATCGATTGTGGAGACCCATCCCCGGATAATACAATCCCTCGGGATTTTAGCGAGTTACAGAAGTACGCACACCTATCATCAGTGGCATACTGTATTGAAAATGGCCTAGGTGAAGGAAAAGTAGGCAATCAGGGTATTCACTGTCCAAGTAGTGCTTGTTTTCATTCAGAAACGAAAGATTTGCAAATTGTAAAAGCCTACGAATTCACAGGGCTATTCGAAGTTGGCTCTGGAATCATTGCACTTGATGATTCAAGTGAGCGTATATATTTGGCGTTCATGGGCACCTCGACTTATCAGGACTGGCTCAATAATTTGAGCATTTTGCCCGTATCATATCAGCCACTAGTCGTGTCGCATGAGGAGTTCACCCCCGTTGACAGCAGGGCTTGTGTTGATTGCAGAGTTCATAAGGGGATGAACTCATTTCTTAAGCTAAATGGCATAGTTGTGATCAGAGAAGTTCTAAGGCTTATGGACAAATACCCGAATTACCGATTGTCGGTGACGGGGCATTCCTTAGGCGCTGCTCTTGCAATATTGGCTGGAATAGAACTCAGACTCATGGGGCTTGACGTTTTAGTTGTGACATTAGCCACGCCCAGGATCGGTGACAAAAACTTTGCCAGTTATGTGGACGATTTGTTCAATACAAAAGATGTGACGCAGGTGATCGATAAGGAAAAGTCATTTGACAATATAGGTACCGCTTTAATCAGAATGATCCACCTTCATGATGTTGTACCATACCTTCCTCCCACAAGATACTTCAGGCATAGCGGGTATGAATACTTTTTGGCAGCTGAGGGTGTTTCTCAAACACCCCAAACGATTAAGCGGCAGGGCACAACTTACCTCGAGGATGAACCCCAGAATTATCTAGAGGTACTTCCCAATTTTCGCAGGTTGGATCACGCTAATTACTTTTTACCGGTATCCCATTGCATTTAGGTTTCATCTCGAGATGCTTGGACCATTTCATTGATAGTTCGAAGTTTGCTTCTACTTTTTCCAAGCAACCTTCCCTGCCTCAATTCGAATAAGTCAATAGTTTTCCAGCCATTCCAGCTCACATAAGGAGAAGGGAGAATTTTTTCGATATCACTGCTTTCATTTGGCACATTGTAGATTTCATTAGAGAGGTCCTCCAAAATCTTTTCAGCTGTATCGAAGGAATCCATCATGGTAGTAGCGATTACACCCTTAGGTCCATTTTTTATCCACCCGGATACATACCAGCCTCTTTTGTATGTGAATTCCTCTTCCTTTCCTGCTGCAGCAGCACCTGATCTTAGAATTCGACCCTCATTATTTGCAATGCGATTGTCTTTTTGCGTGAACTCTAATTCGGATGCTGTGAATCCTTCGAGCTCTTCGCCCTTGTAGCCTATGGACAAGATAACCAAATCATTTTCTATTCTTATCTCTTTCCCAGTGCCTTTATTTGTGACTTTTTTTGTTAAGGAATCTTCTTGAAGCTCGTTTACTTCGAAAACCGTACTTTTAAGGAGTTGCGCGTCTTCGTCACTCGGGACGAACTGCTTCGGGCTCAACTGAAATTCTAAACACCATTCCTTTGATGATTCACCCGGGGTAGTGGCTTGGGATGAAGCCTTATCGAGTATAGAGAATTTTCTCTTTTCCACTCTAGCGAGCAGTTTGGCCTTCTGGCGTATTGGCGCCAAAACATTCTCCGGTATAGGCAAGAACTTTATGTTCAGTTCTTTGGATATCTCTAGAAGCTCTCTGATCTCTTTGTTTGTGAACGCTGATTCCAAGATGCCCCTACGGGCTACAATGTTGACTCTTTCCACTTTACTTCTCGAAAGAAGCTCCACTGCCTCTGAAGTTATATCTGTCGGTGCCCAGTGACTTTTTGGATCAGCCAATAAAACCCTTGCAATGTCTATGGCAACGTTTCCGTTCCCTATGATGGTGACATTACGGACTTTTTCAAGTGGCGGAATGAAATGAGACCCCTGCTTTGAGTCGGGGTGTCCATTGTACCAATTGACAAATTCCCTAGCAGAAATAACGCCAGGACTGCTCGACCCTGGTATGTCTAATTTGATATCAAATGCCGTACATCCATAGGAGAGAACAATAGAGTTATACCGGGCCTCTAGTTGGGCCAACAGGATGTCTTTTCCGATATTAACATTGCCAAAGAATCTCACCTTATCAGAAAAATCCGTCCAAAGTTTATTCATATACTCCTCACAATTTTTGACCTCTGGGTGATCCGGCGCAACGCCATATCTGCTGAGACCATAAGGCGTGGGAAGTCTATCAAAAAAATCAACAGTGATGGGCATATGCTTTGACTTGTGGAGTAAATGATGGGCAGTGTAGAATCCAGCTGGCCCTGCTCCGACAATAGCTACATTATAGTTAGCCACTCGAGATGTTGTAATGCCTCGGCGTGCAATTGGCCAACAGATCATGCTTGTCATGGTGTAGAAAAATCGGAGTAAGTGCGAATTGCCGAAGCTGCGTCGGACTGTAGAAAATACTGCTTCCTAGACCAGTAAGTGATCAAATCCTGACATAAAAAGTGAAAGATTGGTGCCTATAAAATAGTTTTTATTCTAAGCTACGTAACACTTCCTAAAATAAAGATGACTCAATAACCGAGTTTGTCTGTCTAATTTTTTTCTACTTTATCGAAATTTCAGTTGGAACTATTTCATTACCAAAAACTGTTGAATACACAAGTCTATTCTTAAATTTTAAAAACAACTCATAAAATTCAAGCTTCTGTAAAAATTCGAACAAAAGGCTTGGAAGTATCTTTAATTGTTTCAAATTCCACAAGTGGGTTTCCATTGCAAACTAGTTTGGATTTTCCTTGAACTGGTAAGTTTCATTCCGAATAATCCTAGTACCCAGTGCGAAGGTTTGTTGAATATCTTGACGAGAAACAAGAAAATAAAAGTTGTGAGCGTCCGCATTGCACTCAGCAGAGAAAAGAAATCTTATTTCTGCTTGGAAAAAAAGAGCCTTTAACTACAAATATACCTGATTGTAAAATTTATAAAAACGTGCCTGGCTCTAGAGGGAGAACAGAGCTCCTATTCCGGGATTCAAATCTACCAAATATCTTTGCTTGTTGAGCTCATATTCTTTGATAGATTCATCCGTTCGAAGGAACAAAACTATGAAGTGAAATATGGGAAACATTAAGCTCAAAAAATACGTACCTACTGTCAAAACGCGGTCCGTCCCCTTTGGTTAATCACGGTCTGGACGGTCCTTTTGGAACGCACCTGTTTGTGTATTGAATATTGCGTCGTCGATTCCTAGGACAAGAGTTCTATAGTAATCGCTTTAACTCAGATGGTTAGAGAGGGCTTAAGAAATTTAACTCCTGCGATTGGCTACGTCTTTGAGTATATACCTTCAAGATTTAGAGGGACCAATTCAAATTTATCAAAGATCTGTCGACTGTAGCATGTCATCTTTTCTTTTCTTTCTTTTTAAAAAAAAACATCATATTCTAGGGTGTCACTGGAGAGGTGTAAATCCCTACTACTAACGAAAAACTAAAAAAACAAACAAACCTATAACAGATCGTAACATTGGCTCAGGTGATAAGGCGCGAGCACCAATTCACGAAATCTCCCAAAGTGGGTGCGACTCCCCTGAAGAAGACTTTTACCCATAACCAATGTTAACCGCTTGGATAAAATTAACTAAATGTCATTATCCTGTAGGATATGTTTTCCTAATGGCCCGTGACCATAGTTCATTTGACGAGGCGGCAAGACGTACATTTGTCTTTGCCTCCTGGTCCCTAAGCAAATAAACCTCTCGAACGACTCTAACAAACCAATTAAGGTTTCTTAGGTCTTTTCTTAGATTGTCAAAGGAAGTATCGGCAGGAGCTAGCACCTCCCTTTAGTGCATCGGAGCTTGAAAGTTGATCTTTTGCCACCAGAAGTACACAATCTTACACTCATTGTAGATATGGGTTAAACTCTGATCGCTATAGCAGCGTTTCAAAAAAAAACCGGAACTAAAATCTTGACTCCCCAACATCATTTTTTTTTTTTGGTAGATTCATCTGATTATCATGAAAGGGAACATAGGAGCCGTGATTGGATATATGGATGGCGGTGAGATCCTCAAAAAAAGGTTTTACACCAACCATTCTAAATTTTCTCCATTCTTTTTGGTAGATTCATATGAATAAAGGAGCAAAACTATATAAAAATTATATACAAAAAAATCTTTATACATCTCCCAGCTATGTAAAAAAATATGTACCAAGTGTCGAAACTCAGCCCGCCCCTTCCGTTAGTCACGGCCTGGACGGCCTTCATGTCCCGTATCTGTTTACGTATTGGATATTACGTCATCGACTCCTAGGATAGGTCTCCTGTAGTAGTCGCTTCAACTCAGATGGTTGTAGCGGACTTAAGGAGCCCACTTCCTGCGACTCGCCACGCCTTCTGGTGTAAACCTCGAGAATTGTGGTTTTTTTTTTTGGTAGATTCATCTGATTAAAGGGGCAAAACTATATAGCAAATATATAAAAAAAAACCTTTAAACAGCTCCCAGCTACGTGGTGACGAAACAATTTAATTTTGTTAAGTTCTCCAATGAGTTGTCGGTTCTGTGCGGATGGTTTATCGTTTTGGCGAATTGCGGTTTGCGTTTGCGGACATATCCCATGAATGCAATATATTCTTTTCCTTCGTTGGCTATCTTTTGGAGGGCATCATCGACGTGAGTGTTTACGTTGATGTTCGATGTGTTGATCTTGCCGAATTGAGGTTGTAGTCGCGATAGTGGGTATCTGAAGCGAGGTGTTCCTATTTTGAGATTGAAGGGTTGATCTGTGCGGAAGTGGACTGCGATCAAATGATGCGAGGACGTGATCACTGGCGGTTTTTCGATCTTGTAAATTAGGGCATTGTCTTCTTTTTACTTATTCAACTTAGGAGAGCCTTTAAAGTTTTTTATTGCAACAAATAATGAGTCTAGGTTTCCAAATACTGAATATCTCCTAATTCCAAATTATGCACTGGTCTTTTCTAACTCACTATTTTTGAATAACCTTCGTGAACGCGCAAATAGTTTAGTGGTAAAATCGAACATTCCCATTGTTCAGTCCCTGGTTCGATTCCTGGTTTGCGCAATCGTTTTTTTAGACTGAAAATGATCATAAACCCGTAAAGACCCATGCCGGCCTAAACAATGACACACAGGTTTCTCAATATATTAGTTAGCCTATCTGGTGGATCTACCAAAATAAAATCCAGACAAACTCATCAAACCGAAGAAATCACTCACATACTTGGCAAGAGTGTGTGAGCTACTGCCGCCGCTACTACATAATATCTATCCGAAAGGTGGATCAAGTGAGATTCATTTGATAGATACATGCTTCCCAAGAGGACGACCGGTGACGAGTTAAAAATCTAAATACAAATACATAGTTTTTAAGGGTCAAGCGATCTTTGGAAAACATATTAATGTACATCCCAACTCACCTTGGTTGAAAGGAGTACTTTTCTTGTTCTTCAGGCGCAGGTCTTTGACTTATGTAATCAAAAAATATACACGGTTTTTTCCTGCAGTCAAAAGTTTTCGTTAGAATGACCTTCTTGTATTCCATCTGACCAGAGAACGAAGTCAATCAATGAAATCTGACTTAAAATTCAAACGTTACATTCTCGAGTTCTGGAGTAACTAAGACTGTTTCGAGCCCGTTTTCTTGTACTAGATCCATCGTATACAGATCGTCATCCATCGGTTTAATGTTGACCTTCGGTAACACAAGCTCCCCGGCATTGAGTGGAATCAAACAAAGATTTATTTCAAACGTATTGTCATCACTTTTGACGCAGAAATTTTGTTTTTTGAGTCCAGTGCTCAGCCAGTCTTCTTCATTGAGAATTGTTAGTTCAAACCATCTACCCGATTCATGAGTAGCATGTTTTGGTGACGAAGAAGCAAGAACTGTAGTCGCCAACAGACCAGACCACCTTGAACTTGAGTATATGAATAGCTTTGCGTGTATCGGATGACCAACAACGAAATGTGACTTTTCTGCTAGCTTGAATTCAGTACGATGAAGCGTGTTGATACATGGGACTGAGACTGGGATGTATAGTTCATAGTGCTCCTGGGAACCATCGATACCTTCTAAATTGATTAAATGTCCATCTTTGAAAAGCAGTTGTAGAATATCCGATAATTCACCTCGCACATCAGGATGTACATGGTCGATAATTCTTTCATTCATGAGAGCAGAACAGTAGGTAACATTGGGAGAATAAACGTCTTTGTCCTCACTAAATTTTTGCAAATCAAATTGAAGCTCAGAAATGAGGGGAGCGAAAAGATAAAAATACTTCTGACTTCCTCTTTTGTCTAATTCCTGCCGTAATCCATTTCGAACTTTATCAATACATTCTTCGAGCAAATCAGAATACCAGATTGTGAAATCCAACACATCTGAAGGATCAAAATGGTCGGAAGTTTGTACAAGCTTGTAAAATAAGTAAACAGGTTGATTCTCATAAACAACGAGCGACATATCATCTTTGGTAATTGTGCTCAGGCTTGATACTTGATATTTTCCTTCGGTGCATTTATAGTCACATTTTATCACCCGCATGGGATTAATGTGATCAACACATCCAATTTGAAACTTAGAGTAGATCGAGGTTGCTCTGAATATATCCTGAACGGATACGGAGAGTTTGAGATTCAAATTGTGAGAGTCTCGCATATGGTACTCGAATTTCTCGCCCTCAATTTCATACTGACAATCAACTTGAATTTCAACAGTCCTGCTTTCAGCACTGCAATCTATCATGAATTTCACTCGATCATTCGGTTGCACCATGTCAATTTTGAACTCATTAGACTTTTCAAAAATTTGAAGCCCAAGTGATGAGGTGTAGAGCAGTAGAATGATATTGCTGGCTGGTCTCGACCCAGTATAAACAACACATTCAAGCCCGTATGAACCCAAAGTTAATTTTTTGGGGGACACGATTTCAATCCTGAATTGTCCTGGAACAGGATACATACGCAATATGCCGGGCAGAATGGAAGTTGACAGCATGTTGTTATCTTGTATAGGGGTATTATGAATAACAGTATTATCCGCAAAGATATCAAGTGAAGTATCATGACCAGCTGAAAATCTTAAGTTTTCAGTGACTTCCACGGAGATCGCAACGGTCTTAAATTCATCTGAAATAAACTTCTTTGCATACAAATTCACCATAGTGAATCCATACTCATTTAGAAAAACATCATTTCCGATAAAAGTAATCGTATCTCCATCTCTGCCATCCGCGCTTGAAATAGTGATCGACACTCTTAGAACATTAATCTGAATCCCAAACATGTTTTTTATCTTTGCCTTGACAAAATATTTCCCCACTTCACTAATTTCAATAAAGGGCAATATCTCAAATTCAAAAAACTCAGATATTGAGAATTCGTGAGGCTGCTCAAGACTTTTTGATATCAAAGATAGTTCATTAAATAATTTCATGCGCTCGTTTTTAGTTTTGACAAGATTGTAATCATTGATTCCACGTGGTGTTCCATTCTCATTGTGTAATGAGGCAAGTAGCTTGAGTGTTGTATCAAATATTTGCTCTTTTTTTTCTGGATTCACATGCTGAATACAATCTTGAAAAATTTCAAGGACCATGCCGCCGACATAATTCCAGCCATTTCGGATAAAGTATTCGTAAGAATTTTGTAAGATTTCAAGGGCTTGCTTGTACTTTCCTTTTCTATAGTGTAGCATTGCTAGATCGATACTCAATATATCAATACTCTTGTTTCGTCCACAATTTGCATAATCTTGAATCGCCGACACAGTTAGTCTTTCAAAGAGAATCTCATAAGACTCTTTGTCCTTTAGACCGCAAGCGAGCTCATCCACAATCGGCTCGTGGTTATCCGAGCTTTTGTTCATGTCTTCGTGGAGCGATACGTCTGCAAGGAATATACAAGCTGTTGGTGACTCAAACCCTTGTTTCTCAGCTAGTTTGTTCAAAATCAGTCTCTTCAATAGCTTTAGTTCTGCAGAATACTCCAGAATCCCTGTAACATTGGCAACCTGGTCTTGTGTACTTGATTGAGTTTTGTCCAATTCCACAAGCTTTAGCGCCAAAGGATGATGGACATAGAATTCTGCCGTGACGTAAATCCACTGATCAATATAAACTGAGTCATCGAAAGTTTTTGAGCATTCGTTGAGTAAAGCGATCACCTTTTGAAATAGTTTTGATATGAACATGGAAGATAGTGATATTGAGCTGGCATAATTTGCCAATGCCTGGAGCAAAAAAGACATTTTGAAGAAAATTCCTAGTTTAATTCCAAAAACGTCGATGGGTGCTCTATTTTCCACAGATTGGCAGAAGAGATTATACGGATCCATACTACCAAAATCACTCTCAGGATCATATTTCGCAAAATCGATGCTTTTGATGAAAGACGGTACCTCAATTTTGTCGGTATTGGATAACTTCTTCAATTCTTTATATAGCTTCTCATATAAGCCGAGTGATTCTTCGAGACACCTCATATCTTTGAAGGTGCTGGCAAGCCTGAGCTCCTCTCGAAAAATTTCTAGTGCCTGTACTGCATTGTGGTCAGAAGATCCCGTTAGCCTTTCAATAGCACTCGAACTTTCTGTAAATCTTGTACTGAATGTGTGAAGTATCAGCAGTTTCAATATGGCGATAAAATGATTGTAAACTTCGAGCTTGGAAACATCGTCTGGGTAGTCTTGATGAATCCTGAATATGTGCTCGTTTAGATCAAAAGGTGGCATTTCCAAGCGAAGACTATGCTGCCCGTCTGGTCCAAAGTCCATCTTCAATTTGTCATAAACAGACATTTTTATGAGTGTGGATTTTTTGTCTTTTTTCCCTGCCTTGCTGATCAAAATTATGACCCACAGCACATTGTGGGGCTTAACTAAAGTCTTGAGCCACTCATTGATAAGGGGCCGCAATTGCGAGCGATAAGTTTCCAAATCTGATGCATGAACAAACATCAATCTTGCATAAACGTTGATTGATCGCTTGGAGTTTTCTGTTGTTATCTTTGCATGTAGACTAGGGAATTCTTCGACTAGTTCGACTGGAAGCAGCGGGATAGATTTCACCGGCCTGAGTGGATTATGTCGCCAGTGAAGATTAGAAAGTGGAAAATGTGCAACAAGGTCATCCCTTATAGAAGGTAATACATCAAATGGATCATAATATCCGATTTTGAGAGGCTCGCGTAAATTCATCTCTTCTGAACGCATAGTTCCGATATGAACTTGGGCGCATCGATTCCAAGGACGTTACGAATGCGCGTCTAGAGCATTGAACTCCTAGAATCAAAGACTGCATATGGTTCCAAAAGTAAATGCACATGAACGAGCGTTCATTGAGAGAAACCAATACTCTCGTGAAATTTCATTGCAATGAAAGAGGTATTAAATACCCTCTTCTTCTCCAGCAGTTACACATGCATATTGCCTAGTCAATAAAAAAACAAACATATTAGGGTCGATTCGAAAAAAACTCCGCGACGGGGAATTGAACCCCGGTCTACCGCGCGACAAGCGGTAATTCTAGCCACTAAACTATCACGGATTTGTGTTGTTCTTTATCAAACAGATAGTTAAATTATAGAGTCACAGAGTATTAGAAGGTTGAATGGACGGACTCTTTGCTCATCTAATTTTTGAAGCCCGTAAAAAACCATTGAGTGATTTACACTGGCGTGAAAGCGATGATAAACAAAAAAAGAGAACCTAACGCAGGAAGTTGGCTCCTTAAGTCCGCTACAACCATCCGAGTCGAAGCGACTACTACAGGAGACCTATCCTAGAAGTCGATGACGTAATATCCGATTCGTAAACAGATACGGGCCATGAAGGCCGTAGGGGCCGTGACTAACGGAAAGGGACGGGCCGAGCTGAGACACTTGGTACGTAGCTGGGAGCTGTTCAAATGTCTCATACATATATATCATTTGTATAGTTTTGCTCCTTTATTGAGATGAATCTACCAAAGAACACTCCCCCGAAATTCAAGGTATACACTTCGAAACGCAGTGAGTTGTGCGAGGAAATATCATGACATATGTTCTCTTCAACCTTTTAAACTAAAGCGAATTTTACAGAAGACTTATCTTAGGTTTCATTGACGTAATATCTTATACGTAAACAGATACTTGCCAAAAAGAACAGTCCAGGCCGTGATTAACGAAAGGCAACAACAGTGTTTCGTTACCAGGTACCTTTTTGGAAGCTGTTTTTCGATAGAATAATTTGATTGAGGGGAGAAAACAAATTGTTTAATTAAAATAGTCTTGAAACACCTCCCCAATACGCACGTAGTACTAAAACGGCAGTCGCCTTCCGATAATCACGTCCTTCTTGGCACATATTTGTTAACAGTTTAAATTGTTTTTATAGTTTTGCGTCTTTGAGTTGTTGAATACAGAAGAAAAAGAAGCAAAAACAAAAACAAAAACAAAAAAAAACCATGAAGTGTTTGACTTGGGCGGAGGCTGTGACTATCCTAAATTCTCTCTTAATTTTGAGCCCCCAACCTTCTGCCCCTTTATCAAGAACGTTGAAGTTACAAGAACATAAAAGTTGGCATATATTGGATTGTATTATTTTTATTTTTTAGAATCGTAGAGTTTTGACTTCATCTTTCCAGACCTAGGCTCCATGTCTGTATAACATCATCAAGTATCTACACTGGCGGTTGCAAAATCAAACACTGTGGCTAATTGCTGTATTCGGGCTTCATATTTACTATCTTACATAGGGTTGAATGATACTATCATTCACTACGGTCATTTCCTTTGAGCAGAAATTAACCGAGCAAAATTATTTGAATCGAATGTCTCAAATCATACGTAACTAAAATCGTCAGTGCCACGTGATGTCATTTGGTTTGTTGAAGGCAAAGTCGCGAATTTCGCAGTGAAGCTGGTCAACATACATGGTATTCTCAGGCCCTTGAAGAAGCACATACATCTTAGCCCGGATGGAGAACACATTATATATACCCATACCGCATTATCCGCCGTTCAAGCTTAGATCTTCTCTCATAGATAAAGATCCTGTTATCTGGGCACATCTCTTGGAAGGCTATATAAAACTTTGCAGTATCTTGCTCACAGGAGATGTTCGGCTCGATGTGAAAAGCCAACAGCAATTCCACTTGTTCCTCAAAGTATGGTTGGCTGAAACTTCAGAGGAAGCAAATAAGATACTTTCTCTCGGTGCGATAAATCCGGATATCAAAAACAACACTGCATCACTCCGAGCATACGTGTTTCAAATAATCTGTGATTATGGGGTGGTGAAGTTAGGACTTAGTGGTGAGTCTTTATGGAACTTCGTCATGATTTACGTGGAAAAAAACGCCTCTTTAGTGCGGGCAGTATTGGCAGGCTCCCATAAATCGAAATTTAACGACAACAAAAAGTCGGGTAAGATTTCTCTGATACCTGTCTTACGGAAGCACTTGTTGTCCATGGTCACTCTGGGAAAAATGCAGAAAATGCACCTAGAAATTCTCACCTTGCTTCTAGGACAGCACATTTCAGCCCCTACATCCAAAACTTTGCATGTTACCGGGGCAGGGAAATCACAAAATACCGGAAAAACACTCGCAAGAGATAAATACAAACAGTCATCAACAGGTGCTCTTCAATTTGCTGAAAATTTTGTTACTGAGGATTGGATTGAAGAGCTTGAGCTGATGTATGTGGACGGAAAATCTGTTCATGCCGAAATAATAAAAAGTCTGATGGTCATTAGTATTCTCTCTTTATCGGTCTCAAAGTTGGCGAAAGTGATTTCCACAATTGGCATACACGGTGGAGAGACATTAATTTTGGCGCCTCTTTTAAGCACAGTTATATTATCGGAACCTTACAGAAAACTCAATCCCGGACTTGAAGAAAGGCTTCCATTCTTGCGGAATATCTCCTACGTAACGGACTGCTCGATTGCCAACCCAGATATTGAGTTCCTTTTGGAAATGTTTCCAAATCTCACCCAAAGAAAGGCAATGAAATTGCTTTCACGATATGAGAATAATATTGACCAAACTACCAATGCATTATTAGAAAATGTGGCTCTTATAGAGGAGATTTCGGATGACGACACTGAGCAGAACTCAAAATCACCAGTTATTTCGAAAACTGAGCTTGAAAAGGGTCTCAATAGATTTAAACTTTCCTCACATGAGACAACAGAGCGTTTTAAGAAAAAAACAGGAAAATCATCGCTGGAAATAAAAAAGAATACGTTGACAGCGGCCTTACGCCTTCTTTACGACAGTGATGAGGATGAACGTGACGACACTTACGATGATCAGGAGCATACCACAGGATCGGCTTTCACAGAAACAGACAATAGGTCAAGGGTCAGAGATAAAATAAGTGTAGTGGATGATGAAGGCGATGATGGTATGCTTCGACCCTCATCCAAGCTGGCTCGAACATCAGTTTCCTCAGAGTTTGACCCGAATGAGGTGTTACTTTTTGGATTTTTGAAGACGGGCGGAGACAGTTTGTTCGACAAAGGTAACAGAAAATCTGGTCAAAGGAAGGATATGAAAGCAAAGACGGGATGGACAGATGAACAAATCGAAGGCTGGTCTAGAATGCTACAGAGATCATCCAAAAGATTTAGACTTCTAGAAGAGTATTATGTTTTTCACAACTCTAACAGACGGGTTCAGAAGGATCAGAGGGCCCAAAAGGATGAGTCAGATTCTACGAGATCTTCGTCCATTAAGACGACTCCGAACATCAATTCGGAAAAGAAATCCAGCGACAAAAACACGCAAAAGCGAAATGAGGCCAACAAAGCCAAAAAAGCAAATCATAGCCGAAAGTCCGGGCATAGCAAGAAAACCAGATCAGAGCTCGCGGGAATGCAGTAGAAAATTTACCAGATATGAAGGTTTCATTTATATGCATACTAATTTCAAATTTCGATTACCATCCGTGGTCAAACAACATAGAAACTGACTCACCATTATGAATTCTTCTGATAGCCTCAGCAAATATTCTTGACACATCGATGACCTTCATCCGGCTTTCTCCAAGAAGGCGGACATTTTCTATCTGTGGAATACTGTTTGTAGTAATAAATTTGTCGATTTCGGAAACTCGAAGCTTGTCGATAGCGTCACCGCTAAGGATAGCATGTGTTACCAAACAGTACACGTAAGAAGCGCCCGTATCTTTCAAAAGCTGCGCCGCACGCGTTGCAGTAGTACAAGTATCAGCAAGATCGTCAATCAACACACACACACGACCCTTGACATCTCCTACGAGCATGGAAGAGTTGACTGTGGTAGAGTTTGTTGTGTTAATCGAGTCCGACGCGGAGAGAATTGGAGACCCCAAGTGTGAGGGCGAGACTTTGATTTTTCTTTCTTTGTGAATCAATGCAATGGAACAGCCCAAAGCATCAGCAACAGCTGTGGCTCTTTTGGCACCACCTGAGTCGGGGGACACCACAACACAGTTCTTATAATCAGGAATGTAGTCCATGATATACCTCTTGAATAAAGACAGCAGATACAAGTTGTCAACAGGGATGTTAAAGAAGCCCTGAAACAGCGGGTCATGCAAGTCCATAGTGATGCACCTGTCGGTACCTGCGGTAGTCAAAAGGTTGGCAATAAGAGTACCGTTTTTGCTCACCCATTGTTTATACCCACTAACATCTCTACCGCTTTCGTCAACAGCACCCAAAACCTCAATACCAGCGGAGTTTGTGGCTATTTTTTTCGTGCTGTTGGCTAGAGATGTTAAAAAGCCATGATCAGCCAGCATTTCGGTGGCCTCCATATCCACCTTCGGGTTTTCTGGCTGTCTTGAGTATGGGAAGTACGGCAACACAGCAGTGACTCTCTTAGCACTGGCAGTTTTGCAGGCCGAGATCATGATGAGAAGTTCAAGAAAATTGTCGTTCACATGACCACACCCACTTTGTATGATAAACACATCTTTTTCCCGTACGGAATTCTTCATCTCTATCGAGGTCTCTCCATTCGAGAATTTCTTCTGCTGGACTTTACCTTTCTCTAGGGTAAGATTTCTGCAGATCTGGTTAGTAAGGGCCGGAAGCGAGCTTCCCCCAAAAATAACGACGTCTCTCATTTTCTTGTGGCCTGGATCACGTCTTTCTTTCTAAAAATGAGGACGGGCACCCGAATTTTTCTGACCTTCATCTTTCGCGCAGTGGTCCGTGCATTTAATCTTGATGAGTTTAATCCAGATGCGAGTACAAGTCAGAAAGCTTGTGGTTTTGTTCCAACTAATTATTACACCAGATTAACTCGTACTGATGCACTTCGTGATTCTTTTAACCAAATCACGAATGAATGCAGCGTGAATTCCCGCAATTCGAAGCTTGGGCCACTGATGCTGCAGACAAAGTCATTGGGCGACGAGTGAGCGAATTGAAATTAGTGAACGAAGCAGGAAAATGAAATGCAGATTTTTTCTTACTTAGTTTACAACCTAATTTCGTAGGATCCGGCTTGTGTACGATATTTCACCCATTTCACCGTACGATAATTGTTCTTCTCCACGACTTTCAAGAATTGTACTTGTAGGCCAGAAGCACTGTACATATCCATATTGAAGTCCAAAGTAATCTTAGGCTTGAACCAAGCCGTAGTAGTATCTGGAACCTCGAAATCAACAGATATAAGTTGTTCCAGCTCACCGTAAAACTTTGAGAATTTCCATAAGATTGCGTTTTCCTGCGCGTCGTATTTAGACTTGCCGTTAGAGCAAGATATTGTTCTTTTCATGATGCCTTGAGGTATGACAATCTTTAGTACTACTCCCGTAGCAGCTGCTTTGGAAGGAAAATTGGACAGCATCCTGATCTTGAGATATATGCCTCCACCATCCTCCACGATCTCGGGATTGATGTCAAAAGGCAAAGGAAAAGTGTCGTTGATGCGGTACGACATGAGCTGAAAAGTCCCATCAGGGGGGACGAACCGTATCACTCCTTCAGTAGTGTACTTTGCTAGATCGACACATTTGTGAAAGTTGAAATCATCTACGGATATGGATTGCGTGACATCTCGGAGATAGTCATCCGAGAGGCCGAAACGACACACAGGTGTTCCAGAGAGATGCGATTTTAATGTGATGGTGCCGTCAATGTGTGATCTTAGGTGGTTGCCCCTGGAATCCAATAGAAGGGAGATCTTCTCGTCGACATTCAAGAATATCTCATTCTTACGATACTTTATCCCCTGTTCTCTCCAAGAAACTTTTGAAGGATCATAAACCAGATCGATCGAGTTGAGCTGGTCTGACTTCTCCAAGAGAGACTTTTTCAGGCTGGAGAACTCGCCATCTTTATGCGAAACCTTGAGAGAAGAAAAACCAGGCACCACAGACGCCAAGTATGCGTAGTCCATGTTTGTAGGATATCCAAACTCAACAATCTCGCCCAAGATATCGAAGATCATCGAGAAGTTGCCCTTGATGTCGTCCTCACTAAGCTGGTCCGCCCCCCGAGCGAAGAGTTGATCCAAGAGATGTAGGAGATGATGCAAGAACTCAAAAATAAGAGAAGAGTCCTGGTTGGAGCGCGCCACAGCAACAAGCCATAAGTATCCCGATCGTATATACAAAAAAGACGTAGATCCTAAAGTAAGTACCGGCAGCCTGCTTGCATGGGCGGTCGAGGCGGAGATTTTCCCCGCAGAATTGATTACTTGGATCCGAAATACATCCGCCACATTTTTCTTCACACCCTCCTTGTAAAACTTTGACATCAAAACATCGCCTTTAGAGTTGAAAATGAGCAATGACGTAATCATGGTGTCCTCAGACGATGAGAACAATACGGGTGTCTTGGTGATCGATCTAGTCGCACACGCCGAGCACGCGGTGCGCGATGTCAATGGTACTGCAAGAGGTAATAAACACGGGAAGAATACGAGATAACCGGGAGAAGATAGGAAAAAAAAAACACTCTTTCAATGAAACTTGGAATAAAGGTTTTGAGCAGAGAGCGGGGTCTGGCATGATGACCATGTCCGCTTAATGATCCTACGTTGGTTTATTTGAGTAATTCAGACAGGTTGACCCTGTATTGTCTCCGAGCATCGGGGAAAAGTGAACCAGATAGGCAGTGAAAAACTAGCGCTACTAAGTAGTGAAGAATAGAGCCCTAGATTCAAAAAAGAAACAAAGACAAACAAAGACTAACAAACGAAAGACAAACAAAATCCAAAACAGCGACAACAAACAAACAGAAAACAAGCAGAAAACAAGCAGAAAACAAACCGAAAACAACAGAAATCAAAGAGAAAATAACAGAAAATAAACCCAACGCGAGCTTCGAATTCATGATTAGCCTCAGGCCCTGCTCGTTCTCTGGGAGTTTGGTCGTTGTCAGCAATTTGCGGCCGTGGAAATGCTTATAAATGACCGTGTAAAAAATTGGTACAGATCAATAGCCTAAATAATGCGCAACCACGGCAGGTGACTCTTCAAGATTTATGCAGCAGCAAAAGTGACGACGTAGTCATACAGACAAAAAGCTGGTCTACAGCAACATAAAAAAACAAACATCGGCTGAGATAAGCCTGGGATTCTAAGGTGCATTATGCAAATTTTCATTTACCAGATATGAAATTATATCTTTACGCATCCCGCTACAAACTTCCGTTTTAAAGGCGGCCAATATTATTACCCCACATCTACCCAGGCATTGAAGAGTGATTTTCATTGGCATTCCCAGCAATGCGCGTACCCCAGGTTTTGAAAAAGCGGCGTTTTTAAGCACGAGCATCTTGCACATCGATGCGCGGGGGTCATGAGCGTCCTCAAGAAGAACGCGGTTTTTCCCGGGGCCAAAGCGTGTGTGCCTTTCGTAACTCCGTTTATTTCGCTGCTTTCCATGATAGGTTGACCCTTACTACTTGACGGTTCAAACCGTTGTGGAAGCTGCTATGTTTATATGAATCAATGAAACATTCTGTATGTGACGCGAGGAGACGATATTATTCTATTGTTACTTGACTTGTAGGCCGAAAAAATATCCGTGGATTGGGTCTACCTGAACATTAAGACCAGCAAATTAAGACCAGCAAGGCTTTCGATATACTCGAGATGTCAGAGAACTTCCAGTGTAGTATAAACCCCTCATTTTCCCCGGAAGAGTTGGGATTTGTTTCTTCACGAAAGGCTTTCGTGGTCACGGACAGACTTTTGCCTGAAAAATCCGGGTAGCGAGGGTGTTTACCCGGTAGGGTGCAGGTCTATACCGCTTTACTGGCAGGCGTGAAAAATGAAAATGGAACATCACAACTCACTTTTTGTGATGATCGTTTTGGAGTGATCGAAATAATTTCGCTAGACAGCATAAAATATTTAGACAAATAATTTTTTTTGGCCAAACAAATGGAGTGACCACAGTGTCTGCATTTACGGCTTGCCATGACTGCAGTGCACGAAAAATACACTAGATTTCCAAGGGCAATTTTGCGCGAAGGCAGCCTTGGTGTCAACCGAAAAAGAAATAAATGTATTGAGTAATAGCTAGAAGATCAGCTTTGAGCTTTGGCAGAAAATGTCGATCAAATCAGGACCAACATTTTCTCTCTGTACCCCTCTTTTTTTTTTCAAGAATGCACGATGCCTTGTACTTCTTCGCCTGTTTTAGGTTCCCGCGGCCAGTATCCGAACTAGTCTGGGTTTTTTTTTCACCTTTTTTCTGTTTTGGGAACCCTCATGAATCCAAAAATAAAGAGCGCATTGTACCAACTGTCAATTGCTGCCCTATGCACCTAGAAGGGACTTTAATGTCCGGGAGAAGAGCACGCAAATAAGTTTTTCTCCTACTTTACTCAGAAAAGCCGGCGAGTAAATTACTACGGTTGTGAAATTCGAGATTAGGGCTATACGATGTTTTCATCTTGGTCCATCCTTGTTTGGTGCCGCAAACAAATTAGAATCCGCTTGGAGAGGTTCACTTAGCGACCCCACGTTTCAAAATGCCTGCCCGGTATATGCATATGCCATGGCTTTTCGCCTCGAGCGCACCTGTCTCACCCGGACGTATGCAGCAGGAATCTAGACTGCCGCACGCGCCCCTCTCAAATGCCGCTAACTCCACACTTCGCAATGCGAGCTTTACAGTATAAAAGAGAGGAAGTTTCCACGGGTGAAAAGGTCACTTCAGTAAACTTGATTCCTGCCTGTATTTTCAAGATAACTCACACAGAATCCTTGGTTTTCCGATCAGACATTGGTCCGAACAACCCGACAAAAAACCCACAAGTTCCTTATCAGACAGGTCTCGTACCGTTAGATAAGCTCTGGAACCTCCCAAAACCCGCACACCTTTCTTATCAGGATATACAGATAGTACACCCGGAAGTGTACTTCCTGCTGCTTTTTATATAAGACTGAATCAACCGATCTTCCTGCCGCATTTCAGTGCAATATTCCATAAGCTACATCTACGCAAAATGAGCTTGGATATTTCTAAATTGTCATTGAAAAATGACAGCGACGACGCGTCGTCTGTGCAATCTTTCAGAAATGATTATATTGACAAGCCATTTTCTGGTAAACAGGAGCAGTTTGAGCAAGTGCTTGATATTTTGGATTCCACGGGGTTCATCCCTGAAGCTTTGATTGAGCTGGAAGCAACTTGGTTTTACTCTTCTTTGGGAATTGATGACGTGTTTTTTGCCCGCGAGTCTCCTCAAGGGATTGCCTCCCATGTTCATTCGCTTTACTCTTGTAAAGTACAAGCTTTTGCCTCTGGAATTGACGCCCAGGACAAACCTTTGATTCGTTACAAAAAGGAAGCCGAGGACCACGCTGTATTCTTCGATACTCACATTCCAGGGAATGTCAGTGGACCAGCAAGCTTTGATGTGACAATTGACGACAGCTACATTGATCCTTCTTCTGGTACTGACGCGTACAGGCTTGAGTATTTTTCAGCCCCCTTGAACTACAAGAGTGACCCGATTTTGTCAGGTGTATCGCTGAAAGTTTCGGCCAATCCTGACTCTGCTGCTGCTTTTGCCCTGCAAACCGTCAAGTGTCATTTCATTTACAAAGTGAAGTACGCTCAACCAGGCGCTGACCCTAAAGAAACAGATATCAACAAGATCGGTGATGAGACTTTCCTCAAGATCGTGTCTCCAAACACGAAATCTCTTTACGCTGACATCATCAGGCGTGTCGTGGGCACCACGGGCCCAGTCATCCAACATTTTGCTGTCGAAGAATCTGAAGAGTACAGAGTCGTGATTGGATACCGCCAGCAAACCTCGCCACACTACAACTCTGCCCTCTCGGAATTGGCTGACTACTATAAGCTCACGACGACAAGAAAATACGTCGAGCAGTTTTCTAACGGTGTTACTGTGATCTCGATGTACATCAAGGCCAACCAGATGGGTTCAAAAAAGACCCCCATCGACTTGCTGATTTACCAGGTGATTAAGGAGGCTTCTTTGTTGTATTGCATTCCACACAACTTTTTCCAAGAATCATTCGTCAAGAACGAATTGTCGTTGCAAGAGTGTATATACTCCCAGTGTGGTGTGATTTTTGTCACTCACTTTTTGAACAGATTAGGACCGGAGTACACCAAATTGTCTCAGTTGCTTGACCCAAGTAAACTGATTCAGCATGCCGAGGTTTTGAACTCATTGAAGAAGCGTTTGCGGGCTGAGACTTACACTCAGGAATATATCAAAGAGGTTTTCAGTACTAGAAAAGATATTGTCCGCAAGCTTTACCGTCTGTTTGCTGATGTGCACTACATCAGACTGTCAACTGAGAAGACTTTGTCCTACCAAAGACTTTCTCAAATCACTCCGGTAGGATCTGAGGAAGATTTCACCCACTTGCTCAACAGAGAATGCTCACAAAATGAACACCACGCGATCGTCTTGAGAGCTCTCTACATGTTCAATGCTGCAGTTCTCAAGACTAACTTCTACACGTCGACTAAAGTGGCTATTTCTTTCAGATTGAATCCTTCGTTTTTGCCAATTTCCGAATATCCTGAGACTCCATTCGGTATGTTTTTCATCGTGGGTTCTGATTTCAGAGGCTTCCACATTAGATTCCGTGACATTGCAAGAGGCGGTATTCGTATTGTGCGCTCCAGATCTATGGATGCATACAAAGTGAATGTGCGTAACTTGTTTGATGAAAACTACAACTTGGCGTCAACTCAACAAAAGAAGAATAAGGATATTCCAGAGGGTGGCTCGAAGGGTGTAATTTTGCTTGATCCTGGTGCAGCTCAAGAAACTCCTAAAGCGTCGTTCGAGAAGTACATTGATTCTTTGATTGACTTGTTGCTCAAACAACACGTTCCAGGATCAAAGGAAAACTATGTCGACCTCTATAACAAGCCCGAAATTCTTTTCTTGGGCCCAGATGAAGGAACCGCTGGGTATGTTGATTGGGCTGCATTCCATGCTCGTGGAAGAGGTGCGCCTTGGTGGAAGTCTTTCTTCACAGGTAAATCGCAACAGATTGGAGGCATCCCCCATGATGAATATGGTATGACTACTTTATCTGTACGCGCTTACGTGAACAAGATTTACGAAAAGCTCAACGTTGATGATTCATGTATCAGAAAGGTGCAAACTGGTGGACCAGATGGTGATTTGGGGTCCAACGAGATCAAACAGTCCAGAAACGAGAAGTATGTCGGTATTGTTGATGGTTCTGGTGTTATTGCTGACCCAAGTGGATTGGACAAACAAGAGCTTCTTCGTCTCGCCCACGAAAGAAAGACGATCGACCACTATGACAAGTCAAAGCTCTCGAAGGATGGATTTGTTGTTTTAGTTGATGACGTTGATGTAACTTTGCCAAATGGAAAGGTGGTTACATCTGGTGTCAGTTTCCGCAACACATTTCACGTGAAGTTGAAGGAAGTCTACGGCACCAATGGTGTGGACTTGTTTGTTCCCTGTGGCGGCCGCCCCGCTGCCATTGATACTAACAATGTCATGGAGTTAATTGACCAAAAAACTGGAAAAGGTATAATTCCATACATTGTCGAGGGTGCCAATCTCTTCATCACTCAATCAGCCAAGCTCATATTGGAGAGTGCTGGATGTATCGTGTTCAAGGACGCTTCCACTAATAAAGGTGGTGTGACTTCCTCTTCATTGGAGGTTTTGGCTGCACTCTCATTCGACGACAAGGGATTCTTGGCGAATATGTGCGTGGATAGTGACGGCGTGAAACCAGACTTTTACGAGCAATATGTCTCCGAAGTTCAAAAGAAGATTGTTTCAAATGCTCAATCTGAATTTGAAGCCTTATGGATGCTCAGAAATCAGACTGGCGAGCCAATAACCGAGTTGTCAGACAAGCTCTCCAAAGCCATTAACAAGTTAGCAGATGAGTTGGCTAACTCCAAGGAATTGTGGAGTGATGATCAAGATTTCAGAAACGCGGTTTTGGTTGACGCCCTCCCTCCCTTATTATTGAAGTCGATTGGAATCAAGCACATACTTCAGGGCGTGCCAGAGGCATACCTTAGGGCTTTGTTTGCGACTAGCTTGGCCTCCAAATTCGTTTATTCCAGAGGTGTTGATTCTAACCCAGCCAAGTTCTTGGAGTTCATTTCTTCGATTAGAAAAGAGTTTGTGGCTAAGAAGCTCTTGTGATTTTTTCAAATTTCCTAGTATAGATTTATATTAATATGACTCAAAATTGATCAACTTTCACAAAGAATTATTTCCATTTCTGTTCTACTAATGAGGATTTATTTAATGCGTTTCTATTGAATACAGAAAGATACATATACTTCGAGGCACACCTCCGACGTATTCCTCAAGAACGACCCTCTTCGATCTCGTTCAAGATTTTCTTCCTGTTGGTTATTTCTTCATTGATTTGAGCTGTAGCGTAGTCACCAATGAGAGCAAATACCGCCGTAGAGCCGCCAATATAGTATCTCATCTTCACCGGAAGACTTATCCACTTCTGCCAAAGATTCATCGTTGAGGTTCTTCAACACGAAATTTTGCGTATTCAAAACCAGTGTCGTGTATAAACCAACGTTACTCGAGAATTTCTTTTCCTCGGAAGAACAGACCTCAAAATTAATAATAGGCTCAAGAGTAGTACACGCTCAAAATTGGTCACGCTCAAAATTAATCACGAGTACAAAATTAATTCCCAATGAATTTTAGAGCCAAGATTTTGTATGAGGCTATTTCTCAAAGTTGCGATGTATTAACAACACTTTGAATAGACTCAAAAGACCTTGCAAGCTATCGCAATGTGGTCATTTTGTCTGGGTGGCTCCTACTTAATTTCTTAAGTCTTTGCGAAGATTGAAGGGAAAGATTTTCACAAGGGAAAGTAATCGTGGTGTCATTATGTAGCATATCTATTACTTTCCACTAAGGACTTCTAGCTAAGAAGTTGTTTTTTTTCAGGAATGGAAAAAAGGACATATTGATATGATCTAATTTTTGAGACTAAGATTTGTTCCCTTGGAATTTTACACCGAACAGATAAGAATCTTGATCGAGCATCTCAGACTCTGTTTAATATTGACTATAAGAATACACCTCCCTTTGACTCCAATTCAACGTCGAAAGAAAGTTTAACAGATATCATCCTACTTTTGCACCTGATTTGGGGGCTGGTCAACCGTTTTTTCAAATGAGAGATTTGGTTTCAATTCAGAAATTAGCACGTCATTTGCATGGAAAGCAACAGGCACTTGAATGACTCTTGAAGTTGTATATAATATCTTATCGGGATAGTATTTCGGTATGAGTTGTGTCGCCAGCGATGATGATCATCGCGGCACCAGTCTGCGACGGAGACACCAGACCAATATCTGAGGTGCGCTTTATCGGGAATACAAAATGGCAATGAAAATCGCCAAAAGATTCACAAAAGCCGAGTCTTTACTTCCTCCGTGTTGTCTCCGCGTACACCCCGATGACCATTCGCTTGTTTTCATTGGAACGTATAAACTAGAGAAGGAGACCGGGATAAGGAATGGTTCCATCGAAATTCATCGTCTCGTAAATCATGAACTTGTGCACGTGAACTCCATTGAAACAACACTGGCGATTTTGGATTTGAAGTTCAATCCTCTAGACAGCCTGGTTATAGTCCTGGCGCACTCTACGGGGGAGCTTATTATTTGGACTTTCCAACAGGAATTGACCCAGCAGAGCATCCTTCAAATCACCGACGATACGAACCTCGTTACCTCTATCCAATTTTCGCCACTTGAAGCACTGAAGATTTTGGCGACACTCACGTCCGGTGAGGTCCTCATGGTAGACTTGGAGTCAGGGGAGAGCGAGCAGTTTTCAACAACTCATACATTGGAGTGCTGGACGGGTGCATTTGGCGAGACTGGCCCTTCACAGAACGTTGTATTTACTGGCGGCGATGATGCTAGACTAATTGCACATGATTTGAGGACAATGGGCAAAATATGGGCCACAGGTCCCAGACACCACGACGCGGGCGTGGTGCTGATTCTTTGTCCCGGGCCGAGGTGGTTAAACCACCAGCCAAATGAACTCTGGACAGGCTCCTATGACGACAATTTGCGAGCCTTTGATTTGAGGAAGCTAGACGGCGACGAAGGCCCCTACCTCTACTCGAGCTTGTTACCTCTTGAAAAACAGAAACAGAATCTCAATGGAGGCGTATGGAGATTGATTCCGTCACCGGATTCCGACGATGTTTTGGCCTGTTGTATGTATGATGGTGCCCGTGTCCTCAAGCCAAAAGCCGGGGGAGTGGAGGTTCTGAGATACTTCAAAGGAGACCACGAGAGCATGTGCTATGGTGGGGACTGGCAGGACCCGAAATCCATCGTGACTTGTTCTTTCTACGACAATGTGGTACAGATATGGCTGCCGCAGGAGGAACAGTAGAAATAGAAGTAGCAATTGTGTCTGTACAATAAACGCAGGCCACGGGCGGGGCGCACTCTCGTTTAGACCCAGTGGCAATAGATGTATTGACTATATGAGGGAGGACAAGTCTAGTGGGATAGACGAGCCTCTTCCGCTTGGGTACAACTTCTCCTTTCCCTCGAAACGTCTAGGGCTCGGGAGCGCGTTTTTGTTGGCAAACTTGAACCTCTTGTCCTCGATGACGATCTTCTTCGTCTCGCTGGAAGTCTTTCGGTGCAGGGTGTTGATTGTGTATGCCAGCGCAGATATCTTCCGAAGACTCAGGCCGGCATTCTGCTGTTGATCTAGAGTGCTGGGCGGAGGGGGAGGCGCCGGTTTTTTCGTCTTGAACAGCAGTTGCGACAGAGTCTGGGAAGATGGGGGAGGCGAGGACGGAGGCAACGACGGGGGTAATGAAGGGGGTGCCGTAGGGGGAGCCTGCGGCGTGTTGTGGAGGGGTGGCGGTGCCATGGGTGGCTGTTGGTTGTTGAGCCGGTCATTGTTTCTTGGATCCAGTCCGGAGAAAGGATTGATCTGCAGAAGAGGTTGTGGATTTAGTGGAACTGCCGGGGTTGACGGAGTTGAGGGAGTTGAGGGAGTCGGTGGAGCAGGCGGAGCAGGTGGAGCAGGTACAACTGCCGGAACCGCCGCCGCCGGGGATGGCAGTGGGACAGGCGGCGAAACGGAAGAGGGTGGAGCAGGCGGCACGGCCGGGCCGGAGCGGGCCGGCGGCGGCACAGCGTGCGTTCTGGGAGGCGGGGACGACAGTCGCACGTCCGTGTCCCCGCCAGGCCCGCGGGCCGCGGAGTATGAGGACGTGTCGTCCACGACAAACCTGTCGTTTCGCTTCGCGTTGATCTGATCGAGAAATGGGAGCGCGCCGCCGGCAGCGGGCCGCGGCCCTGTTGCTGGCTGCATAGGGGGCACGCTGGAGGGCGGCGGGGGCGGCGCCAGCGGCACAGCTGGAGGCTGGGGCGGCGGGCCCGCGTCGAGCTTCAAGCCCATGGGCGGGGGAGGCGGCGGCGGCGGCGGCGCTTGGGCGGCCGGCGGGGCCACGGGGATTGCTGGCGAGCGGGGGCCCGCTCCGGGGGCTTGCGTGTCCGCAGTGCCCGCGCGGCGGGCGTTGATCTCCGCCAAGAACGGAAGCCCCCCCGGGAGGGCCGGGGCCGGGGCCGGGCCCGGTGCTCCGGCGTCTGCCAGCGACACGGGAACGGGCGGCGGGGCCGTGCTGGGCGTCGGGGGAGCGGCGTGGCTGCTGCTGGAGCCGACCGACGAGTGGGACAGCGTCCTCAAGTGCGTCAGTTTCTTGGGCCTGCTGGGCGGGAGTTTGGGCACCTTCAAGGAGGCGCCCGCAGGCGCGGGGGCCGGCGCCGGCGGCGGGGCCGTGCCCGGCACGGCAGGCGCATGGCTGGCGGCAGGCACCGGGAAGGGGTGTTTTGGCGGCGGCCTGGCCAGGGGCGCGGCGGGCACGGGGTGTGGCGCCGGGATCTGTGGCGCGCCGGGCGGCACGATCCCCGAGCGGTTGTCCCTCACGGACTTGAGCTTGGGCATGCCGCCGGCAAAGATATCGCCCAACTGGGGCGCCGAGGGCACCGGGCCCGAACCCGGCGGCGGCCCGCGCGGGGCCCCCGAGCCCCCCGGGGCCGCGGGCGCCGCCTTTGCGCCGAGGAGCGGCTTGGACTTGTCCACGGTGACGGTTTTCTTGAGCTTCATGCCTTTGTGGATGTCGCCTAGCAAGGCGTCGCGGCCCGGCGGCATTTTGGGGGGCGGGCCGGGCGGAAGATCGAGCTTCGGGGCACCCATGGGCGGGGGCGGCGGAGGGGGAGGTGGCGGGCCGGCCATGGTTGCAAATGGAGGGTTTTTTTTGGCAGCGTGTGGGGCGGGTGGCGGAGGGGGAGAAAGAAGAAGGAGAGGGTCGAGGAGAGTTGGGGGAGGTCTGGGGCCGCCCGCGTCCATAGCCGCGCGTGGGCCGGTGGGCCTGCACTGGCCGGCCTCCGCTGGCCCTAGGGCCTGGGGTCTGTTGCACGGTGCGCCGGAGTGCTGGTTTCGGGGTCTGCTGTGCCATGTCTTTGTGGGATGGATGGGGAGCCTGGTCTTTTTTTTACGTGGCTGAAATAAGTTCTGCTCGCCGAGGCCATCCGTAGAACAATTTTTTTTTTAAGCGGGTGTGGAGTGTTTTTGTTTGCATGGTCCATGGCGCTGGAAGGCTGATGAATTGGCGCAATAGGGCCGTGGTCGCGGCGGGCGGCGCTCGCAGCCACGCGGCGTCGCTCTTTGGAGGAATGCTGATGGCTTTTTCCACCAGGATGCAGATGGCTTTTCCCACCAGAATGCAGCGGGCAATTCGGTTGATCCTGGGGAGTGTGGGTGGTGCCCGTGGCCTGAGGCCGGCGGCTTGATAAGGGCACTCTGCTTCTTCGGCAGATTGCTGGTGCAGTGGTCGAGTGCAAGGCGGGCGCAGTCCTGGGCCCTGTCGCAGAAGGCGCGGGGCCGGGCGACCGCGTGTCAAATTGCGGCGCCGGTTTTCTGGCTACTTTGAGAATGATCTTTGAATCAATGTTGCAGGAAATTCCCCGGATCGGCTTTTGGATGGTCCCTCAATTGAACCAATTTTCGGAGCAAGCTTCTGAGTGGGTTTCTGTGAGCTTTTGTAGGTTTCTGTGGGTTTCTTTATGTTTCTATAAGTTTGTAGGTTTCTATAAGTTTTTTTAAGTTTTTGTAGGTTTTTTTAGGTTTCTATAAGTTTTTGTAAGCTTCTATAAGTTTCTGTAATTTTCTGCAAGTTTCTGAGTAGTTCTCTGATAACCCATGTGCTTCGAACTGTGGTTGGCTTCAGGCCGGAGCTATCAATACTATTGACGTGCCGCGATACTTTTACGCGGTTCGCGGTTAATAATCTGCCCCCTCATACGTGTGGTCTTTTTCTGTTTGATATTTATTGGCTGGGACGTCAGGAACATCTGGCTTCTACATCCGCTTTGTAGGACTGATTGTTATGTTTTCCTGGATATACTGTCTGCTGTATCATTCTTTATTAATCCTTGTGGCTGCGGGTATCCGCATGTATGCCTTCGAAGGCATTCCAAGGCTTGACCAAAAGTGGCTCAGTCACTACTCAAAGTAGCACTGCGAGCATTCCTACTGCTTTCAAGGCGGCCCACCCTTCTTTCCAGAAAATGGCAGGCTCGTGCAATAATTCGGGCGGACGTGTAAAATAAAGCACGCTCTCAAGCGGCGTCATCACAAGATGCGACAAACAGTCGCTGGCCATTGGGGAATAGGGGGCTTTCGCCAGCGCCAGCTGGCTCTTGCCAATCATAGCATGGTGAAATACAAGCTAAATTGAAAGATATACTACCTGGCTGGCTTCATGTTGGAATCAATATATACAATGTGAGACATTCTTCGCCCACCTCAGCGTCGGGTCCTACAGCTGGACATTCAAGCTGATTTCCTGGCCAAGCTCTGCTCCCAACTCCTCCTGTAGAAGATCCGTCAAGCTCGAATTATCTCTCAAAGTGATCCACCGGCCTCCAATCAAATCGTAGCGCTTTGGACCACTGTAAGGACTACTGAGCCAGATCTGCTTGTTGGGAGGCTGTCTGTTGATTACATACGTTTTTCCTTCCGCAACAGTCAACGTCATTACTCCTTGAGTGAGCTCCACATCGATTTGAGGAAACTCGTCACACAAATCTTCCATGTCTTCACTCAACGTCTCTAAATACTCATTCGCAATTCGACTGTACTGCGCGTCAGATATCTGGTCGATAAGATTCTCGATATTGGTGCCATCGGTGGAAATCACGTAGCCTCTTCTGGGTACTATCACAGCATGGCTGGAGTTTCTGACCAGTAATACACGAGCTCTTGAAAGCCGAGAAACCGATTTGAGTGTGGCCGCACGCTGCCTGATAATGCTAGCCACCAGAGCCAAAGGGCGAGACTTGAACATATTTGGATAAAGGAGTTCTAGAAATAGGGAACCAAGCTAGTGGAAATTCGGGCGTGCTTTCTGAACAGATCTCCCTGGTATGTCTTCGGAAACGTGTATGCTGATGCCGCGACCGCGCACGCGAAACTATTGGAGAAGAACTGTTGACTCAAAGTCTATTTGAAAAAATGAGCCAAAAGCTGGCTTATCGTGGATCAATACTTATTTCTTTCAGTGTGAATGAATCGAATGAGAGTAGAAGGTGATACATCCGAGATAAATCTATTCTGCATGATTAAGGCAATAGATAAAAGTACGGGGAAACAAACCTCAGACTTTGTCACTTCTCATCTTCTGCCTCACTTAAGGTCTTATTCCGTTCCCTTTGTTATTTTAATAGACAATTTGGCACGCATCAATTTATTCTGGGTACGTTGGATAGTATGGTTTTGATATTGTATGAACGAAATTAGTCACTTGTTTAGCAGCACCCGCTCAAGAGCATTTCAATTCATTTTTGCGTGAAGCAGTGACAATCTCCAAAAAAAACTGCAATATTCTTAAATTTCCCAATTTATGAGTCAAAAAAGTTTAAATGTCACTTTCTTATGCCCTTTGCCCGCTGTTTGTCGGTACTGTTTTATCTGTTTCGAACGCCAGAATCAAACTTAAGACAAGTTGCACGGTCTACATTCAAAATTGATAAACCAACTGACCACCTGATATCTCTTGAAGTACATGTGTCCCGCTTCCCAACACCTATCAGAAGTCAAAATGAGAATTTGCACCCACTAGCGATGATTACCGAGTTCAGCCTTCCACGTTTGTTCTCAGAACCAGAACTCATCACCAATACCATTTATCTTGAAATACGTAAATCCTTCTTCAATTGTTTTCTTCACCAGCAGGCTTACAGGCGACTTGAAAATTTATTTGGGCCCGGAGTCCGGAATAATATCCGCGGATCTCTAGCGCTCTAGACATTTTCTCTGCGCATACGCAGTCAAGCGCACTGCTGCGATCAAATAGACTAAACCCCCATTATACCATGTTCTTATTCATTATCGTGGTGGCTGTTGTGCTCTGTGTCATCATACTTTATCTTCCATATGCAGCTGGATTGACAACTGTGGAGAAACAGGCACGCAAAACATCAGAGCAGGAGAAAGCCTCACAAACGGCCAACCAATACTCCGGCTACCTCCCTCCCGATGAGGAATTGAAACTTCAACAAGAAGCTGCGTCTAAGGGCCAGACAAGTGCATTAAAAAACAAAATGAAAGTCACGAGCGAAAGCTTACCTATCCACATCAAGTTAAATCAAGATGGCGTTTTGAGAAAAAGAACCGAGCGTAGCGTGGGCGATCTCAATCCAAACAATTACGACTACGATCTTGATGAGTTGATCAAAGAAGAAACCGAGGGAGAGGCACAGCGGAAGGCGCAGGAGTTTTATGCAAAGCAGAAGCTTGGAGGTGATAAAGAGGCCATGGTCTAATGAGGCCAGTGTCAAAGGCTGAACCGCTTATATATTTACATTTATCTTCATCCACGATGTTCACGGTATTGAGGACACGTCCAAGAGCTTAAATAGGCTTGTCTTCTTGAGGTAGACTAGCTCTTCACGTTCATTCAAGTCGATAGGCTCGAGCTCGTCTCTTAAAATCCGCATTTTGTGCCGACCATAAGCCTCTTGCAAAGCGTCTTCCAAGTCCTTTTCAATAGTCTGAACTCTGTCCTTTAGCTCTGCGTTTGGACCAAGCGTATGACGGAAAGCCAGAAAGACTTGACGCACTAGAGTGTTTGATAGCTTGACGAAATTATTGTCCCCGACCGTAAATTCCGGGGCCGGTGGTTCAGCCATGACTTCGTTAAGAAACCGGCTTAGATCCTGCGGCAAGGCCGAGTTGTTTATTTGTTCTCTGACCCAAGTATCTCTCGCACCAGAATTGAGATCATGCGCTTCGAGTAGCTTGTACAACATATACTGGAGATTATCAATGGTGTATTCGTGCAACGAGAATGCACGGAAAACGTATTTGAACATTTGACTCGTGATTGGAAGCATCTGGACGGATTCAACCTGATTTAAAAGTCTTGCTAAAGCACTAAAGTCAGCGCCAGATTCACAGTAATATCTCAAAATGTGAATAAATGTTTGCTCTGTAGGGTGGTAATTCACAGGGGGTTTTGAGGGAAGTTGATCATATCCGGAGATATACAGGGAGTATTTCAACTTGTCATCTAGTTTGACTAGTTTTAAGAATCGCCCATCTTCAGTTAATGCCACCTCACTTTTGACTATGAGTGCTTCAAAGAGACTTTCTGCTAATTGGGGCTCCCCCAATTCAACTAGGGAGAATATTATGGTGTTCAAAAGCTGAATATCGATCAAATCAATGTGTCGCGATACGAGGAGCGAAATCCAAATATTGAACTCGTGTCTTTGTCCTAGCAAGGATAGATTCTCGAGTAAAATCTTAAAAGTGTCTCTAGTATAGCTGTCTGCACGGATCTTAGACATGATATCGGAGTATGCAGCCATATTCCCGTGTCTTAACGCAGTGAGTAAGATCACATTCAACGCTTCCGCATCAGTAGCATCGCCAAACTTCAGATAAACCTCTTTGTAAGTTTCGAAATCGAAGTGTGGGCTTTGCCACTTGTTCAATATATTTTTTGCTGCTACTGAATCTTGGGGGTTTCCTTGCCTAGCAATAGACTGTATCGTTTCCATAATGTCTTGTCTCTCACGAAAGAACGTCTTGTAGACCAAATTCTGGCGTTCATATTCTGTGATTGGTATTTCTGAAAGAGCAAGATCACTTGTGATTTGCCAGAGGTTCTTTAAATGTGCCTGTCTCGTCATGTTGGCATCGGCATACTGCTTCAATAGAAAGGCGTCGTCGAATAAGAAAATGTTCGTCCCTGAAAGCATATTTGGTTTCAGGAAAGCTCGGAAAGAAAACATCTGAAGCATGAAGTGCTCAAAATCTTCATACCTCATATGCGCCACCCCAGGACGTGGTAGAGTATTGTAGCTCCTGAAGAGAAGATCGTGATTCACTTGACGAAAGGCTTCGCGGTTTGAGTTGAGCATGGTTAAGCTATTCCTTACCGGGTACAAGTTTTTCAAAAACTTGCCATAAACAGAGGGCTCAACAACCTGATAACGCGGAAATGTCTGGTGCTTTTCTAGACTCTCCCTTCGAAGTTTAGCTTCATGCGGTGTTACTTTCCTAGCTTGAGCCAGGATAGGTTTGAGCCCAGCAACGCTTGGTAGGTAAGGGCTCTTTTTATTCGATAAAATGTGATCATTCAACTGTTTGATAACTGAGCTTAGAGTTTGATGCCCGCCTTTACTGCTCATGTGGGCGTGGTGTATTTCGGGAACAATATTTCATAGGAGCATTTGTTTGAATCAAGGGGCCTGCATATTCCTATGCTCTTCCTCATCCCAGTATTAGATATGATGTCCTATTAGGAGGTAGTTTTCTTTTGAAAACATAATTGAGTCATAATGGATGATATAAAACATAGAAAATTTGGTAAATTAAAACAAAATACATCACAATCCTTTTTGTTGTTGATTTGAGTGATACGTTGACTGTTGTCACGTGATACTCAAGGTCCAGTTAGCGATTTGAAAAATTCTCGAAGTGAGGAAAGTCCTTGAGAAAGCAGTCAGCACCACACCCCATGAAGATCCAAACTAAGGCCTCTCAGGTTTTGGAGAGAACCTCCCACTATATCAAGGCTGGTATTATCCGTGATAAGCCCGCCTGGTATGATGCCGTGGCTGCGGTGCCTCCCACATTCAACATGGAAAAATTACCCAAAAACCTTGGGCCTAATCAGCTACAAGATCCCATGGAACAGCTTTGGAAAGAGCAAGGCGGCTACATCAAAACAAGAGCTTCCGCCCCTGAAAGAGCGCAAAAAAACAATTTCGTCAGTCGGGTGCCAAAATTGCAGTTTTTAGAGGACCAGTTGAGAGATGTATTCTACCACCAACACCCTTGGGAATTCTCGAGGCCAAAAACTTTGATTGAAAACGATGGCGACGATCAGGCAAAATGTGACTGGTCACGTATGCTTCAATTGAACAAGCCTCTTGATGGTGAAAGCGTGGTGCAAAGAACGTTGTGGTTGTTGCAAGATTCGAAGCAACAACAGAAGGAGAAGACTCTTTTTGAGGCCTATGACCAAGCCCGCTTTGAATTCTACCAGTTGCGTATGGCCGAAGAAATGAATTCTGTTGTGTCCAAAGAGGAATCTCTCATGTTTGGTGCGCACTTTGCATCTTCTAACTTACAATGGGGTGTCCAGAAGGAACAAGAGACTATCGACAGGTGGGCTAAGATTGGAGAAAAGAGAACGAAAATCAGGGAGGCTTCTAGAAGCAAGGCCTCTGCCAGTGCTGGTATTGCTGCCACGCCTGAGGAGCCCACCAACATGTGGGAATCGTTTCTTTCTTCCGAGGAGCCCACAAACCAATAAACTTGTACATAGATGGGCAGATTTAATGAATAGCATAAAAACAGAACACGCTGTTCAGTTTACGCATGATGGCCGAAATGCCTTACTCTGAGCGGGGATATTCAAGAGACAATAGCGACATCAGGCACAGGCAAGCGGAGTTTTCTTTTACATGGCCTGGCACAAAACCTTGAACAGGTGTGGGGGTTTAGTTGAAATTCTACGAACATTTATGCGCTTGCGATGGAGTTGTCCGAAAGGCCCCGTATATTTAATATGTATTGTTCGTAGGTGATATCACGGTGTCGAGAACAGCTTTCTAAGGATATATGCTTAACCCATCAGTAAGTTCCATATGGAATGTGATGTAGTTAGTGTAATGCTAAGCAAGATGGCCACAATCAGTGGTGCCCGTGGTCGTCCTTCTTAGCAATGAGCTTGTCGTATGCGAGGTAGACAGAAAAGGCAGCAACGGCGATTCCCAAACCTGGGAAGGCATTCTTGAAACGGTTGAAGCGAGTAAACTCGCCTTCGTATCTCCAAGCGTCTCTTTTAGCCCAAGGGTTCGAACTCATGGCGTATTTGTTTTCTATGGGTGGGCGAGAAAGTTGGAGAAAGCGAAATGTTTATTGGTGGAGGAGTCGTGCAGGGTCAGTGCGAGAGCTGTGCGATTGATTACCTCAGTTGACTGAAAAGAGCTAGGAATAAAGGCACCTGTAACGTATTTGTAGAATTATTTGGTGAAACTAAATACTTTTGTCACACTCAAACGGTCCTTCTTGACACAATGAGCTGTAGCATATAATCATATTCAGATGGTAATTTTAGACTGGTCTTAAATGTCCAGTAAGACCAAGTGTCGATACATATGTAAGCTCTTTTTTGCCTTGATCACGTTTTCATTGTTTGTCCAACTCAGATCCATTTTTCGGAGTTATTCAGGGAAATACATTGAAATTTTCACTTTTATGCCAACGCGGACCAGTCCGCTCTCACATGTATGACTTGCTGGGCACTATAGGAACGAGCCGATAATAAAGTATTTTGAGGATTTGGGGAGACCCTTCAGACATCGATGAGGAAAAATGCTACTAAAAGCAGCGACAACATACTAGTGGTCTATTTGTTAATCTCTCGGCACTGAAAACAAAAAATAAACTCCCATTTATTTTTAATAGTCTGAAATTGTTGTTTGCGTATCGTCACTTTCTTGAGTTTAATCTTGATGTCTCAGAGATACTTCACCCCGTCACTTTTGAGAAACAAATTCAAATAGAAGGGAACCTTTTGAAGTAGACAAAAAGATGCCACTACGAAAAGATAGCTGATACAATGTATTCAAGAACATTGTCTGGCGGATATTCCTTCATCTTAGTCTTTCAACAGAACACATGCCGGATACATGAAAATACATAGCTTTACTTGTTGTGTGTGACGATGAATTCTTTTTGTATTTATGAAACCTTGGGTAATATTTGTCAATGAGCAATTCCACTCGAAGTACTTTAGCTCTCAACAGAGGGTCATCTAGCTGGTCAAAACTTTGGAGAAAAAGCAGACCTCCTTGTCTTGAAACATGAAAAACGGTACACAGTCGCTTCCTTGAGATTGTATTTTGATGGTCAGAGTAAATCCGAGCCGACGTTCCGAGATGTCGCCAAGTCAGTATACTCTCAAACATCTTATGTAATCAATACTACGAGGCTACCGAAAGCATTTACGTTTGAAGTCACAGGCTTGAAGATTTTCGCTTATAGTAACAAATTCTTGCTATGTAGGACCGCTCTTTCGCTACATTGTTTTTCTGAATGAATGGGTTTAAAAATTAATTCCAACGGCCCCGCAATATACGTTTTGAGTGCGGTCTATGACAAGTCTTTTTACTACAACAGGCTTCGAATATCAACAAAATATCTCCACAAATGGCTCTATTTTTCTTATCACCCTCACGAACATGCATGTACAATCACCCGGTTGCTGATTGATTCTTGTGAATGAAGCAGGTTGGCAATTTGGCACTGGGTCGTGCTCGCGATAATAGGGTGTCCGACATTGCGTACGCGAGTCTCGAAAATGCTCACATCCTGCTTCAAAACATCACCACGCACCTGAGCATCTGCCTCCGTAATCTATTCCGCGGTTTCTCCAAGTTTCGTCTAGCCAACTTGCTTAATCACTCTGTTTGAACAAGGCTACTCAAACGACCACGTGACTCATCATCATTAGGTTATCTTTTGCTACATTCTCCTCATAAAGTTGTCTTGGGTTCTCACTTGGGGGTCGTTTCCGGGTTCCTTTAAATACATCTTTGATCAGCGATGTCCTCATGGCAAATCTTCAATTAAAAGGACCTCGCAATGAAGATACAGGCCCGGTTAAGTACTTTTCCACATTCCTGCGCTCCAGTGGTGAGGAGGCTGACGGACTTCTCGTCACTTTCCAACTTGGGGACCAGCTACGACGTTGTTTCACGGACAAGAACGTGAGTATAGAGGGCGTCTATGATCCAATATTCTCTACCTGTACTGATACAAAGAAAATCGGGGACAATCCGTGCCCTGGACTCTCAATTCCTCCCGCATCAAATGCGAATAATACACCTGCTTCATTAATAGGGCCATCGCTAAACGGCTTGAACGCAGCCCCAGTACAAGCAAGGGAAGAAGTGGATACCGACAGTGACATTGAAATTATAGAAGTTAGGCCCGCACAGCGCATGCGGCCGGTGCATAGTTCCGGCACCACTTGGGGCAGCACCAGTTCATTTCAGATCCGTCTGAGCGATACGACAGGGTCAGACACGGATGGTAATTCTTCAAGTGAGCTCTCGGCACTTGACTCCCAAATCAACCAGGTGCTCTCGCCTAATCTCACGATCTCATCCCAAAAGCCGTATTTTCAGCGACACACCACGCAGCCCATCGAGCGATCAGTGAAGAATATGCCGCCCATACACAGTTTACTACCTGAGTTTTTCAAGCCACACGCAACAGTAAAGGGTCCACCCCCACCAGGATACAGAAACATTCCGCCCAATTTGGTATATGCCATAAATAGGGAATTGAACATTTGGATGGAAACGCCCTCGGACGATGACATAGAGATGGTGGAAAAATTAGTCTTCACTTTAAAGGATCCCATAGTCAAGACCAAAATCAAACTCCCAATTAAAGCGACCACGTGCCGGCACTTTGAGTGCTTCGATTTTCAAACATTTTGCGAGTTCCACGGCCTCAAGCCTGGAGTGAAATCACTTTTGAAAAGCACTCTTGTCCAGCAATCGAGAGAGGCAAGAGCAGCGGAAAACTTATTTTTGAGGCAGCAGCAGAGGATCGCGGCTAAGACACTCAGCTCTGACGCGCCCGAAATCTTGTTCCCGTTCTTCTCGGAGCATGGGCAGATGTTCTTCACAGAGCTCTACAACAGAACACCTCCCCTTTACAAGTGCCCCTTGTGTGACGAAAAGTTTGGTCTCAAGCAGCTATATATCAGCGATATCTTCAATTTTTTTGTGAAGACCACGCCGCTGCACATAACAAAAGTTCAGCTTGAGGGCGCCCGATTTAAAATCGTTGAGGACGACAAGTTGGAGAGCACGAAAGAAGAGGCGGAGATTGTAGATTTATCTGAAGAAGACGAAGAAGAAGAAGAAGAAGAAGACAAGGAAGAAAGTGACAAAGAAAAAGAAGACAAAGAAGAAAGAGACGAAAGAGACGAAGGCGAAAAAGAGAATTCAAAAGAACAAGAAAAAGACACTGGAGTCAAAGAACAAACTGGGAATACAGAGAATAGTGGTGTCGGAATCGAAAGCATGGCTTCAAAAATTGGAACGTTAGATACTGGAGATACCGAGAAAGCGGACAGATCGACGACTGCCGACGATTTCAACGATGGTCTAGATGAAGTCTTAATGACCATGAGCAAAGGTGATGGAAGCTGGAGCCATCCTGTAACATTAGACTAACCCCACTGACGACTATGCGATGACGCGTGCTGATACGTTGTATTATGAAACTGATCTTACTTATCAATATTGATTGCGCTAAACAAGAATTTCAGGTCATATGTAACCACGCTATATGTCAGATGAATCTCGAGAAGAGACCATCATATATTATTGCTTATATTTGGGATATACTCCTCGAATGTCTCCACCGAAGAAATGAGCTCTAGGCTCTATCATTTATCAGAGTCTCCACCCTCTGCCTGCCTATCATGGAGCCAAGGTGCGTGAGCCCAGCTGTACATGCAGGTACGCGGGAAGCCCCGAGTCACGTGGCATCATTCTTGACGTAATTTGATGGGATGCACGGGTGCGGGTGGCGGCTTGGCAAGAGCATTCACTTGCAAACCCGTCTCCAAGCGGCTGAGTCGACGCAACTTCTGCAACGATGTTCGTGTAAGAAAGGCAACTTGCTGCATAAAATAATTTTAATTCGGATGCGCAATTCGTTCTCGTGGCGAATAAATGCTGGCGCCCGCATCTCACTCGTGGCACTGCAATCTCCTATATGAACACCGCGTTGGGAGCGCGCATTGAGGCAAAGATAATCTCAGCCCAGCTCTGAAATTGCTTCGACATTCCAGGAGCTTATTCTACACAACACCAGCCACATCTCTCTCGACAACAACAAAACAACTTATGACAAAGATTCAGCCGCGAGATAGACATGTTTCCTCTTTAGCCAGCGGAAGCTCTACCACTAAGATGGCCCTTGTATTCACTACCGTGGCACGGTTGGTCCATGGGATGCCCGTGGCCGCAGCCAGTGCCGCATCTAGCGAGGAAGAGATGACCAGTGAGCAGCTTTATATCAATCTCCTAGTTTCTGCATTTCTTGTGTTGGCCGGTGGTGTGTTTGCCGGCCTAACTTTGGGACTCATGGGCCAGGATGAAGTCTACTTGAAAGTGATAGCGACTTCCGGCGAAGCCCACGAAAGAAAACACGCCAGAAAAGTGTTGAACTTGATCGGCAAGGGCAAGCACTGGGTCTTGGTAACCCTTTTGTTGTCGAATGTCATCACCAACGAGACTTTGCCCATTGTTTTGGACAGATGCCTCGGTGGTGGCTGGCCTGCCGTCGTCACCTCCACAGCTTCCATCGTGGTGTTTGGAGAAATCATCCCGCAATCCATCTGTGTACGCTACGGGTTGCAGGTTGGAGCTCTTTTTGCTCCCTTCGTGCTTTTCTTGATGTATGTCATGTACCCTGTCGCATACCCATGTGCTCTTCTTTTAGACTACATTTTGGGCGAGGATCACGGCACAGTGTACAAGAAGTCCGGGTTGAAAACGCTAGTCACGTTGCACAGAACCATGGGTGTTGAAAGATTAAACCAGGATGAAGTCACAATCATTTCTGCCGTCTTGGACTTAAAGGAGAAGCCCGTGTCGCAAATCATGACGCCCATCAACAGGGTGTACACCATGCCATCAAACAAGATCTTGGACGAGAAAACAGTGGAGGAGATTTTCAACGCCGGCTTCTCCCGTATTCCCATCCACATTCCGGGCGAGCCCATGAATTTCGTAGGCATGTTGCTCGTGCGTGTCTTGATCTCCTATGACCCCGAGGACGCCTTGCCCGTGGCGCTGTTTCCGCTTGCCACTTTGCCTGAGACAGCTGCGGACACGTCTTGCTTAAACATATTGAACTACTTCCAGGAGGGGAAATCACATATGATAGTTGTCAGTGAGACACCAGGCGAACCCACGGGCTCCTTGGGCGTGTTGACCTTGGAAGACGTGATTGAGGAATTGATTGGCGAGGAGATTGTTGACGAGTCCGATGTCTACATTGATATCAACAAAAACATCAAGCGTGAGAATCCCGGGCCTCTTTACAAAAGGAACCTTACTGCCTACTTGCACAACTTGTACCAGTCCGGCTCGAAGAAAAACTCCCTTGATATGAGTCCAGAAGATGCTTCAAATACTACCAAGTCAATTCTCAAGGCTAAGGCGCTCTCGGCTTCGCCCAACAGAATGAGAAATGCAAATGTCTTGGGATCGCCCATGCTTGCGCCCGTGAATCCTGCTGCAAATCCTTTGGAGACCTCGAAGTCGTTTGTTAAAATTAAGAGACCGGCTCCGTCTGACCCAGCCAGTGGTCCTTTCCCTATTGACCGGGAGATCCTCCTGGGCGACAAAAAAGCGAACCCTGAGACCTACAACGAAGTTTTCTCATCTGAAAGAGAAGTTCTTGACGAGGCACGAGCCAACCAAAAGGCTGGAAACGATGCCTCATTCATTAGAAGAACGCTGTCCGACTTGACTGAATTGGATCACACGATTGAGCATGCTCGCAACACCAACAATGCAGGAAATGGTAATACTTTATACCTGGAGCCAAGGTCATACCGTACAGGAGGTATTGTTGAATCTATTGTGAACGTGCAAGGTGTGCACAAGACAATCATCGAAGATATCACCGAGGACGAAGAGTCGGAACCTGAGTACGGGGCATTCAACGGCTCAAGAAATAAACGTGTAAGTCACGGGGAGGAGGAGATGCAGCGCCTCATTAGCTTTAGATAATGAGGGTTGTGAAAATTCTTTGAAGAGAATGGAACTAGATTGGATTTCTTAATTTTTTAGAACCTTACAAATTTATCACTTTACCACTTTCGATAATGGCGCAAAACGTCCGCTGCGTTCGAAGGCCTTGGGCCCCATTTTTATGAGCTCTGATCTCCTGCGCAGTATACAATCTTACACCCGCGTTCTGCACCTGGCTTAATATCCAGGTCGCTTTCGTTCATATCTTGTAGAAACCAAGTATCTTTGTGTCCTCGAAACGGTCGACACATTGAAACTATATTGCGCTGTGCAGTGGAATGCAAAACCATCGAATCTGCCCAACTTCGAAGCTTAAGCATATTCGGGTGCACATCGGGAAGGTACCCGGGCGATCCATACCACCACACTTTGCCGCCCGATCGGGAAGTCGCGGTTAAATGTTCTTTCACAGACAGTTCCCGAAATTTCAATCCCGCGAGCCATCTTTTCCGTCACTGGCCTTAGAATTGAATCTTCGCTTTCACCGAAGCCTCCACAATAAACCCAAGAGTCTTCGAAACCCACCAATTGTTAAGATTTACGACTGAAAGCTTGGGATTTCTAGTTGACGTTGCACCCCATACTTCATTCGCTGCGAGCGAGGCTCTACTCACAATTACACTAGAAAAGCCCCATTGTCCTTTCCAACATTGGTAGACGCGGCTGCTGTTGATAAAAAAGCATAGAAAACGTCATGCCTAACGATAAAAAACCGCATAGGTCTTTCAAAGACATTTTTAGAAGTTCGTCTCCTCTGAACTCGCTGAAAGTCCCGTCGCCAGGAAACATTCCGCAGTCGGATTCGGCTCAGTCTCATCGATTTTTTTTGAGGGGTCGGGACTCTAAGGGCTCATATCTGTCTCAATCCAGTACGAACTCTATAAAGTCACTGAATGTTAATTTATCCAGCGGCGACTCCACGCCTGTGACACCCTCCATTACCCCCGGACAACCTCCTTCCGACTCCGAATCTTCGGGGTCCTTGATGCTGGCTCTTCATGATAATGGGAAGGACAAATCACGGGGTCACGAGAAGAAGAAGAAATCATTTCTGGAAAGCCATCTCCGATTGAAACGCTTTTTCAAGATTCTCCACTCTAGGGACCACGTTGACCTCCCCAAAACCAAATCGTCGTGCGAGCTACCATCTCTGACGTCGAGGCTTGCTGAAAAATATGACATAGGTCGTCTCATTGGAACAGGTGCAAGTGGCTCAGTTAACTTGATAAATGATCGGCATGATTTCAGCAAGACTTATGCGCTCAAAAAATTCAGAACAAAGCTCAGAAGTGAAAATGAACAAGATTATCTAAGAAAGGTTCGGAATGAGTTTCTAGTTGGTAAACATTTATCGCACCAGAACTTGATTCATACAATTGAGTTGTTCCAAGAAAATTCGGACTCTTCGACATCATCCGAGTATTACATTGTGATGGAATATTGCCCATACGACTTTTTCAACTTAGTCATGTCTGGCTTGATGAAATATGACGAGATCTGCTGCTACTTCAAACAAATAGTCAATGGTGTACAGCACTTACACCACTCGGGAATAGCTCACCGCGACTTGAAATTAGACAACTGCGTGGTGGATAAAAATGGAATTCTCAAGCTCATTGACTTTGGCTCAGCAAGTCAATTCAAAAAGTCAATTGAAGAAACTCCTGCGTCTCCCAATGACATCATGCTTGATTCCACGCACAAGCTTATATTGGTCAAAGGAATAGTTGGAAGTGACCCCTATTTGTCCCCTGAAATCTTCTTGTCTACATCAGAAGTAGGTTATGATGCAAGGCTAGCTGATGTCTGGTCAATAGCCATTATCTTTTGCTGCATGGTTCTCAAGAGATTCCCCTGGAAACTTCCACGGGCTGCGGATCCTTCCTACAGGGCATTTGCTGGTGTGAATAACATGAATGAACCCTTGAGTGAGCAAGATATGTTGCTGTCGAAGACCGAGGAGCTCAATGTCAATAAGGAGGCGATTCCAAGATATGGGCCCGAAAGACTTCTTCGTATTCTCCCTCCTCACTCACGGAACCTCATTGCTTCCATGCTTAAAATTGATACAAAAGAAAGAGCATTCATAGAAGATGTCGCTAACGACAAATTTTTTCGTTCCATTGACTTTTGCCACCTTGTCGAAGAGACCAAGATACCTGCAGAAATCGAAATTGATGCAGAACCGAAGAAAGATGCACTTGTCGCCGAAACTGATCTCGATCCTGCCGAGCCAAGTGCGCGTGAGCCTCTATCTACGGAAACCTTGGTTGGGGCCAAATCTGACGAACAGAGTCTTTCTGTCAGTCAAATTGTCAAGGCACAAAACCACAAGCACCACTTGGTGACAGAGAAAGATCTTCAAAAAATCAATTCCGAGAAAGATAGACTCAAGCGTGCCAAAGAAGCGGGCATTGCTTAGCACATCACTGAGGTGCGTACCAGAAACCGGTGATACATTACTATCACGATTTGGCATATAATACTGTTTTTGAAAGGTTTTCTAGCAATCCAATTCAGTATGGGATGCAGGAAATAATTTGCATTCAACAGTACCTTCGGTACAAAATTAGAAAGCTCATAACTTCTCATAATGCTCGAGCTGGCCGCTTGAAGGTGCTTCGCGCCTGGAGTGCATGAAATGCGTGCCTACTAGCATCAGTTATCAGTCATGGAACCCCCCAAATACATAGCATACCTGTTTTCTGAGATAAATTTACGAATCTACGATCAATAAAATAAGTGACACGTGAACCTGGTAATAATGGATCCGCACCCTGCTGTTCTACCGCACTGGATAACAACTGTGTCAGGGTGGTCTGCTTCTTTCGCTACGTTGGTCATAGTTTGCTCAGTGTTTATGCATCTAAGGAACTACAGAAAGCCTTTTCAGCAGAGATTGATGATTAGAATTCAATGGATCATTCCTCTCTTTGCCCTATCATGCTACTCCATGCTTGCAAATCCTACCAGTACGCTTAATAAGTTTGTCATTGAGCCCATTCGTGAAATCTACGAGGCATTTGTTATATACACCTTCTTTTCTCTCTTGATCAACATGCTTGGCGGTGCTAAGAGCATAATTATTATGACCAGTGGGCGGCCCCCGGTTGCTCACCCTGGATTTGTGCTGTACGTTTTACCTCCTCTAGACATCTCGGATCCTAGGACATTTTTGAACATAAAGCGTGGCATCTTGCAGTATGTTTGGCTCAAACCTATAATCTGCTTCGGGATTTTACTTTCAGAGTGTGTGGGGATATATGATGTTAACGATATGAGTTTGAAGTCGCTTTACCTTTGGTTTACTATAGTGTACAACTTCAGCGTTTCCCTCTCGCTATATTGCTTAGCAATCTTCTGGAAAATTCTCTGGAACGATCTTAAGCCTTTCAATCCTGTGGGAAAGTTTCTCTGTGTGAAACTTATTATTTTTGCTTCTTATTGGCAGGGGGTTATATTGGCCATTCTCAACTTCACAGGTATTTTACCGGGTAACAGTTCGCCGGACGAAAGTGGTGCCCCAAACATCGGAATGTCGATACAAAATGCCTTGCTTTGTGTGGAGTTGGTGGCATTCGCCATAGGACATTGGCTTTCTTTTTCTTACAGGCCTTTTACTATATCAAGGATACCTAATGGCAGGTTGGAGTTCTACTATGCGTTCCGCGACATGATCGGGATCAAAGATCTCGTTATTGACTTCCGTTTAACATTTTACGGTGACTATTACAAAGACTATAAGCAGTTCAATTCTGTCGATGCGTCTATCGCACATCCATCTTCCAATGGCAGAATGGGCAGGATTAACCAGGGCCTCAGGTATCATGGTGATGGGAAGCAGAAGCATTGGCTTCCACAGTCTCATAGTCTTGCGATTCAAACTCCTAGTCAGCTGGGAAGTACCCCAAAGTCAAACATCCAAAGCACCTCAGAGTTGTTTGCATTTCCTGGAACATCGTCAAAACATGCGTCTCATACACTGTACGCCGCGTCTATAGGTCTGACTAACACGTCTACCCGAGGAGTGTACTCAGGATCTCCCAAAGTTCAAACCTCGCCGCAAGAATCTGCGAAAACTTCTGGAGAGATTAGCTCTCTTCATATAAAGAAACTTTCTCTTGATGAAGACTTTGAAAGTGTTGAGGATACGATAAGGAGCGCTAATCCTGATATTGATTATGACTCTGAATATTTCGATGAAGATGAGCAACTCTATCGCATGGCGTCCTCAGTGATAAACAACTACACTTTAGACCAAATAGAAGTCAAAAAGTTGATCAACTATCCGATTGAGGACGAGTTGATCATTGGCCATGAGTATGGCTTCAAAGTGAAGAAGCTCCGCGCCGATAGAAAGCGACTTCAGCTGGGTTTCTCGTCAAATAAAACACGCACGAAGTACGGCAGTGTGTGAGTATCCAAAGTGTTAAATTCTTTTATAAAAAATGCTCGACCTATTTACAATTTTTTTTTTTTTTTTTGGAAGGACTAGTCCTCGATCTTTAGCTGGTAAAGCGAGTCGATTTCTTCCTCTGCCAACTTCAGCTCCTTAGCCTTCACCCTCTCTTTAGCTTTCTCTAGTTTCTTCAATTTTTTTAGCTCTTTGGGCGAGAGGTGTTGATGACTAGTTTCAGACTGAGCAGCGGATTTGCTATTGGAAGACATCTTGATCATCATCCTGGTGTCCAAGCTACCCGAAGTTTCGATTTTGCACCCGAGCTCCTGTAATATTTCCTGCAACTTGGCGTAAATCAATTCCCTCTTCTTTACTTCGAGAAGGTAGGCATCTTCATCCATGCTATTCCAATTTGTATTTGACGTTTTTAGTTCATTCACCAACACATCCTCTTTCTCTGCATTTATTCTGGCTGCAGAAAGTGAGCTTTTCTCGCCCACAAAAATAACCAACTTCCCATCCTTCTTCATTCTCTTCTCAATCTCGTTTTTCTTTTGGTTGAGCAAGTCACTCACACTGATGGACCAAGAAAGAGTTAGAATCTTTGTCGCAGATTTCTTTCTCTCAGCTTGCGCACGCATATTTGCTAATTTGACAGCTCGAGTACTTCCCATGTCAAACAATTCCTGTTGCTTGAGCGCAGCTAGCTCTTTTGAATAATTTTCTAGCATTTCTTCAACTGGAATCACGCGGATAATAGGTGGCCCTTCACCCTGTGGAGGCAACACTCTGATGCCCTCTTTCTGCAAGTCGAGTTTGTTAACCAAGGTCTGCAAGCTGACAGTGAGGAATTCCTTGGTTTCTGGGTCAACATAGTTGACATTGAAGTTGCTGCTTTTGCTCTTAACTTTTAAGATGAGACTTTTAAGCGCCGTCTGGGCCCTTTCAGATCCTGTGGAGAAATTGAAAGCTTGACGGCTTTGGTTATCATGCCTACCATTAGACCAAGACCCTCCTCTTGAAGGGTATTTATTTCTGTCTTCTGAGCCATAATCATTGCGCTTGTGGTGCCACTTGCCTCGCAGGCTACTTTTCTCTGGTGAAAACCTGAATGTATTGGGTGAGTCTGGAGATCTCTCCTGCTTGGCATCAGTCCGCTGTGAATTCCCAAACGCAGCTCTGAAACGGTTCTGGTCCCCATATGGTCCTTGTGGTATTTGAATGAATCGTCTTGCCGATACTATAAGAGATCTTTTCATCATCACGCAAGAATCAGTGGTATTCAAACTTGATTGAAAATGTTACCATGTAGGATGCACTTCCAGTGCGATGTGTATGCAGAAAAGAAGGCAACGTAGACAAATACATGAGGTCACAAGTTATAAATTAATAAGATATACAATTTAGGTGTCGGAATGTATGAACAGGTTGTAAGTTTTTTTTGGCAGTTCTACCATTTAGCGCCCAACAATATCGAATTTGGATCGGTGGGTTTCTCTACTTCACTGAATGAAGTGTGGTAAAGTCTCGACTGCGAGATGCCAGCATCGTCGCTGAATTTCGTGCACCATGACAATAACTGCTCTGTGATGTCAGCGTTATGGTTTGACGAAATGTCTATCATCTTAATCTTATCGTAAACATCCTTGACCTGATTAAGCCACTCTTTTTCCAGACTCGGCTGTGGACTTGAAATCTGGCCTCCGCCATTGATACAGCCATTGGGACATGCCATGATCTCCACGTAGTCGCATTTCGAAGCATCCGCCGTCTCATCTCCGCTAGTCGATGAGCTGGCCTTTCCAGCTACACGTGCACGTCGTCTGGCTACAAGAGGATTCGCCTTTGTGGGCTTGATTCCACCAGGTGTTGGCTTGAGCCTTCTCACAAGATTTTGGATGTTTCTAAAACCGTTCACCACCGCGGCAGATGCAACCTTTTCATCTTTATGCATAAGCCGCATCTCATAAATGTCGGAATTTTTGCCTTCAATCGTCCGTACACAAAATCCCTCCTCCGTGTACTTGTTCGGGTCCGTATGCATGAGATGATTTTTGTATATCCCCAAATAATTATGTGCGTATCCACCGGATTGAGATCCCGAATCATTTGCCCATGATAGGTCTTTGAAAGGCCACATCTCAGGGGCACATGAGTTGTAGAGATCAGTGACGGGCATATCAGGAACGGATGCGAGTCCCTCTTTGGGGATCAAGTTGTACTCTGAGCTCTCGATGAGATTAACTAACTCTTTCGCAGTCAAGACACAGTCGACGTCAGATGCCTCAAGTTCAGAGCTCGCCTCAGGACGAGCGCTTTCAAGCTTTTTATCAAAGCATGGCATGATTGATAAGTGATACACATTTTCACGCGGAATTCCTAATTCCTCAGCAGCCAAACTCTTTAGGATGCATCCCGTAATTTGCTGGGCCGATTTCACCTGAGACATGTAGGGCAAAGCATATGGATGAGTCTTCTCAGCGTACAAAACCCACCCGGGACAAATTGAGGAGAGGACTGGTGCAGTAATGGTGTCTTTTTTTCTCTGCATTAATTCATGTGATTCTTGAAGAAGAGATAATTTGCGGCCAAGAGCAGTGCCAACAACAAACTTGAATCCCAACTGGTACTGGAAGAAGTTCACTAATAGCCGGTCCATTTCTTCGATGGAGTAACCAAACGCATGGGCTAATGAAGACCTAGATTGATGTGATATGCTCACAACGAAAGATTTTGTCCCTTCTGTAAGAGCCTTTAAAAGCTGGTCGTGGTTGTGCTGGGCAACTAGCACTTCCTCTGCAGACGTGATACACCCCGAGCAAGCAAGGCAGTCTGCCAAAGAAATTTGTGCGGCAGAAAGAGTAGAGACTTTACCATCAATCTTAGATATCTCGAGCGGATCTCCGTTTTCATCAATTTGGATTTCCACTTCACCAGCATTGCCAGCACCTTCACTTGGACCTTCTACTGGTTTTATACATGCCACTCCAGGGGATATGAAATCATTAAGATCATCGGCAGAGAGAATAGCGCTCATGGAAGAAAAGAAGACTGAGCTGACTTGCTGACTAACAATTATTAACGCCTCACTATTGACCATCTTGTGGTGTAAGGGTGCGATGTGCTCAATATACGCACAAACATACTTTCCGATAGGATTATGATTACAATTTATAGATTGTAAAATGTAGCCAAAGCACGTTTGGATCATTGAAGGAGAGATACATTTGCATAAAGAACTAGTAAAGAAAATTCTTGTTAAATTTGATGTAAATTGCTATTGTGTGTTTTACAAAAAGGTTTCAATGGACACTGTATTCACATAAACGGCGGGTTGTGTTTGAAAAAAGGCAATTGCTCTATGATTTTCAACTCACACTTTCAATTCTTTTGAAATCATAACCTGTTTTAGAACATATTCAATTCTCAAATAGGTTCACTGGAAGAAACAGTAACAGTCGGAATAATGAGTGCATTTTCTGTTCAGGGTCATATTACGTAATATCCACGGGCCATGATGACCGTCCAGGCCGTGACTAACGGAAGGGGACGGGCCGAGCTAAGACACTTGGTACGTAGCTGGGCGCTGTTTAAAGGCTTTTTATATATGTATTATTTATATAGTTTTGCCCCTCTAATCAGATGAATCTAACAAAAAAAAGAGCTTGCTGGACACGCACTAAACGTTGCTCTGCACAATATGTATTCGTTTTTCCACAAGAATGCACATCATACCTTGTTGATGGGCAAATTGTCGTCTTGAAGGCTTGTTTTGATAGCCTAACAGCTAAAGTTTCAGTGTTACAAAAGTCTAACCTCTTCAACACTTCAACTTTAGATACAGGAGTAGAATACAACTAGTTCTTTATGATTACCAAATATCCTATACTTAGTCCATAAAGCGAACTAAATGGTGTATCTGAAAAGAGGGTTTTGTTTGTCAGTCAAATCAGCAAACTCATGGTTTTCAAGCTGCTGGAATTCTCTGACCAAATCGCTATCCATGTTTGCGTCTCGTCTCTTGTTGTCAAGATAGTAGTCAACCCAAAGAATCAACATCAACACAATAACTATGCTGAAACAGGCCACCATTGCCACCACAGCGCTAGTATAAGAAGGTGCCTGATTAGAAACAAATGTCTGTGGACCAATTAAGTTACCCACACAGTATCCGATTAAATAGATAGCGCTGGTGGTGACCTTTTTTGTATGCCCAGCACAATTTGAGGCAATCAACGACAAAATAAAAATAGAGGAAATTGCCAAGAGAGATGTCATCGAGTACCCAGCGAATTGCAACGTTTGATTGTCGGAGAAAGCAAGAAAACATGTGGCCATCAAGACAATACAGAACGTCAAAACCGACCAGAACAAGCGATACGGATAAAACCTGTAGCAGTAGCAGATCAAAACAAGACCACCTATTTCTACTGCACCAAATGGCATTCCCATCAACAAACTTTCTCCGGTTGAATATCCTAGCTTTTCGTTCAACAAGATGGAACCAAAGTTAGTCAAACCTCCGTTTGGAATGTTACCCAAGACACCCATGGCGAACAAAATCCAGGTTCTGCGATCCAACAATGTTTCAATGAGTTGCTCTTTCTTGAAGTGCTTATTACCGAAACCTTGCTGGTTGTTTCTGATTCTTTCTACCACCATTTTCTTTTCTTTCTCCGTCAAAAACCAAGCATCGGTTGGTTTGCTTGGAATATGGAAGAATATTGCCACACCCAAGGCTATGGTGATTGTTCCTGTTATAATAAAGATCAACTTCCAAGGACTGATACTATAACTGTCCATGTTCTTGTAAACATTGTAAGCAATTGCACCGGAGCCAAGTAATGTGCCAATACCATTGCAAGCAAACCAGAGCGCTGTTCTGAAAAAGACCTCTTCTTTTTTGTACCATTGGGACGTGATGATCATGAATGCGGGAGTGACAGAGGATTCAAGCGCACCCAAAATTACTCTCAAGACAACAAAGCCAGCATATTGAGGAACCGCATGCAAACAAAGAATCAATCCCCAAAGAACCACATATATAGACAACATCTTTGAAAGATTGAACCTCTGAAGTGTGTAGGAGCCGATAAATTCATAAAAAAGGTAGCCAAAGTAAAACGCCGATCCGGCCCACGAATACTGGTCACCAACCATGTTCAAATCGGTCCTCAAACCGAGGATTGCACCGTAGGAGATTGTTTGCTTATCCATAAACTGCACGCAATAAGTTGTACAGATCAAGGGCAACAAGTACAAATCAATTTTTCGAAGCAATTTCTTGTCTTCCTCGGGGTCTAGTTCAAAGGAGTCCTCATAATTTTCTGCGTACGCAACTGCATCATCTCCATCACCCGTGATAACAACAGGTTTGCCCGTGTTTGGTGATATAAACGTGCTTATCCCGTTTTCTTGCGAGCTTACTTGCTTGATGGCAAGCTCACTGGCGTCTTTCTTCTCTGAGCTCATTTTTGGTCAGTTTGTAGCTAGTATATCTCTGATACAGATAGCAAACTCTAAGGGACATGGTAGACTTTGCTACCTTTAAATAAACTCGAGGCCAGATAATCATATCGATAGATAACTGCAATGAGCATCGGGTTTCCGCATACAGCGGAATTCTAACGCTAGATAAGATCAAACATATATGTGCCGGACGAGAATGCACTCCCGCTTATATTTCGTAACTAGGAAAACGAACTAGAACTCTGTTGCTATCTGTGCTAAGCACTGCGATATTGTCAAATGCTATGGTTAACATTGGCGACGAAATTTCAAAGTTTGACCTAATGCCAAGACCTTTCCGGGCTCCAAGGCATCGCGGCTTATGTCGTTCGCCCTGCTGGAGAGGTAAATTATGTCAAAACGTCGCGCGAAGAAATTTGAATGCAAGCCTGTGAACGCACGTCGTCCATTCGGATCTAAGATATCAAAACCGCAGATGCAACCGCACCCGATATTCATCGAGATGTAATTTGCTCTCGGAAAGCTTATCAAGTGATATTTACGAGTTATCTCACACAGTCAGATAATTCCCGAAAGCGCGCTTAGCAAGTCCGAAATGGGTGAAATCGATTGCGCTAGACTTATCGTCCTCCGGTCACGACTTTGACAAAAGCGCCCCGAGAGGACGAAATTTCCTAAACTGGTGCTGTTTGCAATTTTATCCAGATGCTTCAGAGCCATTGGTAGTGAATGGGGCTGAACATGTGGCCTTTGATCTCGATATTTGCCTCGAAACTCTTGGAGTTCGCCTGCATGCCAGAATCATTGACTGCACATAACTCCAACGTTTGGACGGGGGAATCTTGTTGATGAGAATCGTGTACGAAGAAGGATAATGGTTGCCTCTTTCATGAGTTGAAGTTTCCGTAAACAAAATCGTTTTATTTTGTTCAAATATATTGGTATATTATGGGGGTTATGCAACTCTACAAAGCTTTTTCAACGCTACGAGCCCGTATTTGCCATGGTTGTGCGAGGTCTAAAAGATGCATCCAATGCGCGACTGTTCTCCTCTCCAGAGGTGAGCGAATACAACCTGGAAAAACCTGATTCTACTCAGTACAAACCTCTAGAGTAAGCAACCGAGGCCCTACACGTGGAATACTAGCCATTTGACATCAAACTTATATTGTGGCTTCTCTTTGAAATTTTTCGAACGCTGAATGCTTGATTCGTGCGCGGTTCAAAGTTAAATCCTGTGACTAACTCCCCGCAAACTGGCACTTCAAGTGCAAAACAGTCACGAACATGTCCGATACAGAACACAAAGAGGATGGTCTTCCACACTCGCTGCTGAACAGTGTTTTGAGTAGTGCCACACCTCGTTTAAATGAAACGAAGAGAAGACGTGTGACCAGAGCTTGCGACTATTGTCGACTCAAAAAAGTGAAGTGCGATGGTAGACAACCATGTATACATTGCACAGTTTACTCGTTCAACTGTTCATATGACCGGCCGAATACTAGAAATCGGAAGGGGTACACGCCGCGGCCTAGTGTTCCACAGTCCACTGCGTTGCTACAACTGATTGCGATAAACAAACAACCGTCTGCAAGTACAGTCAACGAAAACTTGATTCTCAGTCAAAATATATTGAACTCGCTATTTCCAGCCGTTGGATTCAATTTCTTGGATGATACACCTCAAGAGTTCGATTTCAAAAAGTTTCAGAGAATCATTTCTCAGTTGCAGGTGAAAAATCTGTCAAACTTGAATGTTTACGAAATAAGCGACATGTATTTGAGGGAACCTGGAGTGTCCCCATCACCTGTGCCCCATTATGGCTCTCAGCAGAGCACGACTCCTGACGAGCTGATCTGTGCAGAGATTAGAATATTATTGCCTCCGAAAGAAGCTGCCCTCCAACTAATTTATACGACCTGGAACAAGGCTTGCGTTCTTTTTCGATTTTATCATCGCCCATCTTTGCTTCAAGAAGTGGACTTGCTATACAGCCTTGATGTGCTGCAATATACTGACAGACAGCAAAAGTTTTTACCATTCATGTACTCCCTCTTAGCATGTGGATCCCTTTTTTCAAAAAGTTCTGACAGAAAAGTCAACAATGAGTCTCTCGAAGATGAAGGATTCAAATATTTTTTGGAAGCACGAAAACTCATCGACATCACTAATGTCAGTGACATTCCTTCGATACAGACAATCGTGATGATGATTATTTACCTCCAATGTTCCGCGCGTCTCTCCACATGCTATTCATACATAGGTATAGCTCTCAGAAGTGCTTTAAAAGAAGGACTTCACAGGAATCTTGAAGTTTTTCACTCACGCAGAAAACTCGACCCAATTGAAATCGACACCCGCAAAAGGTTGTTTTACACAATTTATAAGATGGACATATATATCAATTCGCTTCTAGGTCTACCCGGGTCTATATATGAGGACGAATTTGATCAAGAGTTTCCCTTAGAACTCGATGATGAGCTTATAACGAGAGAGGCATTTATCGTGGAGAAGCAGAATGGGAGATTATCTTCTTCAGCTTGTGCAAATCACCATACGAAGTTGACAATGTTGCTTTCTCGCATAGTCAAAGAGTTATATCCAATCAAAGTCAAGCCTAAAGCGGGAGCTCAGCAACCATTACCTAATATCCATGACACAGTTACGAAACTCGAGTTCGACTTGAAAAATTGGATGGCAAATCTTCCTTTGGAGTTACGGCCGACGGATCCAAGTAACTTTACAGGTGATTCCCACATACCTGATCGCTTTAAATTGGCTAATTACTATCTACATGTCGCGTTCTTGAATTGCCAGATAAGCTTATATCGGCCATTCATCCATTATATCAGTAACGGTAACCAGTCTAAAAATGCTGATCCACGATCTTTGATTAGGGGCAGAAATTGCATCAAAGTGGCAAGATTGGTGGTGAAATTAGCGAACAAAATGATTGATCAAAATCTCTTGGTCGGAACGTACTGGTTCTCAATGTACACGATATTTTTTTCGATTGCTTGTTTGGCATATTACTTCCACTTTGCCAATTACAATAACCTGGACAAAAACCTAGACGGTGTCAATTATGCTGGTGTCTATTTTGATGACGATTTAAATATAGACATGATCAGGAACGATATTGAAATCGGAAAGAAAGTTTTGGACAATATGAAAAGTATGTCACATTCTTCTGAAAGAATTTACAATATCTTGAACAAATTGTTTGAGCAGTTAAATCGCAAGACAGCCACTAGCTCTATGAAGAGTGATGGTAGTGTTCCTAATTTCGACACGAGCAATGATGCGATGGTTCAAATGAGCATTGCAAATTTCGACATGATCAATCAATTTGATGTTAATGGAGAGACCTCGACTCAAGGTGAGAATACAGGGAACGTTACAAACCCACAAGTTCCCATGACTAGTCTTTTTGATTTTGCTCCAGAAAAACAGACACCAGCGGATGAAAAAATTCCGAAAGATGTTCCTGTCGAGACAGAATTGAGAGCCGATGTCCCATATAATACGGAATTCAAGGTACAAAATACTGAGACTTGCTCGAGGCCAGTGCAAGAGCAAAGTCGAGATTCTCTTTCTGGCGCTGAGAATAACGAGAATAGGTTCCTTGATGAGTTTATTCAACCTGCAGTTGATTACATCCCGGGTGTAATTGATGCTCTTGATACTCAAATATTTGGACGCCTACTTCCACCATACATGCTCGAAGAGAGCATCAAGCAAGCAGGCGAAGGTAATCCAAACAATCTAATGTTTGACTCTGAAAAATCCGGCGACTCTCAGTATGACCCAGATTATACAAATCTAAATCCTGTTTCGTATGATACGGATCCTCTTGCTTCGCTTGATCCATTCTAGTCTTGCCGTCGTACATTATTGACGGACTTAACAGCTTTCGAGGATTTCATAATTCATACTTATTTTATCCGATTACATACCGTCTTTTAATTTATCATCTGATGGAAATATAATGACCAATTTGATATCGAGGCGTAGTGCTCGAGAATTTGAGATACTTCAAGCCTACCTTGTTAAATCTCGATATATTTAGTGCGTCGTTGCAATGTGATCAAAAATGAGGCTAGTGAAAATTTTTCCCTTACCGCATTATTGCAGAAGATTCGCTAATGTGTCAAAATCACTAGGCTTTGACGAAAATAATGAGAGAAAACTCACCAATCGTCGCCCCAAGTGTCCTCCTCGGCATCAATATCCAAGTCGAGCTTTAGTGTTGAGCCGGGTGATTTTTTGTTAGAGCTCAAAGTCAATCTTGAACTCGAGCTTGACGCCTTAGGTGATGTAGAGTGGCTAGCCTTTATCCTCGAAGATAACAGTAGCGCAGGAACACTAGATTTGGGTGCCGCGGCTACTGGCGAAAGCTCATCTTCAACGCCGTCGTTTTCCCATTGGTAATCGTAGTCCAGAGCTTCTTCCCATTCTGTATTCTGTCTTTGAGGCGACGAGACAGTGTCGATCTCAGGAGTCGAGGTGTTAATAACCTTGTTGAGTGTTCCATTGACGTGCGTTGGCCGAGAAGTGACGAGCCTGTTCACAACACTCCAGCCGATAGACAAAGAGCTTTGTGGTTCCGGGACAGCTGCCTCTGTATTTTCTGAGGCACCAGATGAATTCTTGTAAAATTCTTTTTCTTCAGCATCCTCGTCTTCTTCATTTTGAGGGAGCGATGCAGCATGTATCTCGACTGAGTTAAGGTATAATTCGAATATGCGTTTTGATTCCTGCCTGATTTTGAAAGACTTTGGATCCATCAAAGCTATAGCGAGATGCCCCAAGATTTTAGAGCAGATCTCTTCAAGCGAAAAGCTCTCAATGAGTCTCTCAAAGCCTGACAAAGCCGCCAACTTACAAGGAGTGAATGAGTCGCGAAGTGATTTAGCAAGAGCCGTGATAACAACACTATTTCTCGATGTAGAGTAAATCTTATTCGAAATGTTAATGATCAAAATCAAAGTGTTTGTTCTGATGGATGGTTTAGGATCCATTTGCAGTTTTGCCAAAATTTTGAGGAGGTCTTGATTGACCTGCTTCACGCTCACTTTATCTATGATCGATGTTATGGAGGTCAAAGTAGTCTCTCGGATGAGGAAGTTTGTGTCCTGAAGGCCAGTGAGTAAGTTGTGAAAAACTTTGGTTTGCACTTCAGTATCGGTTAAGCGTCTGCGGAATTCAGGGAGGTGTTTCAAAAGTAGGAGACGAATAGCCCTATCGGAAAGCGCAAACGCAGTGAAAATGATGGGCTTTATATTCTTTGAAAATGCATCATCCGGAATGCTTGAGCTTAGTTTCAAAATGTGATTCAACAAAACCGAGTTCGTCTCTTGCCGACTTGCGTGCTCTTCAGGAGTAGAGTTCACTGTTGGTTTTTGACTGATCACAAATTTGTATTGCTGGATAATTTCGGGAAGAACTTTGTAGTCAAGAAATCCGGGAGGTAAATCACCTTCAATGTATTCTGCAATATCATCTCTGAAAAATGCCAACTTGGAGCTTTGGTCTTGAAAAGTGATCTCTTCAAGAAGTTGTGCGAATTTGACTAGCCGATTGGACTTGAAGTAATTACTCGTCTCTGATGCAAAGCTTTCTACGTCAATTCTCTTCTTGTTTGGAGCAAGCAACTTGTGTACAGCCGTGGACAACGATCTGGGTATGTTCCCACAATCAGGAACTGACTCAGAGCCCTTGGCAGATGTCAGGCGTTTCAAAATGTAAGTTCCCTGGAAACTCTCAGCGGAAAACAAAGCAGTGATGAATACGCCAAGCTTATATGAGTCAAATTTGAGAGGGGATTCGCGGATTGCTTCAGCTCCACGCTCAATTACTTCAGGCGGCAAATTTTCATCAAAGTTGGGCAAGTGGTGGGCAAGACGATATATCGGTTGATCCGGATCAGAGCGGAGATTGGTTAGAAGCTCGAAACCGAACAACTTCCAATCTCCCTGTGCATTCACATAAACAGATGAAGCTAAATCTAACCTGCCATGCACGCAGTGTGCCAAAGTATTGATTAAAGACAATGCAACGGAAACATTATAGATTCCGTAAATTCTTGCGTCCTTCGAAATTTTTTCGCCGTGCTCTTGTAAGTATTTCGTCAACGGGGTTATGCGTTCAGTGATGATGTAGAGGAAAGACTCATTTTCAATGAAGTCGACAATGCCGAGAACTCCGGGAAATTTGATCAGTTTCAGTTTCCTGTAGCAATTTATTGCCAGCTTAGTGTAGTTTGAGTTAGCCGGGTCTTTCAAGCTAAATTCAAATATAGATACTGGACACTCATTCTTTGGGTTGATTCCATTGTAGACCGTCCACACCGAGCACTTTTCTGGGTAGCAAGACAGAGCAGGGTCCACAATTTTCTCCTTGAATGTATATGGAATTGACTTCGTAGAAATAAGGCTCAAGGCACTTGAAAGAAAATCCATGGCAGTGGTGTGGATTCGTCTTGGGGCGTAGAATGCTGATACTGAGTAGAGGATGTTGACAGATCGCGTGTTGGGACGGAAGGATGCCTGCAGTGAAATTACGAGACGAATACTGATATATCCTCACCAATAGAGTTTTGCAAAAATGCAATCTGAGCATCGATTCCTCACAGACTGAAGAGAACTATGCAAAGCAATTGCTTTACCGTGTACATGATACTGGCGATAGTGCTAGAGAATTCTCAATGGTGTTTATCTCATTTCAGTCTAACGCGGCTTGGTGGGACAAACGAGCCTACATAGACGAGATACGTGCTGGGTTCCTCAGCGAGCAGATATATGTCATGGTAAAGTTCATTCTCAGCAGAGTCTGGACTTTTCTTAGCGGCTTAAATTGTCAGAAAAACGACGAAATTGATATTGTATAGTAGGATGTTGCTCCTCTGTGATTTTCGCTTCATTGCCAGCAAGTTGAGTCCCGGGGCCTCGTTTGCTTTGTTGTACCTGCATGAAGCCACCCTAATCAATTCTGGACCCACCTCAAACCTTGGCTTCATAACACAATGAATTTCCTCTTGACGCACATGACTATGAGATCTGGCCTAGTCTGTTCCAGACGTGTCGTTCATTACAATGCTCGGAGACTACGCTCACGTGAAATATATTCAAAAATTACCCACGCTTTTATTCCCTCGCGGCTGATAAGTATTAGTGGATCCCATGTCAGAATGTCTTTCTCCTCTATTCGACTGCAACAGGTGAAGAGTGACCCGAATGACCACCCCCTGGGCACTGTGGATATAAATAAAATCAACACAGCCGCAGAACCGTCCGGTGAGAACAGCAGTCCAACCCAAAGGTCTGTTTCAGACTCTGCTCCTCGACAGTCGCTCGAGTCCGACGATAACCCGACAAAGGATGGCGCTAGCTCGGACGATTTTCTCACCACCATATTCGAACATTTGGAGCCCTACATAGATACGTACGACGTGTACAAACAGCTCATAGATGCTGGGTTTACGCTGTCGCAGTCGGATGAGATCCTCAATCTTGTGATAGTCCAGTTGAACTCGAAGTTAACCAAGCTTCTGACTATCTATTCGCAGCTCTATGAGCTCGAAAACGAGCGGTATTTGTTTGAGAGTGCCCAACAAGAATTGCACGTAGATATCACGCGCAACAGGGAGCAACACATAAACGACGCCATCAACCAAATTAATGCCTTGGAGAGAGACTACGGTATCATCAGTGACGAGCTCAACAACCACTTCATTCAAATGAAGAACGATATCCAAGTCGCTATCAATGATCAAAAGTCAGAAAACACGTTAATGAGCAAGAAGATCATGTTGCGGATGCAAGAGACAAACCATAAAATCACTACCGAGCTCAATATGGCCATGCGTCTGGAAATCGAGTCTTTGCGGTGGCACTTGTCACGCTGGGGGTTGATAGCTATTTTGATCTCCATTATCACTGCCTGTGCGGGCTTCTACGCCTATAGAGTTCATCATCAAAAACAACTTACCGAAAAGAACGAGTTTGTGCCACTCGTCATATACGAGCCAAGTGAGTTTGATGAGGACGATTACCATGCAGACCTAGACCCAAACGCTTTATAGAGAAGGAGGAAGTATGCAATGAACTATTTAACCCGGAGTAGTATGGTATCAGTATACTTCAATTCAAGGAGCTGCTCTAAAATTATATTTGCCGAGGCTTTTGCGCCGGACATTCGATAATTCTTCAGTAGTTCAGACGTGTCATCGAAGCTCAGACTCAATCACGTGAGCTAGATCCCCTTCCATCACTTCTTTGCTTGCTCAAAAATCTGACCACCCAGATATCTTTTCAAATATGTCAGATGAAAGCAATGCATGCAAGCCATTTGCTTGTGCCATTCAAGACTGTTTGAAACAGAATGGGTATAATGAAGCTAGATGCACGGCGGCGATTGACGAGTTGTACCGATGCTGTAAGCTGTTCTACGAAGACAATGGACCTGAGGCTAAAAGCGTTTGTTGCCCCAAGTTCAACTTGCTCCAGCTTAAGCTTAAGCAAAGACTGTTAAGAAAGATCGATGCCGAACTCATACTGCGAGGCAGGTGAGGGTTTCATTAAAGTTTCGGAAAAGCAAAGAAATGAGAAAAGCACACGCTTGCCCAACTTTCGAATATAGAGACATATTGTTTAATTTATGACGAGTTTACAAAGTTTTACGGAGCCACCGACAGTAGTCAATAGACGCGATGGGCTGTTGGAAATGTAAGTTAAGAGCCGTGATACTATCCACAAGGAAATAGCACAACGTTCAGGCCGTTAGAACTCGTTGATCTGAGGCATACCCGAGCACGAAAGACCACACAGTGGTATAGATTACATGTAGAAGAAGTCATGCAAACCGTGACTCTAATGGGCGCCTCAAGACATTATGGAGAAAAATCTTTCTTGGAGGGGACTCGAGAAATGAGGGTTTATATACCTATGACCGAGGCGGGTAACCCCTGATGATACTGTTTTAGGATACAAGACTGGAACAACTTGCCACAATGAAAGAAAAGCTTCAAATCCCGAAACAAAAAGGGTTTGTTGAATTTAGCAGGTCAAAAACTTCGATAAACTATTTGTCTTTACCATTTTCAAAATGCACTCTTGTCTCACATGCTGATCAACTCTTGCGATCATATTCTCTGTAATCGGGCATTAGGCCCTTGTATTCGGACTCGTCAGTGAGCCATATGGCGTTTCCCGTAAGGTTCTGGACCGAGTTGCTGACTTTTGCGTGTTTGTCAAATTCCTTAGTCACATCTGGGATATCCTTGGGGTCTGCTCCGAGTTCCATGAGCTGCTTCCTCAAAAGCGCAATGTGCATGGACATTTTGAAACATCGCTTTGAAACTTCGACTCTTTCTTTAAGCATTCTAAGATCCTGCTGTTGACGTGCTTTGATGTAGTTTTGCAGTTGGATCTGCAAAGTTTTCAAGTTTATGGCGGTAGTCTCTTGGTTGAGCTTTTCAGCCCTGACTCTGCCTTGGTAATTATCAAGAGCAAGATACGCCAAGGCCGTCATGGCAATTAGACTAGTAAGCTCTTTAGCTGGCCGCTTATTTGTCAGAGAATTGGCCGACTCCTCATGCGTATTTGTCGACTCTGTCCTGGAATCACTAGTTTTGGATGCGTTGTATTGTAAAGGAACTGCCTCGGGGTCATTGAAAAAAGTGGGACCCTGTGCACGATGCAGCCCTGAGAATTTAGTGGAGAGCCACCTGGATGGACGGCGTTGAAATATGAAGCCTTTGGAAAGCATGTGTTGTCAGTATAAAGACTGTTCCGCATTATGATATATAAGCACCGTCATTCGCGATTGTAGGGCAACCGCGTGGTCATACCGTCTGGGGTCATGTAGCAAGGTCTCAAAACATGAAAATTCAGACTTTTTATGGTTTGTCCACCCACGAAGCCAATGAGAGAGTGGATGCCCGATGCAAATAATCTCACCCAATGAGTTCCTCGTTTCCCTCGGGGCAATGCAGAGGAATGGCAGTGAATCTATTTCTCATATTATCGCGAGGCGGCTCTGGTCTCGCGAATCGAAGACTATATACTCAGCTCGGTTACTTAACGGGCTTTTCCATCGGCAGCCTTGACGTGCAAAATGTCACCATCTTCCACGAAGTAGTCCTTACCCTTTTGCATCAACTTACCAGCGGACTTGACGGCCACTTCGTCACCGTACTCAATGAAGTCATCGTACTTCATCACGTTGGCCAAGATAAAGGTTCTTTCCAAATCAGTGTGGATAGTACCAGCGGCTTGAGGGGCGGTGTACCATCTTCTGATGGTCCATTCTCTCACTTCATCTGGACCACCTGTGAAGAAGGAAATCAAGTCCAACTTGTTTCTCATGGTGGTGATGATCTTGGGGAAAGCAGAGCCAGCACCAACTTCCTTGATGTAGGCTTCTCTCTCCTCGTCCGTTTCCAAAGTGGCCAAGTGGGACTCCATGGAGACGGAGAGCGGAATGACAACATCGCCAGGGGAGTTGGCGTCAACCCACTCCTTGATCTTCAACAACCACTTGTTCTTTTTTCTGACGTAGTCTCTCTCACTCAAGTTAAGCAAGTAGATACAAGGCTTGGCCGTCAAAAGGAACATGGAGTTGATGACCTCGACCTCCTTCTGGGTCCACTTCTGGTTGGCGACTCTGCCGCCAGTCTCCAACAACTCGATGATGCTCTTGACCAACTCGGCCTCCTCCTTCTTCTGCTTGACCTCCAAAGATTGGCCGCCTCTCTTGGTGATTTTCTCAATGCCCTCCAAGTGCTTCTGGGCAAACTCGATATCCTTCAATCTCAACTCATCCTTGATGATCTCCAAGTCGTTGATTGGGTTGACCTCGTCGTTGATGTGGATGATGTCAGCATCCTCGAAACATCTAACGACCTGGTAAATGGCGTCCACGGCTCTGATGTTGGCCAAGAAATTGTTACCCAAACCTTCACCGGCGTGGGCACCCTTGGTCAAACCAGCAATATCGTAGATGGTCATGAAGGCAGGAACCTCGGACTTGGGCTTGTACATCTCACACAATTTATCGAAACGGGCAGAAGGCACAATGACTCTGGCTTCTTCTGGCTCGATAGTGGCGAAAGGGTAGTTGGCAGGGTTACCAAGAGGGGACTTGGTGATGGCCTGGAAAAACGTGGACTTTCCGACGTTGGCCAAGCCAACAATACCGGACTTTAAGTTGTTACCTGGTCTTCCAAGCAAAATTGGCTTTTCGACGACTCCCTTCTTTTTTGGTGGCATTGTTCTGTTGTAGTGGTGGGGTTCTGCTAAAAAATTTTCGGTTGCGCCGATTTTACTTGGGTATGTACAATATACACGCGGCCTCTCCAGCAGATGTTCGAAATGTTTCTGAAGTATCTGGGGGCCTACATTCGGTGCTCGGTGACGTAACAAGTTTCAGTTCCAAAAAGTTTCAAAGAGTTCAAAGCGCCTACGCTGAACCTGCTCAACCAAATACACGTTTTTCGTACCGTGCAATTTGGCAGACGATAGGATGAGGCGATGCGTTCTTTCGTGCAATTTCAGGACCCAAGTATAGAGCGCTGTTCGCGGCACCTTTAGGGCCTCAGAAAGTCAGGGTATATGAACGAAAATACTTAGGCCGCATTCATATGGAATGAAGAGCCAAGGCGTGCAGTGGCCTGTGAAGATTAATCTTCGAGGTTACAGGTTTTCAAGCTTTTTCTTTTTTCTCCCGTGTCATTCATCTCCTGAATTATATTAGGACCTGACTTCAAAATTTGTCGTGCGACTCTAGCACCGGGCTCGCTCAACGCACTTCACCTAGTTGGTGTGCGCACACACTACAATCATCGTCAATAAACCAAATCGTCTTTCTCGTAAAATGTTTAAGTTGCCAGCTAGAATCCTCCACTTTGGGCTGGTGAGACCTTTCTCCACTTCTTTCGCTAGGCTCAATGCACCAAAATCCTCGTGTGCCGCTGGGACAGTCTTGAACTTGAAGGTCAGAAAAAATGGCGATGAGCCCGTGGCCTTGGAAGATCTGGAGTACCCTGAGTGGTTGTGGGACATTCTCGATAAATCCAAGACAGAGGCTGCACTTAAGGAGGAAGACCCAATAAAATGGAGAAGAAAGCAGAACTCGAAGAGAACCACGGCTAAGATCAAAAACAACAACTTCCTTGCACAAATGTAAAGCATCTACCGCTGGCACCACTTGTCCTTGTACATATCACAATACATATATATCGATTGTCTTCACTATACTCGAAGGTTTACGGCAGATCCTCGGCCTACCACGGGTTACTCTCCATTTCATCTGCGCCCCACTCTTTGTGCGCCAACGACAGTGGAGGCTGCATCTGTTTAAAAAGCTCGTCGCCTTTAAAAACCTTCTTTTCGCCCACAAAAACTTGTCTCTCAGGAGAATGTTTGTGCAACGATTCGGATTCCAGTGGGATTTGTTCCGTTTCGCTCTCATCATAGTCATATGAGCCATTAACCATCTCGTTTTTATTATGCGTCAAAATCATGTCGATGTCGTCCATGATTTTGATGGGCAAGCTGGGTTGGTACTTTTTTGCACGAAGCCTCTTCACACCTCCAATTCCTGCTCCATAATTGTTAATAAGCTCACTGGCATTTGGAAGAGCCACACCAAAGATATGGTTGGGGTTGAGATAAATATACACTTCCTTCAGCAAAAACGTGGATTGAGTCATGTAGTGAATTTTCGTCTTGGATATCTGGGCTTCACCTTGTTCGGCAACCAATCGCTTGAGTAGCTGTATTAGAGATTTGGGGAACTTGTTCTCACTCACCTCATAGCGGTATAGTTTCGCAGTCAATTTGACTAGCTGATAATAATTGAGTGTGTCGAACTCGTTTATAGTATTGATAAGCGATTCTTCATCCTCCAATCCAGTCATAATCTGGAGCCATTGCAATAGTTCAATGGTCGGTAACAATTGTGTCTTTGCAATGTGATAAAGGGACTTGTAGTAAAAAGACAAATAGTGGGGATCAGACTCTTCGTTTTTTCCTTCAAGAAGAGTAGCGTTATTGATTATTTCTGCCCCATCAGGGGCATTCAAAAGATCACCTAGGCCTCCAATTCGATCTGGCTTGTGTGCGCGGAAATCATGAGAGCGCAACCAGTCTTCCAAGGCAGATAAGTTCAAGCGGATCTGAATAGCTTTTATTCTTGAGCAGTATTGCGAATTTGCCATTAAGCGGTTGAATATGATCGCATTGATGTAATAAAATACTTGCGAGAATGTCTGGAGACGAAGTAAAGGATCAACACCATGAATCTCAAGAACATAGTACAAAGCACCCAAAACTTGAACGTACCTAAGCGGCGATGGCTTCATCAAATCGTTTAGCGTCGGCGGAAAGAGCATTTTCAAAATATCATCGTACGAGTTGGGATGCTTCTTCTGTGTCTTGAAAATATTCCAGTCTTTGGCATATAAAACACTGGAAACGTCAACCAAGCTCGTGAAATTGAGCATGCAGTCATCAGCCAATACATTGAGGCGAGAATTGATGGAAAAGGACAAAGTGGCGACCAAGGATTGAGTGAGGTTCATAAGTTCATGCAAAAACTTGGGGTATTGTGAGTACAACTCTGCCTTTGTAAGGTAGAAATGTAAGAACTGGATTACCGAAAGCCAATAACTAAGGAGCACAATATCCCCGGCACCGCTGGAAGGTTTTTTGTCGTTCTGATCTGCCACAGTCAAGGCCATGTTAAACACACCAGACTTGGTGTTGGTGACGGAGCGCAATCTTGTAACAAAGCACTCGAAGAGAAATTCAGTGAGGTCCCTGGAGTCCACTTTGTTGTGCGAGTAATGGACCAACTGGAAGAGAATTGCCGCAGGGGCTTTGGTGTTATGTTGCTGGGCAGGCGAGCTCGTTCTCAAGCCGAAAATATAGTCGAGGAGTGAAGGAATATCCAGGTCTGAAAACTTGATGAACTGTTCCGGAAGCGGCTTATGGTAGTTGAAGTCCGAAAGCTGCAAAAGATGCGAATCCAAAGCCAATGTGGCTTCCTCGTCAGCGCTGTCTTCGGAATCCAGTAGTTCCATGCCTTGACTGTTGGCAAGCGTCAGCATGCGAATCTTGAGGGCAACGTCGTCTACAGAGTCGGTGTTGCTGTCTCCGAAGGAATGGAGTGGGTAGACTTCCGCAGTCGTCGGTCCGCTGGTGAACAAGTTATGGGTCTTGAAGTAGTCGAAAATCTCGGGGGTACTTTTTGATGCAAGCGAAGATGCACATACACCATTCCCGGTGGGCGAGAGTTCGGGGTCCGCCTGGAACTCAAGCAATAAGGACATGATCGAGACATCCTTTACAGAAATAGCCCACATGAGGGGCGTGTACTGGGCAGGGGATTTGTCCGGCATGTCTGGGTCCACGTCATGGATTCTAAGAAGGGAATCGACAATGGCGGTTTGTTGGAACACCACGGCAAAGACCAACGGGGGAAACCCGTCCTTGTCCTCTGGGTAGAACGACGCAACGAGTCCCGGGTCCGCAGCTATGGCGGCCTCAGCAGTGACAAGATCGCCCTCACAGACGGCCGAGAAAAAGCCTGTTTTGGAGGTATTGGTGGGGCCATTTTGCGGGGCCTGGCTCGCAAGCTCAGTTTGCAACTGTTGCTTGGCATGAACAATCCCAGCAAAGAGCGGGTTGCCAGCGTCTAGGCATTGGCTTCCCGCAGAAAGAACAAACGGTGAAGGCGAGCTATCGGTCCAGGCGTCCATGAGAGAAATCACCGGAGTTCGCAGTGCAGAGAAGGGCCAGAACGAAAGGAATGGCGGTGCGAGGAAGATGTATGCGAGGGAAGCATGCAGCGGCCCCAGCGAAAATTAGGTGTGGGGTGTGCTGGGCCGCAGCGCGCTGGTGGCCCTGAGACGGCGGGCCACGCCTGGATTAGAACATTGGGAAATATGGGTGGGGCCCTGGGAATCCTGTTCTCTGATTCGACGTGAGAAATGCTGGGGGTCACTAGGCTGTTTTGGGTTTTTATATTTACGAAATGTGGGCAATATGAAGACAATCACTGGGGTGTTTGTCGGGCGAGTCGATCTTCCATATAGGGCCGCTTCCTTTGGGCCCAAGATTGGCACCGGAGCTGGGCGCACGCCTGCGAGCCAAGTATGGCCGGGCCCAGCACAGGACCTCGTACATGTGTATAATTATAAGTCTATCCATGTTTCGTAGTTTTCCTATTCTATGATGGTTTCAAGCCACAGAGAAGGATATAGCTCACAGAGACGTCAAATATGTTATTGACGTGTTGTGCTGACATTGTCTTCATACTGTGATTAAATTCAGCACTTCGCTTCCGTTTTCGCAGTGGAATCCTGGGTCTGCCCAGGCCCAGCCTCCACCGCCCTCACCACCCGTCGCCCTGGGCGCGCCCTTCTTTTCCTCTGTCTTGGGCGCCTAATACTGAGAAGTTGAATCGATCCCCAACACGCAACTGCCACGTCCAACGGCTAATTCGAATCTTCATACATCGCCTCTCGGAACGCCCAGACCGAAACCGTTTTGTTCGCTGCCTTCAGCAACCACTAAGTTATATCCGGCAAAAGAGACATTTCCTCCCGCCGTGCTTGCCATTCATTTTCCCCAAGCACAGATCAGCATGGCATCCCGCATACAAAAAAGGATCATATACATAGCATTGGTGCTCTTCCTTGTTACGGGCCTATTTATAGTCGACAAGCGGCCGCATCAGAAACAGGAGCACTCAAAGCTATTTTCATCGCTCCAAGATATGATGCTGCTGGAGTTGCACGCCTATCTCCCGCACGATACCGCTGGGCAAACCCCTTCCATGCCCAATAAGCAAAAGTCTGCCAGCAGCGAAAAAGATAGCAAATCTGACGACGAAGTCGAGCTAGAAGCTTGCACCACGCTCAATCCCACTCGCGGCTTCATTGATCTCAGAGGCCTCACCAGCCACGCCCAAGAAGGTAAATTCCAGGCGTGGTTGGCCAAGGACTACGAGTCCGGCAGAAACTTCACAGTGGGTGTCTGCCTGTCGCCCGTGAAGAAATCCGTGTTGAGTACTGCAGCCTTCAAGGATTCGGTGAACGCGTCGGATGTGGGCGCTTATTACATCGATCCGGAAACTGACAAGTACGTGCTGATGGGCCAGTTTTCGGGCAAACCAGTGTTCAGAGGGAAAAAGTTGACCATGACGTATGAGAACGGCTCGTTCTGCGACTCGATTTTGGCAAGGGATGGGCTGAGGATCCGTCGAAGCACAATCCTTACATTCACCTGTGACCGCGAGATGCTCAACAAGGCCCAGGTCTCATACATTGCATCGGCCCAGGAATGCACTTACATGTTTGAAATCAGATCCCATTATGCATGCCCGACAGCGGCCAAAGCTGATAACTTGGCTGCTATCTGGATATTTCTCCTCATCCTCATGGCCGCATTATTGGTTTTCTTCTCCGGCAGTCTCATCATCAAATCCTTGAGGGTCCTACACCTGAAAGGTACGCCCATCCCTGAAAAATAAATATTAAGCTATAGAACAGACACTTTCTCAACTTATAAAAGTCTGGCATTCTCTCTTCGGGGCCCTCCCTCAAATTGTTTGACTTTCGTTTATTTCTACATGACAACTATTTGGCGGTGCCACTTACGTCGCCCCATTGGCCACAACTTCGGCAAAGCCTTCTGTTTCAGCCTTAACTTGCAATTTGGCGACGACCTTTTTCCCTGTGCATGCCAATCTGATTTGTGCACCCACTCTTCCGCCCCAGACATCTTTACCCATTGTCTTCAAGACATGAGAGGTCGTGTCTGAGGGTACATAGTCGGACCCGTCCAAGGGCATAGAATTGAATGTCTTGAGAAGCTTTGAGACCGCACTCTCGATGCTCGTCACACCACCAACCGTGACGACGCTGCTATCTTCATATGGCAATTGCTCGAAGACACTGGTGAAATTGGAGTTGTAGAGAGGACTGATGAAGTCTCCGGCATTGACCTCCAAGTCTTCGACCTGGTACTCATCTTCTATTCCCTCGTCAGCTGGATCAATGTTACCATTTTCATCGATAACATCTTTGCTGTTGTAGCTGATTGTGTTGCCGAAAGCCGCCAATATATCATCATCACCGATCGCAGGCGTGGAGAAAGAAACATACACACTCCCTGTCTGGTCGGGTCTCAATTCCGCCAAAGGAATCACAAAGTCCTCCTGATACAATGCGTTGTCAGGCTGCACAATCAAGGAAACATCCTGCAAAACTAATGTAGACAAGGTGTTGGTAATGACATATTGAATGACAAGTTTTTGAGTGTCCATGAAAAAGTGTTTGAGCGCAGTGACAACAAACTCATTCTCCTTGTCAGTAAGGTAAATCGAGTGGCTTGAGGACTTGGTCAATTTACCGTAATCGGCAAAGTCGGGAATTTGAGCCAACGCCATAGCATATTCTTGCTGCTTCAAATATTCATCGGCAGAGTCTGGCTTCGCCGATTCCGAGTTGCGAGAATTGGAGTTTCCTGACATGTCGCCATTTTCTGATTGTGTAGCACCTTCCGCTGCGTTCTCCAATTTGTTGAGTTTCTTGTTGTACTCCAAAGATTTCACCTCATCAAACGTGAGAAGAGGAACCTCACTTATGTCGAAGCTCGACGAAAAATTGTTCTCATCTTTAAGATAGTTGGTCAACTTGCTTTCCAAAGCCGCCAAGTTATATTTCGAATCGTTAACAATGAGTTTGGTCTTCTGATTGTCAATGAAGCTTAACGAAAGGGTAGCACGGTCTCTAACTTCATCATCAACGTCCTTTAAGCATCTGCTTAACAAAATCTTTACATTTCTGGAAATCTCTCCTTCACATACAGCGGCAAACTTTGCGAGCGCAATTACAGCCGAGGATCTCACGATCGAATTTTCCAAGACTAATCTGTTGTATATGTGTCTGATGTAGTAGGAAGCATTTGACATCTTGGGGCCTTCGTCTCCTAACAAGTGCAAGATGCGAACAGACAATTCAGTGAACTCACAATCCTCAATGAACTCGCACAAGTTCATCAAGATAAGCTGTTTGGCGCTCTCATCTGGCAAGTATTTAATCAAGTCGAATAATGCTTCCACGATTCTTGATTTCATTTGCAAAGAGCCATCGTCTCTCAACAAGTCAGAGAGGAAAGCCACTAACTTTTTATGCTTGGAAGGAAATTTCAATGCCAAGTTTTCGATGGCATCGATAATGACGACTTTGAAGTCCTCGGTGATTTCGTCCATCAAAGATGTCATTTTAGAGATCAATCTGTCAACACTCTCAGAGCTCGTCGACTCGACTGTACCTGCACCCAATGTCTTCAAAAGAGTTGTAATGGCCAATGTCGAGACCGATCTATTGGGGTCATTAATCAAACCTTCCAATTCCAAGTTCACAACCAAGATCTTCTCGGGATGTTTCAAAGAGACCTTGTTAATCAATCTGACAGCCGCGAATCTGGTGGCAGTGCGTGGAACTGTCAACAATTTTTGCAAGGTGAGGATAACAGCCATATATCCGTCATCCGGAACTAGCAGCAGTAAACTGATCAAAGTTTTACAGGCTTCCAACTCAACCATGTCAGACTTGTGTTTCAAGAAACTGGCCAAGATTGGGTACAAGTGCGAGCTCAAAGACCCGTCATCGGTCAACACTTTGTTTATGTACCTGATGAGCTGAATAATCGACAATGAATTCTTCAAAGACGAGCCTTCGTGCAATGAGGTAATGAGCTTCATTAACGACATTTTGTCGTGGTTTCTCAACTGATACAACAAACCCAACGCGTGGTACTGGTACATGTATGAGTTTGTTGGCAAGTTGGTTGTGGCACTGCCGTAGTACTCGTGCAACTGGAATTGATTCGCTGGAAACTGCTTATACGACTGAATAGTTTCCAATGTTTCGTTAGAAAACCGCTTCACGACGTCTTTTGCAATAGGCAACAAATTGTACGAGGAGATCAATGCCGCAGACGACACAATCGGATTTTTGTCCACAAGACAGTTTCTGAACAACCGCTCGGAGGCAGAAACAGTGGTTGGGTCCAAGACTTTTGACAATGTTCTGATCGCGTTGGGCTTGTAAATCAAGTCTCCTGATTGAATGTCCTTCATAATGGACGAAGTCACCATTAAAATATCCTGCGACGAAGCCGCAAGCTCTTTAATGGTCAAGTAGACCAACTGGCGCAAAGCTGTGTCCTTGTGCTGGAAGAGCTTCGAAATTGAGAAGAACAAAGTCGTGGACTCTTGCAGCGGAAATTGCTCGCCTTGGTAAATCAACCTCAATAACTTTGCCAAGAGTTGGCGACACTTCTTGGTGTTGACGGGCAGCGCATTGAATTGCTGCAAGCATTCTTGAAATACGGCCATTTTGTCGGGCACAATGCCCGAACCGTCAGCAGCCTTGAGATTTTGCGTGGACATGGGACGTGGAGAGTGACGCTGGGAGATTCCAACACTGATGTTTTTTTTGAGTGTACGTGTAAGAAGTCGGGCGGGCACAATGTCACGTGTCTCGAGTCACATGTTGCCATCACATGTCCTATCACGTGGGTGGGCGCACGTGCAACTAAGATAGGGGCGTGCGTGGCCCACGACTGGAACCGCCCTCGCATATCCGGATCCGCACGACGGGGCACAAGGCTGGAATGGCCAGCTTTCATCAAAAATGTAGAAAGCGTCGCATAATTACCCGATGACGAAGATAAAATGAAATTTCTTTTTGTACATCATCGTATCGGGGACGAGCAGAAAGTAATGCATGTATCAAGTATAATGTTTGGAGAAAAGCTGATAGTGTCGGTATGCCGCGGAACACTCGGTCCCTTTTCGCTGCGAATCCGCAGTCTCGATCCTGCCACATGTGGTTCGAGGAAGGCGCATTAAATACAGGATATACTGTCGACTTGGATTTTGCCCTGCCCCTGCGCCAGATCTCCTTATATCGTAAAGCCTTGCTAATTTGAATTCACGCCATGTTCCCAGACAAAGTCCGATTCAAATTTCCAGTCTAGTTTGGTGTGTCGTTCATGGGCTCGCTTCTGGGGTGACCTTTCAATTGTGTCTCACTGTCTTGACTTCAGGTCTCGTCGATTGAAGTTTCTCTGAAATACTAGTAATAACAAGCCTGCGTATATGTACGTTCCACGAACACAGTCCAGGCTGTGTCCACGCGCAGCAATATATGCGGCCGATGTCGCGACTCATAACCCCGGGTCAGATCTGCCTCTATACAATTCTCTTCACTCTTTTAAAAATCGTCACAAGTGTCTCAATAGAGATCTATTAAAGGGTATCATTGTTCATACTATTTCCAGCTTAGACATCTGATAATATGATGTGGTGCAAACTCCGCAAAAAGCTATTATTGCTTCTAATACTGCTAGCAGTGATCATATTGTTCGTCTCTCAAACTTTCAGCTACTCGAATGTTCAGAAGCTACGTTTGAATCCCATGCACCTGGAGTTCACAGAGCATGACACTAAACTAAGGACACTACTACATTTCTCAAATTATAAATTCTCGTTAGCAGATGCTTTTGAGGATGAAGTTGGCGGATGGGACGCGTTTGCTGCCAAACCCAAACCCGATCGCTGCCTCTCGTTTTTCAATTTCGTCGATGCCAAGTGGCCTGAATGGGAAGTGGAGCTATTTCGCAGTCGTCAATTTGATAAAAGCATTGTGAAGAAAGACAGTATGATTAAGTCTTTACTAAAGAAGAGCAAATCAGGTGCGGATTCACCTCCAGAAACTATAGAAAAGAACAAAGACAGAGCGAACAAGACATATGACCGCAAACTCAAAGAAACAATCTCACTAGAGCAAGACATGGCAGACACTATGACAATAATTCGGCTTTTTGGGCACTGTTTCTTCGATGGTGACTCTCTTCCTGTCGAAGGAAAACTCAAAGAGATCTACAATCGCTATTCAGCCAAGGTAGTCCCATTTTTTAACGCGGAGATACCGGAAGTGTTTGCTAATGATTCTGAGTTAGAAATTCAGGACGCTTTTGATATGGGTCTGGTCCAGGACAATAATCTACTTGATTTTTACTACAAAAATATGAAAGGGACAGGCATTGTGCTTTCTATGGCTACGCGCCATTCACGAGATGTCATTAGACTCATACATGTACTTCGAGCATTGGGGAACACACTTCCAATCGAGATATTATACAGATCAGATCTCCTGAGGGATTCGAAGAAGGCAATACTTCTTGCAGCATCTCTGCAGAAGACCACCTTTCTTGGTGACAAAATGACTGATCACAAAATATTTAAGAAAGCGCTTGATCGGGCTGGAGCTAGCGCTTCAGACGTCTCTGATCTGGATTTCCCGAAGCAAAAGGTCACCTTCATCGATATGCAGCGCACCTTGACCAAATTGACAAGGAGCGATTTTTCAGATTATGATAACAAGCTTTTGGCTTTGTTTTTTAACTCTTTTGAAAATGCGTTTTTGTTTGATGTCGACGCAGTTCCCCTTCTTCCTGTTGAACAGCTTCGGAATCTCAAAGAGTTTAGTGATACTGGAGCATACTTCTTCAGAGATAGAAATTTGATGGACAAGAACGACTGGATAGAAACAAATTTTTTCGCCAAATTGATGCCCCATGAGTCAGACAAAATTGATATGGCTATGGGAATTAAACCTGTTACCACGCACACCCTAGGAAACTCGTACATGAAGGGTTGGAGACACTGTCAAGAAGCCGGCTTAGTCATGGTTAATCGGAGACGTCATTTTCGTGCACTTCTAACGCTACTTCCCCTCTCTTTGTGGGGAGAGCCTATTGGCTCCCTGATCTGGGGAGACAAAGAAATGTATTGGTTGTCCATGTCTGTAGCAGGCGACGAAAACTATACATTCAACAAATATGGGGCTTCGAGTGTTGGCGAACTCACGGCCGAGACATCCCTAAAACATTATAACAACACAAAATCATTCGAGCTATGTAGCTCTCATCCAGGGCACGTGGCTGAAAATGGTCAACTCTTGTGGATAAACTCGGGATTTTCCTATTGCAAAAAAAATGGTTATAGCCGAGATAAATCAAAGTTTCCGTTCTCAGCTTTTCAAGATAAAGATGAAATGAAGAATCTTTACGAGAATCCATTGAGAATTCGACATGCCATACTGCCCCCAGAACTTCCCACATTACGTGACCCTAATGGCTCTCCCGATTTATCGAGAGAACTTTTACACACGTTAGCAGACAAGAAACGAAAAAAGGACGTTGATGAGATGCCTGGAGTAGATCAGATCGACACTCATGATCCACAAAAAGGCTGGATAAAGAGCCAGACTTGTGCGAACTACCAGTATTGCGCCTATAATGCTATACAAGCTCTCGATGCTCCTGGACAGTTGGATGAAAGTGGACATGTATTCCAATTTGATGCAGAATCCATCAAGAGATACGATATTTTAGGTGCCATCTGGAGTTCATCACTTATTATTAGCGATTTGCCAGAAGAGACTCCAAATGAAACTTTAATCCCAGATAGTGACAATGGGTCGGATCGAGACGTCGAATATTTATCATCACTCGTCTCTGCTGCGGACCTGTTTTCTCCGCTAGATGAAATCTTCAAATTCTGGAAATGGGAAAAAAACACGGATTCCGAGAGAGAGGACCTGAAATCCTCGGAACATTCTGAAGAATTAATAGCTACCGGTCTGCTCAAAGAGGAGAAGGGAAAGAGCGAGAAAATTGAAGGTGGTACCGTGCGTTCTGACCCGGAATCTGAAATCCATTATGACCCTTCGGAAGTCAGACATCGACCTGAAAAACTTCGCAATGCTGTCAACGACGTGCTTGCGAGGATTCAAGCAAACCAATGATCTTCAAGGGTTTGCAAGCACTTAGTTGAAAAAATATGCATCTGTTAGATACTATAAATAATATTCATATCGTCATAAAGTTTGTATAATATAATACATCTCACGTGCAGTACACTTTTGCCTTATAGGCCTCAAGTGTGTGTAGGTTCAAAAGATCATTAGTCTTTCTGAATCCGGCCTCGAAGTTTTTCAAAACTTCAATCAGCTCCCTCTCGGATTGCAACTCGACGCGCAAGAAGTAGAAATTAAACGATGAAACGAAGCTATTGTTGACCAAAAACTTGTTGAAAGCAATATTCAACAAGTCTTTAGACTTCGTAATGATCAAGAAATTCACCATGTTATTCAAGGTTCCGGCTGAAATCCTTTCTAGTTCAAGTACTTTGCAAAACTTGATAATGGCTTCAAATTTAGTAGTTAGTTTTTTCTGGTGCATTCCTTTGAGTGACAATGCTGCTTTGGTTAAATCACTAACCAATATATTGAAAAAAATCTCCTTGTTGCCAACCAAGTGCAAATTCTCAAGATAAAGTCTTTTCATCCCGAGCAAATCTTCTTCGTTGAGTAGCGCTAGAGCAAAGCTCTCGCGATTATCGTCATGAGCGCAAGCGTACACTTCATGGGAGCCATTTAAGGATGACAAGAGATTCGAAAATTGTACAGACTGCTTCAAGTCGGTCGAGCGGTCGGCTAGCTTGCCGAACTTTTTGACGACCATTTCGTACGACCCGATGGAAATATAGTAGCCGAGAAGACATGCTAACAATTCATTAGACTTCAACAACAACTTTTGTCCTGCAGCTCCGGCGAAATGGAGATTGAAAATGTGATTAATCTGTTCCTCTTTATCAGATTTCATGTACGCAATTAGAATTTCTTTCAAAAATCTCACATCCGTGCTAACACGAACATCAAGTCCCTTGTTGAGCAGGTCAAAATTCTGAGAAACAATGGCGTATATTTCCAGGTTTCTCCCGACTTGATTGAGTTTTTCAAACAAAGTTGCTTTCCATGAATTGCAAGGGTTGATATTCGCAAGACGCTCAAACTCCTTGATAAACAAGGTTAGAAAATAATGATTTTTTGTAATCTTAGCGAATTCAGCCATACAATTTAAGAGACTCGATGCAAGAATTGGCTCATATTGGGGCGCAGAAAGAAACTTGAAAATTTCGATGTTCACCTTCTCATTATTCAAGGATATCAATGAAGCTAAATGCTGAATTATCTGTGCATCGCTTCTGACTTGCAGCAATCTTTTGATAAAATCGCTTGTTTTAAAAATTTTGCCAGGCTCCAAGACATCCAAGACAAAGCTGCGATTTATGATCACTCTCCAAGTTTCGTCATTAAAATTGAAACCTTCCTTAAAAGATTTGACAAATAATGATAAGCCTTCCTTATAGCTTATGCTGAAAAGAGGAGTCAAATCCATTTCATAAAGAGCTGGGTCTAGGAGCCTCATATTCATATCTGCCACCTCAATACCTAATTTCGAGCATGCCTGACAAATAGATTCGGTCAAATATTGAGTTTCCGAATATATGTTGAAAGCTTTTGTGAAAGAATTTTTCAATGATGCATTAAACTCACGCAATTCTCCTGGAAGATCTAAGTAATGGTTCTCAGTATCCTCGAACTCATTAATCATGTGAGCCTGGTATGTGAGAATTTTTGCTCGTTCAACAACAGTCAATTCACAGTTCAAAAGTTTGTTTTGCAAAAATAACATAAGTGTCGTCAATCCATAAAAATTATCATCTTGGAGACTGCAGCTCTCGAATGCATTCGAAATGAACGTCAGATTCATAATGCGGTCGAAAGTCTTAGGAGAATCAAGGAGAATATATGAAACAAGCTCGCTCAAAAAATCGTTCAAGTGAACAGAATCATTGGTGAAGTGTGTGGCTTGGTTCTCAAGAATAGCCCACATAACCTCATAATGCTGACTGCCTCCATTGCCTGCCTCTGTGGAAAGCATGTAGCAAAGTTTTCTCAAGACACTCCAATCCTCAATTGAGATTCTTTTGACCAAAATCTCCTTGATTAAGCGAGAAACCTTTTGAGAATCCGCCAAGTCGATGCTAATTGAAAGGAGCATCTCCATGGAATTCGACTGGGTCACGTCAGAAGTGAGAAAGTCCTTTCTAATGGCAATGTAATTGTACAAGTCCCAAATTTTGTGATAAATTTCCTGCTGAATTTGACTCATATCATTGCTGTCCTTCTTCTGTACCTTCATTTGTTCCATCATGACATATTCTGCAATGTACCTGGAAATCATGTCGTGAAAAACAGTAACGTTGAGGTCTGGAAGATATGGAACTTGTCGCATGTTCAGAAGTAAAGTGTGAGCTTTATCAAGATGCTGAACAGAGTTAAGTTTCATGACAGCTAGCAAATAATCTGAGATCAAGTCAGAAATAGCAACTGTGTTAGTCTCGAGATTCTTGTAGAGTTCATCCTTGTAGCTGAGAATTATGTCATCCAAAAATTTCGTTGCAATCGGCAAATTTTCACAGGCGACTAATCCTTGTAACATTGCAGAGTAAATGCTATACTCAGCCATGGAAAGCTGTACCAGAGTCTCACATTGGTGTTTGAAAGTATCAAACACATCACTCATGAATTTATATGAGGCCTTCTTATCAAGTCCCAAACTTGGAAATTTGCGAAGGTATTCCACCAGGGCAATCAAGCCAATGTAGAACAGTGCATCACTCAGGGTATGATCTTTGAGTTGAAGGAAAAAGGTAGCAAGTCGTTCATTGAACAAACCGGGAAAATGTTTCAAACAGTAAAGGACATTAGGAAGTATATCGCTCTTACAAATTTCAAGGTCATGAAGCAAGGATGCATATAGGTCGACTCCCACTTTACAAAACTCCAGAACCTTGCTGATTTGTTGATGATAAGTGTGGCGCGGAAGCTTGCTTCTCGTTACCAAAGTAAGAATTTTCCGGCTACCGTCAAAAATGGACCTGAGGACAATTTGGTAGGTTTCTCTATTTGGGTGACAGGTGGGTGTGGACTGGCAAGCTATGAGCACGTCTTGATAAACGGTTAAAAGACAGGTCAATCGCGATTCTGTGGCAGAAAGAGTATCTTCACTATCCAATGCTCTCATCACAATCGACTTCAAAATAATGTTGTACTCGTCAATGGATGGAAGAAGAATACCATTGCGCTTCAAAGATTGATAAAGCGGGTATATGATATTCAAATCGTCTGGTGAAGAATAGTTCTCATACGCTTGCATGATTTGAGCAATTTGCGTTCTTGCAAAGCCCTCTTCAAAAGGCTCAGAATATTCACCAGACTCGTGGGCATCCGGGCTATTTTTCAATGCTGACACTGCCTGATCCGGCTCTTGTTTAAACAAAGGTTCGATAATTTCGAAGCTTTCTTCGGTCTTACCAGTCTTGTCTTTGGCCTGGAATGCAGAAGTGGAGAAAGATCTGATGTGACAAAGCTGCTTCACAGAGCATTTCAGCTTGACAAGAGATGCGGTCGAAAGAAGATTTCGCGTGACTGTTTTGAGCCAAGTTATATCATTGTGTATATCCTGCTTTGCTTTTGAAATAAAGAATTCAGGAACAAATTCTTGGGGCGTTGAGTCTCGGACAATTATGATGATTTTTTGTGGGCTAAAATGAGTGTTGTCATGCTCTTCCTTCCGAAGCTCGTGATTGAAGAGGGTGAAGTAGATGCCGTAATGCCCATTTTTAAAAGTGAGAAAGCTCTGGTTCGTGGGGTGAGGCTCCTCCAGGGCCCATCTTCTTGCCTCTCCATTAGCACTCAGAACCAATGCATGGTTGTTCAAGTAAGGTAAAGAACTTTGGAAAAATTTGAGCCGCTCCCGGCGAGAGCACTTGACAAAGCCAAAGTTGGCCATGGTGGTGACCGGGCATTTAGATAAATAGCGTTCCATGTATGAGTAAATACTTAATGCAAATGGCTAAAATAATATGCACAGACTCGAGCTGATATAAAGTGATAAATAAATAAGAAGGAAAAAAATCTGAACAACACGGGCCGGGCCGGGAAATCTCAGTCACTGGTAAATTATTTTGAGCTCTCAGAGGCGAATAGAAGATGCGAAAAACGGTTGGTGCGAGCCATGATGCCACATGCAGGAAGCGAATCACATTCGGCGGACCTCGGACATTGCGCCGGTTTATTCCTGGTCGCGGGCAAACTCGGGATGTCGGTTGAATAAGACTGGAGATGCGTATAATATAGGATCGTGGATAACGATAATATAAGATCGTAGATAGTCTATTGATTGAATGAATAATCATAAGTTGCTGTCACAGGGAATAGGAAACAGATTTTATATAAACGCCTGCAAGTGTTTTGTGTTAAACTATATTGTCTATTCAGCTTTTTGCGGGGAAACTTGGGTCGGACAATGCAGGTATGTGATTCCTGTCTAGCGTGCCTCAGTAATCGAAAGTGTTTCAGATCAAATGCTCGTGCGGTGCGCCCCATTCTAACCTCTGTAATTATGAAGAACATCGAAGTCAAAACTTCAATTATGAACGAAACCAAAATTTCCATTGCAGTGGCTGGCAAAAGTCGGATTTCTTTCCCGTCTTTTGAACTCCGTGACTAGCTGTTCACCTTTACCACTGACAATGAAAAACAGAGAACCTCCATCCTAGTCAAATATTCGATCGGCAATCTCATGAAACCTAATTTTTCGAATGTTTCATGGACATTGCGAGTGACAGTTTTCCCTGTGACTTTTTTAAACCCTGTCCCACTTCTACTGCTCCAACATGGAAAGCTCGATTATCTTCCGCAAGACCTCATCCTCTGAATCATTTTGTAACGATTCCAATTGTCTGTCCATATGTAGGGAATTGCTCAGTCCCTCAGATTGAGATGTTTCAAGCCCATGAACACTACGATAACTTTCCGACTCCGACAATCGTAAGGCAGCTCTCAATTCTAGATCTTCATCCAGTGTAAACGAGTTCATTTTAGATGCTTCTTCCAGTAAAGCTAGCGCTGCGGCAAGATCACTGTCATCCTTATCATTTAACACATCCTGCCCGTTTTGGCCGCAGCTAATACTCAAGGCCAATGCAACTCGAAGCTCATCTTGTTCGTCGTCGAATTTAACGCCGTTATACTTATCGAGAAGGATATCTTCTTGGAGCTTTTGATTAACCTGTTCGTTGTAGTCAGCCATTTCGGATTTGATGTGCTGATTCACTGTTCTTCGAGATTTCAAATCAACAGCCTGTGGCGCAAAAGGCTTCTTCTTTACTATAAGGTCCTCACCATATCGGAAATACTGGATAGCGTCATCACTGACAACAACGCCAGAGAAGCCATTGGGTGAAAATTGAATTTTCAGAATGGGCATTGTTCCTTGTCTCGTGAACTTTCTAGAAATTTTTGTCCCTTCCCTCAAGTATTTGCCAGAATGGGCATCATAGAAATGGATCCAATCTGCCAATGCTCCAATAGCAATGACGGTGCTGTTCAATGCGACCTTCGTATAGGATTCGATTCCTTGTGGGGCACGATCATCACGAAAAGGCAAAATTCGAGTTTTGAACGGAATCGTGCCATCGAGGTCTCGTATGTTGACAACGCCAACGCTTCCATCTGAAAAGGTGAGGGCAAAGAGAAGGCCATCGCCTCCGGCAATATCTTGATTTCTTGGAAAACCGGCATCTTGCATGGTCCCTTCGATGATCGAGAGTCCCTCTGGTGCACTTTCTTCCAGAATTTTGCAATGCTTTTTATTATAGTGAAACACTTTAAACAGAGTCTTGTCAGCAACAACAACATTGTGGTCGTGGAAATCAACTTCAAACGCAATTGGTAATGAATTGAAGCGCCAACCGTGTTGGAATGAGGTGACAACCGTTGCCTGCACGAGATCGATGACATGCAAAAAGTCTTGAGAAATAACGACTACCGTCTTGAAGTCTGTTCGTAAGTCTAATGTTGTACCGTGTAAGTTCAAATTGGCAACAAGCTTCCCTGATATACTCCAGAAACTCAAAGCTCCATCTTGAGTTAGTGACACAACATCAGGTTTTTCCCTGTTCTTATCCAGGAACTTGTTGAGTTTCACTGCGGCAAATGGAAACTCGGATTGTGCTATTTTTTTAACCGAAGATTGGTTCGAGCCCGACGCAGTTGCGGTGATCAAGTTTTTCAAAAAAAGTCCTCCGTTCGTATTGGCAACACAGGAATAATTCCACGTGACGTCGAAGGCTACGATCTCGCCAAACAAGCTACTCTCCGGTATGAAGACTTGATTTTTACCCAGAGTCAATGAACACAGAGATATGGTACCGGAAAACTGGGAAAATGTCAAGAGCCTGTCATTAACAAAGTCTGTCTCAACCTGAGTGATCCGCCCAAACAGATTATTCACAAGTTGATACAGACGCGAAAAAGCCTTTGCCTTAGCCCATCGGCGAATGGCAGCCATCCTTCCAAAGTACTCCTGAATCCAGATATTTGATCGAGTGGTTGATGCAAAAATTTTGCCTGTGCCTAGACGGTTATCAAACGCCCGGATCCATGTCCCATTGTCCAGAATCACGTCATTCCATTTACGACACACCAATCTTAAATCCTTAAGGTCCACTGGGGAAACATGGGCGAATATAAGAATGAAAATCTCCAACGGCAATGCATTGATGCTGGTGTCCCCTCTTTGTGTGGATTGCTTCTCGTTTTCCGTAGTATTTCCAAGCGAATCCTGGTGCATTTAAAACTCGAGATTAGAAGATGTTCAGAAAAATTAAATACGTGTCGTGAATACCAATATCTGCGGGTCTGTTTCTGGGACTAGAGTTCTGCTCGTGTGGTATCAGGAACAAGCCAAAAGAACGGTCTTAAATGTGATGGCAAAACATGGATTGATTGCCTTATGCTGAAGTCACGTGGCAAGACTCTACGTTGCCTGTCGAAGTGAGTCAAAATGCGACATGGGGAAAATCTTGGCTCGGGATCTCACTGACTATGACGCAAAATGCCAGTATAGCACAAATGACCAACAACGAAGAATATCAAAACTCCTCACAGAACGGAGTGTCAAAAATTATGCAAACAGCTTTAAAAGCAAAAACCCTCTTATTATACGTCCAAGCGATGATAATATGGGTGGTGATTAATCAACCTGCCATTCGCCCGGAGCTAGCCCGGAATTTTACTCCTACGTGCACTACTAAAATTGTCGATTTCGCAGCTAAGATTTTTTCAGTCGTTCGTTCACTTCACTCTACTTCACGACGTGAGCGCTACATCCAAAATGGCTGACTCAAACCCGGAAGAAGTGCAGGATGTCAAGCTTAGAATAAGACTTCCTGCCAGTATTGGTGCCCAAATCGATTTTGTTGAAACGACGCATACCTTGCAAGAAACCATTTCTGATGTAAAGGAAGCATTGGCAGCCTCTCCACAGTTGAACAGTGTCACAAATTATTCGCTTGTTCTCGACAATGTTAGAATAACTGAAGATTTTGATGACTTTGATCAATTGTCCGAGGTTTTGGGTGGCAAGACCGGTGAGGTCAATCTCAATTTGGTTGAAAAGCCCTACAACTTGAAAGACGTCTACGACCATCTCATTAAGTTCAGAGAAAATATTGGTATGAACTTTTATGACCATGCGTCTCGTACCTTTAGTGTCGCCTCTGGATTTTCCAAGTTTAACTCCATTGGTTTGAAGGATATTCAAGTTGGGTCTGAGCAAAAGGCTAATTCCTCTGCTGGTGAGGACTCTGATGACACCAAAACACCAGAGAATGCGCTTTCAATCGATGAGGAAGATTTGCAGTCTATAAAGACCATTGTCGATAGTGTTATTGAGGAAAACCTGCAATCTCTTTCCAGCCATGTGGCCGGCGACTCCGTCTTGAGCAAGTGGAATATTCCCATCAAGTCTCTCACTTTAAGTCAGTGGAACCCAGTCCCACAGCAGCAAAAGTTGAAGGGGGACTTGTTGTACTTGACATTGACAACGTTGGAAAGTGAGACCTTTTCAATCACTTGTCATGCGTCCGGATTTTTTGTGAGCAAGTTGTCCAACGCAAATTTCGATCCTTCCTTGAAGGTGAATGAGAAGGGGTCTTTCCACAAGGACTACCTCTTGTACAACTTGATCGACAAGTTGTCTGCTAAATTCACACCTACGCTCTCTCAGAACAAGGAAGCATTGGGCTTGGCCTCGCAGTTTTCAGAAACCTACTTGATCCCCTCGCAGATCCCATCCAAGTTCTCTTGGGCTGTCAACGAACTGCAGATTAAACTGCAAAGCATTCCTGACTATTCCAGATCTCAGGTCGCTATCTTCTCCAATGGTGTTGATGGTGCAGAATTTGTGAAGGACTGGAATGATGAGTTCCAGGGGATTAAGGAGTTCCCACGTGAAACGTTTAATGAGCGTCTTCTCAGAGACAAGTTGCTCAACAAATATATCCAGGATTTCAACCAAGCTGCAGTCTCCACAGCGATTGAAATTGTCAACGGCAACTTGGTCCCACTTAACCCAAACGAAAGCCGGGACAAGCACATCTTTTTGAGAAATAACATTTTCTATAGTTTTGGTGTGGATGCCACGGGTGCTCATGAAAAGAGCGGTGGAGATGAGGCTGCCCGTTATTGTTTCGGAAAAGACATTTCTTCGGTCAAGCTTTTGAACAGAATTGATTCAACTGGTGTCTGTAACTTGCTTTCCTGTGTTGTGGACTACCTTGGCGAGCGTGTTGTGTGTCAAGCTCCAGTTCCTGGTGTCTTTAATGATCAAGTTGATGAGGAGGGACAGTCTCTTGACAAAGTCGCCTGTGGATACTCCATCGATGAAAACAAGATCAATGTCAACCCCAAGTTCGAAGAAGTCTTGAAGCCAGTGGCCGAAGCTTTTCACTTGAAAAAACATAAAGTTGAATTAGCTACTGGTGCAAGTACCGGTGATCAAGAGTTGGTCGTGTCCAAGGACACTAAAGGTCTCATCGGCACTGACGGCAGAAAATACTTGATCGATTTGTACAGAACCACCCCGATCGATATAGATTTCATTGACTCTCACTATGATGAGTCTTCTGAGAATTCATATCCCCACAAGGAAGCTTCTTTGAGGCATGAGGCAGTTGAGGAATGGTACAAGAGAAAGGCCGCTGTTATTTTCAAACTTGAGACTGAGCGCTTGGAGAAAGAGGGCAAGCTTGAAGGTGATTCCAAGCCTCAGATTGCTATTTCCTACGATCAAATCACGTTCAACCCGGATGCCTTTACTGGAGTCAATGAGTCGGATGAAGACAAACAAACGGTGAGAGAGTTATCTGAATTCGTCAAAAAACACCTCATTCCAGAATTCCTCAAGGATGTCTCTGAAAATGCTGTACCATATGATGGTGTTCAGTTGTCTGACTACTTGCACAGAAGCGGTATTAACATGAGATACCTAGGTGAGGTTGCACAGCAAGCCTTGAAGAAAGCTGAGGACTTTCAAACCAGTCTTGAGGAAACCATCAAGGTAAACGAGGCTGTCTTGGAAAGCGCGCGTGAAGAAGAAGCTAAAACAGCTGATGAGTCTGCTGAAACCAATGCCAAAGAGGCAGAGAATGATTCTAAGGACTCAAGTGTCTCAGAAGATAAGAAAGAGAGAGACACGACAGCCGCCAAAATGGTTCCCGTCGCCGCTAATATGAGAGCATTATACAATGTTTGCGTGCAAGAGATGATCGCTAGGGCATCAAAACACTTCTTGCGTAGAGTGGGTAGTACTATACCTGCTCTCTTGATGCCATATTTTGTCTCGCACTTTCATAACTGTTTGTTGGGTGGTGAGATCACGACTTCTCCCGCTGTGAACATTGATGAACTGTTCAAATCTTTCTTTTCTCAAGAGGAATTAGCGTTTGTCAGTTTAGATAACGCAAAAATTTCAAAGTCAATTGCAAAAGAAGTATTTGTGCGGTTTAGATACTCTCTCGATGATGAGTGGCTCAAGTGTGTCAAACCATTGCAACTCCTCAGAGAGATTGCTTTGAAGTTCGGAATTCAGTGGAAAGCACAGCAATACGCCTTTACAAAGGAAGCTTTGGATGCTAACAAACCAGTTGTATCTGAAAAAGAGACATTGGTGACACCAAAGGGTAAAAAGCACAAACAGAAGCAAACAACTCCAATTGCTGCTCCAGCACCTCGCACTACTACCTTCATTCCAGAAGACGTTGTTTCTTTCGTCCCTCTTGTGAAGGATTCTTCTTACAGATGTTCATTTGTTGACGAAGTCTTCGAGACCGCAAGAATGCAGATCCAGGAAGGTGAAAAGCAAATCGGCTTGGATCTCTTAGCCGAGTTGGTCGCGTTCTATCAACAAATATACGGAAATGTTCACCAAGAAACAACGGGTTTCTACTCGACTTTGGCTCAGATTTACTCAGAGTGTGGCTTACATTCCGAGGCCTCGATTATCGCAAGAAAATCCACAATCTTGCACGAGAGATTGACCGGATTGGACAGTTATGAGACTATCAACTCTTATGTCAAAGCTTCATTCTTTGATTCATTGAACAAAGACCACGTAAGTGCTTTCATGATGAACTTGAAAGCGTATCAAGATTGGAGTGTTGTCTATGGTCCTGAGCATCCCAATACCGTTAACACTTTCTCTAGTTTTGCAACGATCTTGCAACAAATGAAGCTTACCTCCGAAGCCAAAAAGTTCTTCAATATGGCTTTGGATCTTTCCATTAAATTGAATGGTGAGCTTTCTGATATTACTGCAATTCTCAGACACCGTTTGGCTGTCATGCTTGTGCAGACGAACGAGTACAAACCTGCTTTGGAACACTTTGAAAAGGCAGCATACGCCTTTAACAGGATTGTTGGTCCAGATGATGTCCTCTCTAAGGAGTGCTCTAGCTTCGCAACGAACCTCGCCAAATACTTGGTCTTTTCGGAGCAACAATTGGCGGAGAAAAAGAAGATCTTGGCCCAACAAGTGAACAAGAAGTCGAAGGGTTCTGTCAGAGCTACTAAGCCCCAGCCAGTGAAATCCAAGAAGGAAAAAAAGAGTGACCTGAGCACCCCAGACCCGGAAATTGCCAGCAAGTCCGTGGATGAGATTTTGCAATTCATTGAAGGGAAGCTGAAGGGCAAAAAGTCCAAGAAGAAGAATTAGATGCTAATTGAGCAGCGAAGGTGTATCTTGTATTTATCTTTTTGTATGCCTTCTACAAACGTTTGAGAATTGAAAATATCGAATTATTTTGGTGAACGTCTATGACTTCAATGCTTTATTTAGAAATAGTTCATGTGTGCTTGTCATCGTTCAACGAATACTCGACAAAAACTTTCCCGACGGTCTTGTCCTTCTCCCGGATTCCTGCAACCAAATCGTGCTCCAAGTCATTGATGGCGGCTAACGCTATGTCCTTGTCTGTGGTTAACTTGAGAATCAAGTTCGTTCTTGCGCCAGCCGTCAACACCGAAAAGTCCGTCAACTGAAATCCGGTTTTCATTGCTTGTGAAACGTTCTTCACTTCGGTATCGACAATCAGCCTGATCTGGGTGTAATCCTCGGATTTGGGGTCGGAGCCCCTGTCTATTAGTTCATACCAAGCGACCTTCAAGCTTCCAGACCCCGCCTTCATGATCAATGCTGAAACAACAAGACCCCCGACTGCGTCCAACCAAGACCAACCCAATAGAACGCCGCTAGTCACAGTAATGAAAGCAACACCAGCGGTCAAAGAGTCAACTCTATGGTGCCATGCGTTGGCAACAAGAATCTTTGAGTTCGTTTGATGCGCCACGCTCATGGTTTTCCGGTAGAGAATTTCCTTTACACCGATAGACGCGAGAGCGATCCATGCAGCATTGATATTGGGTGCAACCCTCTCAGACAGACCAACGGACGCGTGGGAGTGAGAGTGGTCTGCGGGTATATCGGGGCCCAAAGAGTGAGAGTGTGAATGCACTTGCAACACCAGCAACTGCTCATATATGTGGGAGGGCAAGAAAATCTCAAAGATCTGTAGCAATGAAGACCACCCTACTGTGAAGCCGGCAAACAAGAGCACTCCGGCCACAGCAAACGTGCCTAGTGATTCGAGCTTTCCATATCCCAATGGGTATTTGGTATAGGAGCCTTCCTTCAGAGCAACGTTCACGGTTGCCAACGTCAAAAAGTCAGCAACCATATCAGATACAGAGTGGATTGCATCTGCTATCAAGGCTTGCGAATGGAAGTAGACTCCACCCACGGCTTTCGACCCGGCCATGACAACGTTCACCACGAGCCCGATCCACGTGATTCTTACTGCCGGGTTCGTGAGAAATCCCTTACCCAAAAGCTCGTTATGATGGTTGGAGTGGGTATGGGTGTGGAATAGCGATTTGTGGTCATGGCTGTGGAGATTGCCTGTGTCATCGTGGCGATCTTCATGAGTATGTGAATGTCCCTGCGTGCTTTGGGTGGGGGCTTGTTTGCCAACTCCCGACACGCCAGCACTTTGTTTTGGCAGCTTGGAGCCAGAGGCCATATTTGCTATTTTTCCTGTTGAAAAATTTCTGTGTCCCAGGAACAAGCTTAGAAGCAGACAGACTGAGGTGTGCTTTAGTGAGGTGTTTGCTGCGCCTGTCACTAAGCTGCGTTTGCCGGTGTTCGCGTGCAGCAGGGCCAGAAAAAACAGAATAGGACGCCGACTCGGAGCTAGCCAAAGTCGCAGATTGAACGACTTAAAGGAACGGCCGGTTAACATGCAAGGCGGAGTATAGGACATTCTGTAGCTGGTTGGTCGAGCCGCAGTTTTCCTGTATTGGCGAGTAGGAAATTTGTAGTATGTGGAAACCTAACAAGTGACAGTTCTTGCGATGGCCCAGTCTGCGTCGCGTGTGGTGTAATATACGATTCTCTGGTGCTCGTTCGTAATAAATGTCAGCAAGTTGCGGGCACTTGGGGATCTAAGTGTAGATGGGCAAAAAAGAAACCTAAACAAGCTGAGAACTGGGAATTGAAAAATTGGGACTCATGCGGCATGTCTGGTCACGGCACTGACCTGAGTATACCCGAGCCAACCACCGCGATTGGACGTACAGGCACTTTTCCAAGGCAGACAGTAATTTGTAAGCACCTCACAAAAGATAGGGGGTTTTGGCTCGGGCGGAACACTTTCGGGTTCCTTGAACGTCATGGAAGATCAAGGATTGAATGATGTCCGTCTTTCCTGTTTTTTGAGTTAATTGGAACAACTGTTCTTCGTAGCTTTATTATATTACCCCAGCAATTTCCCCGAGCGCTCCGCTCACCCGAATCACTTTGAAAATTGAAAAATCAAGAACCAGAAAAAAAGTAAAACGCCTTTCTGGACAATTTGACAATCTGACCATTATTTCCGGTCCCCAAAGTTCTCGAAAATGTTGTTCATTGTCGTTTTCTGTTTTATAAATGCCTATAAGTGAACCATCCTCACTCCTTTCCGAAGAGTTTTGCCACAGCTTCCACCTTTGAATCCTCCGGGTCCCCGCCAATATCTCCGGGAGTCTCCAGATTATTGCTTGTTATAGGGACACTCGAAGTAGCCTGTGGAACAGATTCACGCTTATATTTTTCACTTGAGGGCTCTTCCCATTGCATGCCCCATGACGGATCACCCATGGCCAAGCGAATTTTCGTTAGCGCAATTTGCTTGTCTTGCGCTTGTCTCAAGCGTACCCGAAGATCGTCAGTAGGTCTAATCACATGCATAAAATTGCAGTGGTCACCTCGAGTACAAGAGTTAGTGTCGTGGGCCCTGCAATTGGCCTCCTGGAAACTGGACACTGGTGAGAGCTCACAGTATACTGGCCGCCCAGCATACCATTCCTGGTTTAGCAGCATGACTGCATCGTTGGCCGCCTGGGCTGTGGTGAAGCGTACGTAAACATTCCCACTCAAGTGGAAATTCTCATTCTCACACACAACTATCCTCTCAACTTCTCCCACGGTCGCTAGTTTCTTGAAGACGTCACTGTAGAAATGATCAAAAGCCTCTATCATCTGTTTATCGTTCATTGTCTCATTCTCATTGGTTGAAACCTTCGGGTTCTGATATATATTGGCTAAGAGAACTGTCTTGGACTCCGATGGCCTGATGTGTTTCCTCGAGCATTTCTCCCCATGTCTACAAGCGCCGATTTTTTGGTAAAAGGAGCATACCGATCTGTCCATAGTCAGCTGAGTCAAAGTCAAAAGTGACACGATACTTCTCTCGTGTCTAAATCTAGGTACTAAGTAGAAAAACGATAAAGTATGCACATGTTTGGCGTTTGGTATATAAAGCTTGTGCAGGTACGATGTGAAGATATCAGAGGAGATAACAACACAAAGGTCAGTCTACCTATCGGATTTTACAAATTTTCAATATATTCATGCTAAATAATTCGATTTCCTACATCCTCAGCATCCTCTCTAGCCATCAACTCGAGTTGGATTTCCTGATGATGGATATTGGAAAGCGCATCTCTCCAAGCCGTTCACCCTAGAATGCTTGTCTACTTTGGAAAATAGATTCATAACAAAGATGACGGTGCCACACGCAGCCTTTAGCTGCAGATGTGGGAAGAACAGAGAGACGTAGGTCATCCAAAAACTCAGAAACAAAACACCTGATCTTCTGGCAGCGATTTCATGGTTGTCTTTTCCCAACCCAACTCGCTGGACGCCTCAATCAAACTCTTCTTCATCTCTGGAGGGCCACAGATGAAAAGCCTATTTTCGTGAGAAGGCTTGGGCATGTACTTCTCGATCATTTCCTTGGTTATGTATCCGGTCTCTCCCTCCCAAGCAGCCGACGGCTCCGTGACAGCATAGTGCACGCTAAAATCAGGGTATTTTTTGGCGATTTCGTCGAGCTCGTTCTGCAACAAAATGTCGTTTTCAGTTTCATTACCAAAAAGTAACGTGAGCTTCGTCTTATCCTCCGGCGTAGTGATGACTTTAGTGATCACTTGCAAAATAGGAGTAATACCCGATCCACCAGCCACGAGACCAATGTGGTCGGCCATGTTTGTGGTGTAGTTCAACCTGCCCACAGGCCCTCTGAACTTCACAGTCTGGCCCTCCTTCAACATGGCAAATCTTTTGGAGACTTTACCGTTAGGATACGACTTCACCAAGATATCAAAGAAGCCGGTATCAAATCTGTTGGAGATCGGGGAGTAGTACCTGATCTCGTCCTTGCCATCGATGCTGAAACAACAAGCAACATGGTGGCCTGCGGGAATGTCCAACACCTCGTCCTCGTGGAACAACTTGAATCTATAAATAGCGGAGTTCTTCGAAATGACAGTTTTATCAATAAGTTCCAAGTCATTCCATTTCACAGGGTCAATCGACTTTCTACGTCTCCAAGCTTCCCAGAAGTTGATCGTGCAGATAATGGCCGTGAAGGTCATTGTGTATGGGAGGTAGTGGTAGTCAATGATGCAGGTGCCAAAGATGATGAGAGCCACCGGAATATAAATCCCGTGGAGTGGCTGCTTTAGCAAGTCTCTGTTATCATTTGACTCTGACATTTGAGGTTGGTGTGATGATCCGAGGTCTTTACTTTGACGAGAGAACCTGCGAGTCCAAATTTGTAAGTGGAGGGTGTGGTTCCGCGTGGTTCCACGTGAAAAAAAAAAAAAACACCAGTGCCTTTTTTGAGACCACAGGACAAGGGCGGACCGGGGGCTTTCATTGATGCTGCGCGGCTCATTAGATCAGAAAATTTATTCAAAATATGGATATCAACATGCTCGACACGAGCGTAGCACAACCTCGGGGCTCTATCCGAGACTTGGTTGTCCTGTAATGGGTATATAAGAGAGAATGGCGGCTTAGTACTCCTCCTCCTCCTCTGGAAAAGAGTCGGTTCCAACCTCCTCGTAGTCTCTTTCCAAAGCAGCTAAGTCTTCTCTGGCCTCCGTAAACTCACCTTCCTCCATGCCTTCGCCCACATACCAGTGAACGAAGGCTCTCTTGGAGTACATCAAGTCAAACTTCTTGTCGATTCTCTTCCAGGCCTCGGCAATGGCAGTGGTGTTGGACAACATACAGACAGCCCTCTTGGCAGAGGCCAATTCAGAACCCTCGATGGCAGTTGGGGGCTGGTAGCAAATACCAATCTTGAAGCCGGTTGGACACCAGTCCACCAACTGGACCGTCTTCTTGGCCTTGATCTGCGCGACAGAGTTTTGAACGTCTCTGGTGACCACGTCTCCACGGTACAACAAGCAGGTGGCCATGTACTTGCCGACTCTTGGGTCACACTTGACCAACTGGTTGCCAGGTTCGAAACAGGACGCAGTGATTTCAGAAACCGAGTTGGCCTCGTGGCTAGCTCTGGTCTTGGAGAACACCGGAGCGTACGACACCAACGGGAAATGGATTCTAGGGTAAGGAACCAAGTTCGTCTGGAACTCGTTCAAGTCAACATTCAACGAGCCGTCGAATCTCAAGGACGCCGTCACAGAGGACACCACCTGAGCAATCAAGCTGTTCAACGAGCCAAAGCTTGGCCTCGACACGTCCAAGTTCCGGCGGCACATATCGTAGATGGCCTCGTTGTCGACCATGAAAGTACAGTCAGCATGCTCCAAAGTGGTGTGGGTCGTCAATACGGTGTTGTATGGCTCAACAACGGACGTCGAAAGCTGGGGCGCTGGGTAAACAGCAAATTCCAACTTGGACTTCTTGCCGTAGTCGATGGACAATTGTTCCAAAAGCAACGAGCCCAATCCAGAGCCCGTACCACCGCCCAACGAATGGGTGAAGAGGAAACCCTGTAAGCCGTCACACTGGTCCGACATTCTTCTTACTCTGTCCAAGATATCATCCAAAAGCTCTCTTCCCACAGTGTAGTGACCTCTAGCGTAGTTGTTGGCAGCGTCCTCCTTGCCAGCAATCAACTGCTCGGGGTGAAACAAGTCTTTGTACGCGCCGGTACGCACCTCGTCGATCACGTTGGGCTCCAAATCCACATACAACGCTCTTGGAACATACTTACCGGAACCAGTCTCGGAGAAAAAGGTAGAGAAGCCCTCTTCGCCTCCCTTTGGTCTGTCAAGGCCCTCTTGCAAGTAGCCATCTTTTCTGATGCCGTGTTCTTGGGAGTACAATTCCCAGCACGCGTTTCCGATCTGGCAACCGGCCTGACCCACTATAAGCTGTTAGTAACCATTCGATATCTTAATTCCTGCCCATTCTATGACACGCAATTTCCCGGGCATACAGACTCATGGTTTTGGTTCCTTTGCCGCCGGGATCCGTGTGGCCCAGAAGGAGAAAATCGTGCATATCCACTTGTTACATTCAATCCTGCTTCCCGAGAGACGTTCACCAGTCAGGAGATTGAAAGACAAAGGGATGAAAGTGCATGACCGGAGATGCAAAGATCTTCGTTTGTGCCAACAGTCTCGCATCATCGTAAAGACTTTTTTGGGCTCTTATGCTTACCATGTGGTAGGTGGGTAGGGGCGTTGACTCAGATCACACGGTACCACAGACACGGTATAAGCAGAAAATTTATGTGTGCAATCATGAGCACGAGTATCCCAGGAACTCAAATTTCGAAGTTACATACCATTAATGCTGATGACTTCCCTCATGACTGTCGATTAAATGATGTGGGATGGTGCTATACAAGGCTCGGGGAAGATGTTTGGAACTATTTACGTATCGATATTCGCACCGCGCAGAGTTGAGCCCCTGGGTGTACGGATGTACACGATTTCCCGAAATGGGTGAAAAATAAATATACGTTGTTGCAAGGACGAAGAATTCATGCTGCTGAGTTTCAGGATCACTAGAGTGGGATCTGCGAGGACACAAGCCTTCAAGAACGAAGTCAGACCGCGTGGGCGACTCGTGTTTTAATCGGGTATTGTGTGTATTTTGCAACGTGCAATCGATGCGCGACGCTACGTTTCAGAAATTGCTTGAGACTCTTCAGTCGTATCTCGTATCAATTGCAGGTTGGCTTATATATAGGTGAGACAGAGGTAAGAGCCCCGAGTCGCAACGAAGGATGCAAAGGGCGACCGTAACGAAGGAGGTTAGAATTAGTTTTTGATTTCGTAGGTTCTCTGGAATTTGTCATCGATGTTGACCAAGTAGTAAGCACCTGGTGCGATGTCCTCCACGGAACCCTGAGGCTTGAAGTTCTTCTGCAAATGGGCCTTTTCTCTCAAGGCAATGTGCTCAACATACTCCTCTGGAGTCTTCTTCTGTCTACCCTCGCCCAACTTGTAGTCCAAGTTCAACACCTTCGTTATGGCCGAAATGTCACCGACGACCCTGACTGACAACAAAGTGGAGGCAAGACCTGAGCCGTAGGAGAAGATGGAGATTCTCTTGTTCTGTAACTCCTCGTTACCAGCGAAGTACAAAACAGAGGCCAAGGAGGCCCAACAAGACGCGGTGTACATGTTTCCGGTGTTGGTGGGGACCTTCAAAGCGGACGCGAGCCTCTTGTTTGACTCCTCCTTAGCAAGGCCGAGGAACACCTTTTCGATGTTTCTGTCGGTCAAGGACTGCTCGTAGGAGACGGCACTCACTTGGTCGAATGTGTCCTGGTCCAACTTGCCTCTGAAGGCCTCTGGGTTGGACAAGAAGTCGTTGTACAACAATCTGGCAAAGGACTTGGTCACCAACTTACACGTAGGGACGTGGAAGGCCGAGTAGTCGAAGTAGTCCAAGAAGCCCACGGTCTTGTTGGTGTCCTTGGTGACTTTCTTGGAATAGTTCTTGTACGCGCGATCCACCGACTTTGTGTAGCAGGTCAAAGAGAAGTGGCCATCGACAACGGGGTATTCCGAGGTGAAGTCGGGCTTGTAGAAGTCGTAGGCGTGCTCCATGTGCGAGCCTCTGGCCGAGTCAAACACGACGGGGGCGTCTGGCCCAATGAGCAAGGCAACCGCACCGACTCCACCCGTGGGCCTGGCAGCACCTTGCGAGTAAATGGCAATGTCGCCGGCGACGACAATGGCGTCTCTGCCGTCCCACGAGGAGGACTCCACCCAGTTGACCGCGTTGATCACAGCAGAGGTACCGCCGTAGCAGGCGTTGACGGTGTCCACACCCTCGATGTCGTCGTTGTCCTGGAAGAGCTGCATCAAAACGGACTTGACGGACTTGGACTTGTCCAACAAGGTCTCCGTGCCAACCTCCAATCTGCCGATCGAGCTGGGGTCAATGTTGTAGTTCTTCAACAACCTGCTGGTCACGGTCAACGAGAGCGAGTAGATATCTTCTCTGTCCGAAACAAACGCCATGTTCGTTTGGCCCAATCCAATCGTGTACTTGCCGGCGGGAATCCCATCGAATGTCTCCAAGTCAGACTGGTTCACGTAGTTGGTGGGGATGTAGACCTCGATGGCCTTGATACCAACGTTTTGAGGAGCCATGTTTGCGATGTGTGTTCGATGTGTTTTTACTTTCTTTGACGCTGGGACAATTCAACGGCTGGATAAGGGGAAAAGAAGAAAGGTAGGTGGATCGGAGCGCCCCACTTAGCGCGCGGCCACCGCTGCAAAAAAATCCACTAATAGTAAACGACGGTACGACGCGTACTGCAGCCTGGGGCACCGCGCCATGCCGGGCAGTGGGCCCATTTATTACTTGCCCGTAGTGATGGGTGGCAGCTTCTGAGTTGCACATGGGGACGTGACTGGCGGATGGGTAACTTGGTTTCGAATTGAGGCAATGCCACCGAAAACAAGGGCTAGCCAGGTAAAAACATAGGATGTGCGTAGTTCATCTTTGGGTGGGGATTCGCCCATCTCAACCCCACCAGACTGTCGCGAGGCCCGGGCCGCACATAGACTTAATTGGCATGGCCCCAGGATGTGCGGACAAAAAAGAGCACAGACGCAGCTTATCCGGCCGGAGAGCATGAACAGGCTCCATGCTTTAGCGACGAGATGCGTGTTGTATTTCCCTAGTGACGAGATGGCGTTTTCGGCCAAATCAGTTTCTGATTTCCAACGTCCCGTCGCGGTCATAGACACCGGGGTTCCGCACATACGGATCTAGCGCTATGTAGTTGTCGGACAATTGATAACTCAAATAAATCTTATCTTTCAAATACCGCGAGCTTGCCTCTCTATCGGTGGAGCAGACCCAGTACTTGGTTGTCTCAATGATTCTGAGAAGAATCTCATCCCGCTCCATCTTCAACTCATAATACCGCGCGTCCTTGGGCTTTGAGGGCAGCGTATGCTCTGGCCCCGGCTCATGGTAAGTGAGCTCTCTTTGGTCATCTCCTCCGAGGTATTTCGGAATGTACTTTGGCTCAACAAACTTCTGTAGGTCGTCGAAACTCTTGGTGAAATGTATTTTTGATGCAACCACTGGGTCGAGCCAGTTCTTAATAATGTTCCACACCGTGGAGAAGATCCAGGGAGCATTGTGCACAATGATAACGCCCAAGCTCTCGGGATAGTGGGCCTCGAAAATCGAGGTCAAGAACTTCACGGGCGCGTTATCGGCGTTTTTCAAAGAAAACCCGCTGAGATCGAACATCAACGAGCACAGATCGACTGACTCGTTGACTTCTCTCAAAAAGAGCCGGCACCACTCGATGATCAACAAGGCATAGCGTTCCGTACCGGCCAAATCAGAGTCCAGGGCAAAGTGTTTTCGGGATTGGAAGATGAAAAGCGGGTTCTGGTCCCTGTCTTGTCCCCGAATGAACGCTTTGTTTACCATGAAATTCTTCACAAACCCTGGGTTTTCCCCAGTGACTACAGATGGCGCATCTCCTTCTCGGAGCAACTCTTCGACTGCAACATCGTGTTTCCGCCAGTTGAGTGATTTCACTAGCATTTTAACTGTTTCTTCGCAGTTATTCTTGCGCGCTCTAACAAACCGCAAGATGAAATTATCAATCAAATCGTTTTTGAGTGTACCGACGAAGCAGCTGTGGATCTCGGAGGGCTTATAGTCTGCGAGAAACGGGAACACTGGTTTTTGACTTTTTGGATCTACCATCTCGGTCTTCAGAATCTTTGTTTTTCTTGCATTTCCTTCTGAAAAGTCTACTAAAGTACCGTCAAGCGAATCAGAGGCTGTTTGAAATGACACAAGAGACGCGTCTTCTGCATCCACACAATTGTTTGCCAAACTTTCGGAGGAGTGAGCAGCAAAAGTTTCCACGGTATCACGCGACGGAACTAAGACTTTCTTGTACTTGAAGTGATTTTCTCTCAAAGCGCGTGTTCTCGTGTCACTGAGTCTTTTTGAAGATGGTTCAGGGCCCAGCTTCTTCGAGAAATAAGATTTCTTTTTCTTCGGCTCCGTAATTGCACTGCTGTGTCTTTCTGCTCTGTTAGAGATCACGGAAGAAACCACAAAGGCGTTTTTGTTTCGAATATCATCGGGGGTCAAATCAACAGCATAGCCCCAGTGGATCAACAAAGTTGCCCAGCATTGCTTCAACACGATTTCTTGTTCAGACTCGAGTGACTGGATTCGACCTGGTCTATGTTTTATATTGGAAGGATAGACTGGTGGATTTGTGGACATTTAAAATGATGGCCAGTAGTATATCTGTTACTTGACGGAAGCTTCCTGAAATCTCAGCTCGCCCGATCGCACCTCTTGCCTAGATTATGATCCCGGACGCCCCAGCTTCAGTACGGTATAAACGCGTGTTCAAACAATTGATGAGAACGGGAAAAATTCATGTTCTTTAGTCACGTTACCAATATTGAACTCTTCGAATATATTTGAAGAGGAATTGGGATCTTGTTCACGAGGTTGAAGCCAAGTTTGTTCCAGCTTCCCTGTTTTGATCAAATTAAGCGCAGGTATATCACATACTCAACGACTGCAATTACAGTAAATCAGTAAATTACTCTATTTGCCTAAAGACTTCAAATGTACTAAACGCAAACACTATCTCCTTCTGGGACGCATGTGAGCGAGCCTTCTGCCGTTGAAGTTAACTGCCGGTTGTGGAACACCACCCACGGGGGCTCCGAATGCTGGTGGAGTACTTTCACGACTGGCTTGTCCAAAACTACCAGGAGCACTGTTGAAAGCAGGTCCCCCTGTAATGTTACTTGAAAATGAAAACCCAGTCGACTGCGCTTGGGTTTGAGCACTGTTTATTTGTCCATTCTGGGGCTGTCCGCTTTGAGGCTGTCCAAACCCGCCAAAGCTTGGTGTGACACTTCTAGACGTACCACCAAATACGCTCGATGGGGCTGTTGCATTGTTGAAGCCTCCAAAGTTGGTTGACGCTTGGCCCGCATTCTGGCCTTCGGTCCCAAATCCAAACCCTGGATTAGAAGGAGTGGCCGGTCTGCTCCCGCCAAAAGACGACATCGCCGTGTTGCTGAAGCTAAAACCAGTACCCGTAGCTGTAGCAGATGCAAAAGCCGCTGGCAGCGGACCTGGTCCCAATGGCTTAGCAGGAGTTTGCGCAGAAAAGTTGAAAGCAGGGGCAGGAGCATTATTACTTGCTCCGAAAATCAGAGCAGGATCCGCGGTAGCGCTTTGTCCAAAGTTAAACGAGGATGTACTTGCAGAGGGTTGCGTTGGGTTTGAATTAGCGAAAGGAAACGAAGGCGCTGGTGTTGGTTCTGACGATGAAGTTTGATTTCCAAATACCACGGGCTTCGAGCCACTCTCAAACATACCTTGTTTGATACCTGGGAAAGTTGGCTTAGTGGATTCTTTACTCTCTGCGGCAGAGGATGGTGAGTTTTGTGATTCCGCTTTGTCGGGTTTCGTAAAAGAAAAAGAAGGTGCTTCTTTCGTCGATGTTGATGAGGATGCTTTTCCAAATGAAAACTTTGGTGCATCACTATTAGCAGCCACAGGCTTCCCAAACGTAAAAGTTGTCTTTTCAGATTGCCTTGACTCTAGCTTCGAATCCACATTATTAGAAGACTCATTTTTGGCGAAAATGCTCGCGGCGGAAGTTCCAGGCTTTGCTCCAAACAGAAACAACTTTTCACGAGAAGAATCATCTTTGGTTGAGCTCTGGTTGGCCAATGTCGAGAAACTCAGATTATTTGTTTTCAAAGCTGCGGGAACAGAATCACCATCAGAGTCTGGGGCTCTTTTCTTTGAACGAGGCTCTTGTGCTTCGTTTCCTGATGAAAATGTGCCCAAAGATTTAGATGGAGCTCCAAAATTAAATTTAGATGGCTCCTTTGTTTGCTCAGTTTCATTTGCTGGCTTTCCAAAGCCTTCAAACTTGGAAGTGCTTTGATGGGTCGGATCGCCATTGCCACCAAAACTAAATGCACCTTCAGTGGTAGGTTTTGCGCCATTGGGGCTATTCTTAGTATCTTTGGAATCAAAGCTGAACGCAGGCTTGTTGCTTGTAGAAGATTCAAACTTGACCCCAGAAATAGCGTTTTGCGTTTCACTCCCCTTGTTCCCACTTGCACCAAACGAGAATGTGGGGGTCTTAGACTTTGTGTCTGAATCGCTGTTTTTGATAGAAAACATGGATGAGCTAGCGTCAGTCTTGTTATCCTTATGACCAAAAGAGAAAGTGGGGGGCTTATTTACGTCCTTTTGGGTACCGCTTCCAAAACTGAGAGTGGACTTCTTGCTTCCGTCCTTTGTGTCAGTGTCACCAAATGAAAAAGCTGGCTTTGCAGTTTCATGGAGATTCTTGCCTATCGTAAACGGCTTCGCGGGCGCAATTTGACTTTCACTCTCTCCATTCAGTTTTTCAGGCGCAGTGAACTCAAAAGAGTTTGACGAAGCAGGTGTTTCCAGTTTCTTAGTTGACTGATGTGCATCATCATTTGTTGCATTTTTTGGTTCCGGTTTCTGACCAAAAGAAAATAATTTCTTTGAGCCGATCACCGATGGTTGCGCTAATATTGATTTTGTGTTATCATCCGACTTCACAGCAGGTGTACCAAAAAGGCTTCCCCCAGAAGTCTCCGCGACCTTCAATTGAGGTTGTTTGTCTTCAGCCTTATTCAGTCCCAAAATAGAATTGATCTTGTCCTCTTTAATATCGAATTTGAATGCAGAACTTGGACCAACTGAGTCTGGCTTATGCACCGCAGGTACATCTTGAACTTTGATTCCATTAAAAACATTTCCCTTTTGCTTGAAGTCATCATCGAGCGATTCCTTCGTTTTACCAACCCGTAGAGTAGTTTCAAGTCCCAGGCGCTGACTGATAGACCCGCGCCTCTTCAAAGACACATGATGAGGATCAGCGTCCGCGAATAATTCTTCGCCCTTACTCTCAGGTTTGTTCGTAAATTGCGGTTTGTTGATGGATGCCAAAGCCCCTTTGAACTTCAGATTAGCGTCCAATGCGATATCAGCTTCTGAGGGATCATAGAAAAACTCACCCGAGAAACCTGAACTTTTCTTGCTCTTCCTTTGTTTTCTGTTTTGCAAAGCGAGCTTTGTTCTAAGGGAGTTGAAATTGAGTGACTTATCAAGAAAATCTTTGGTATGAGTTTGAGTAGACGTATCCACTTTGTTGTTGGATTGATGCATGGAAGTCGTTTCATCAGGGTCCACCATATACTTAAGCCGACTATGCAAAAAATCGGATGCCTCCATTGATTTCTTCATTTGCAATAAGTGATAACGTTCTCTTGGGTCCAAATGGATAAACGATGGACGAATAAGGTTCCCGGATTCATCTTCGTATATAGGTGTGTAGTCCTGTTCTACTATTAAAGGCTGTAAATTGTTCGTATAGCTTGTTTCAGAGAAGTCTTGAGAAGGTTCTTGCTTGGAAGCTTTCGGTAGAGCTCGAGTCTTGGGTACATGCACACTGGGCGAGCTTTTCCTGGCTAAATGTTCCTCGCCGTTCAGACCCAATCTCGTAAACTCTCCCAATATATCATTATTTTGCTTTTGAAAATAGGCCAGTTCATAGAGCGATTCAAGCATGCCTTTACCAGCAGATGCACTGACAGACGAGCGTGGGATAGACAAGGTCAGACGCTTTGCGTTGTCGTGAATCAACTTTTTTCTCTTTTGCGAAACAAAAGAGTTGGGCAACTCGTCATTTCCAGAAGCAGAGTTTTCCAACTTCGCTTCTATTTTTTCGGCAAGTTCGTTAGGTTTTGAGGACAGCCTAAAGAAGACATCCTTTAAAGCAGAGAACACTGATATTAGTCTTCTCTTTTTTGATTGAGTTTCAGGGCTACCAGAAAGCGGACTTACAGAACGTTTCATTCTGATTCTGTTAATCACAGCTCAGTTTCCAGTCGTTTCACGGATATAGTGAGTTGAAACTAGCTTTATTCTGATTGCTTTTCAAGTTTGCTTTGCAAGCATGCACTTTTTCGTCATGGAGATCGATACTACACTGATGGCTGCGCGCTCACACCCGTACCCCCAGGAGTTTAAGGACAAAAAAACGCCAATGTAAGAAAATTAGATGCCGCAAACCGTGTAATTGATCTTTTCAACTCGAGCTTATTGTATTGATTAGTATAGAACGTAGAATTATGCACGGAAATCGTCGCTATCCAAGCTCCCCATGTCAAACGTTGCTTTGTGTTTATGGGCTTCCTTCCCGGTATTGAGATTGAGTGTCTGACCAGCGTTTTCGAATACGCTTTCAGGTGTGGCATCATAGTAGTCCTGTGCGGGATTTTTAAGCTCCATAAACGGTTTATTCTTCGTCACTTGATCAATCTGCTTGACAAGTCTGATCATAGAATTCTCGCCGTAGTTCACTCCGTACAGAACTGAAAGTGGAATTATGCCTTGCACCCAGGCATCAACAATTCTTGCGCGTTGTTTAGTTCCCAATCTTGAGATAGGAAACTCCCCTCTCTTGATGAAAGCGACAATGTCAACAATTAAATGATGCTTGCTGAAAACGGTGTTAACAATAATAGGTACGAGAGCAGCAAGACTTTTAGACCTCCTTGCCTCGCATACCACAATCGTGTAATCAGAACACTTGAATATGCAAGAGCCATTTTTGTAAATTTCAGGGTGACAAGCCTCTATAGTACTCTCTATATCGAGAGGAAAATGATGAAGCCCCATTACCTCAAACGTATCTGAAATTTTACCTAAAACAAAAAGAGGTTGGAATGATGTGACTTCCTGATCCTTTCCATTTGAGTGATTCTTTGTGATTGAGATATGATGCAAAAACCCGAGGTCACCTGTTCGAAGATAAGTTCGGTCTGTCTCGTCTCCCGCAATTTTTCCCGCAAATTGTCGTTTGATAAAATTGTCAACAGGGCCCTTTGGTCCGTTCGTGAATGAAGTGAGATTCGCTTCGGAAAGAACCCAAATTTCGCCAAATTCCCCTTCCCTACATATATTGCAGGTTTCTGGATTTACAATGGCAATTTCTGTGCAGATGGGGACCATCCCCGAATCTTGCACTCTCAAGGCGTTTGGGTTTTCTGCTTGGTTAACTATCGAGATGTAACCCTGCCTCAAGGCGACAGGGTCCAAAAAGAGATCAACCGGAGCAACAGTCATGTAGGACCTCGTGGATATAATGGGGTTGAAACAATGATTGTATACTGCGGACATCGCAGCAGCTTTTAGTTTGGCGGGCAGGAATATGTTTGCAATTTTTCGGAGCAAATCAATTTCAACTCTCCCATCAGTGCTTATCATCATGTTTTTCAATGTCGATAGGTTGAAACCTTTGGGAGTGAATTTGGCCACTGCATATTTCAACATTTGTTCGGTAACGAATACATCCTTTACCTTGTACTTTGCAAGGGACAAAAAAAAAGATAAAGGATTTCCTGCAAAATTTACAGGCGAACTGAGATAAGTAGTTGTTCCCAAATAGACTCCTAACAACAGTGCCTGCACAAATCCGATACCTGAAGAATGACGAACACAACCAACAATGGAAGAACTAGATGAAAGATTACAAGTTTCCTTGAAGACCTTGCAAATGTTGATTATGTTCTTGTGACTTAAAGTTGCACCAACACGATAGTGATCCGAAGTGAAGTTAAGCCACACCAAAGCAGGCATATCGTCTCTCAAGTTAGCATTGGGCTGATACTTTGCAATCTTCAAGTTGAGGTGCGCCATATTGGATATTTTTGTTAATTTGGTTGTGTTCTTGATTCGAAGCGGCTTCGCCCTTCGGTTGTTCATCTTCTTGAGCGGATCTGCAACGGGCCCATTTTTCATGAAGCGCTCCACATCATCATTGACGAATACCTCTTGTACATCAAAGTCTTTAATAACACCCACATAAGCCGGGAAGTCTTCCCCGATTCTATTTGAGTCAAATGGCAACATTGGAATCGGAATGATCCCCAACATTAGACATGCGTAAAGGATGATATTGAACTCTTCTGACAAGGAGTACATTAAGATGACAAACTGACCGGGTCTCAAGGTGGTTTTTTCAATGATGTATTGACAGGCAGCATAAATTCTTTGCTCCAACTTTTTCCATGACAAGGGTTTGGACCCGCTTTTCCCAGTAGTATCAATATTTTGATAAGCGATAGCATCACCCGAATTAGCGAAGCGGTGCTTTAAAAGATCGATGATACTTTTAGATTCGGCACGGGAATCACCCATCGTAGCGTCAATGACATTCGGTCTGTAGTCCATACTAGAAAATTGTGGAGGAAAATTCTGAAGTGATGAGTTGCGTAGCTGCGAAGCAAAGGGTGACCATATACCGCCCATGACATCTTCACCACGAGGTATCATGCTGACTGATTGATTGATGAAAAACTTGATAAATTCCGATCGCAAGGTTCCTTCCAAGAATCTTTTTTTGCAAAGCATGTTTGCGATCTCCAAACCACCACTTCTCATGATTTTAGGTAGCGTATCGCAATCGACAACTACAACACAAAAAAGTCTCAACAGATGGCGTTTCTTTAAGGCATCAAAACACCTCTTAGCAATGACATTGAGGGTGGGTTCATTCAAGGGAACAGCACTGTAATCGAATTTATCCTTGGATTTTGCGCTGTTGTTAGAGATCGCTTCAGGATCGTCAATAACTTTCCTCATAATCTCGGCCTCAACTATCGCCACAGGAAGGTATTCATTGCCAATAAAGATATCAAATATTGTGCAATCATACACTTGCCTCACCTCATTCGCTAGTGTTGTTAAGAGATGCGATGAATAATGGTACCTCATAGTGGTCCCAGAAGCCTCTAAATTAAGCTTTTTCTGCAATTTGTGGTCCATCCAACTAAACCTTTGCCTGATCCGATCTTCGTAAAGTCCAAGTATATAGACTTTTCCATTGTATGTGAAACCAAGCAAACCTGTCCGGAGAAATTCCATGTCTAACGTGCCGTTCGCTCCGCGACACTTTGCATGAAAGACCAGCTTGGATTCTTTTCTCAACCCATAGAACCCTCCGGATAAGCATGGACTATCAATCCAAATTTCTCCCAATTCACCTTTGAGTACTACTGATGACAGTTCAGGATTCACGACTGCAAGCGTGGCATCAGGAAGTGGATATCCAAAAGCATCGACACGCAAAGTGTCTGAGGTTTGCTCGTCCGAGTCAAAAGGATTTGTTTCAATGATGCAGACTTTATTTTGCGAAAGTGCCTTTTTGTCGATCACGACAGAAGAAAGGTCATCTCCTCCATTGCTATTGATTTGAATCCCTAAGTTCTCCGAGTGGCCCAACCAGTCCCGCATCGAGATCACCATTCCTCCGTATTCACTCAACGTAAGCATTGGAATGATTGCGTTGCGTGACTGTGGGCATCCCAAAGGTTTTAAATATCTCTCCGATAACACCTCAATAAACTCCCCATCAACAGTGAGTGCATCAACAAGTACCCATTTTACCGAAGAGAAATCAACTCTTTGGGTTTTCGAAAAATAACGCGTTGCGTTTGGGGCTTTTTGGTAATCATAAGTAACACGCTTTAGTCCCAAGAAATCGGCAAGAAGAAGATTTGCATGAAACTTGGATATGATATTGGCATACAATCCTTGCACTTCCATAACCTTTGGAGGCGCCCAAACCAAGAGATTCCCTGAATACATGGAAAACATGATTCCTATGATGAGTCCAATTGAAAGACGGATGTCCATGGTTGCTAGAAAAACTTTTCTTTCTCTTCTTAGGACCTTTGGTGATTGTACAAGATTTCCCCCAGATTCCGGTAAACTCAGCAACGACGTGTCCAAGCAGTTCATTTGATGAGAAATTGTTCTATGGCTTACTGCAATACCCCTCAATTCGCCAACAGGAGACCGGGAAAACCCCACATACGCTAAGTCATTTTTAGAACCCCCAATTTCTTTTTTGTGTCTGCCGTACATCGCGTCTTGTTCGGACTTTTTTGCAGAGCCCAAGTCTGTGGTTCGCAAGCGTGAGATTTTTGATGGCCAAACAAGAGGCATGCTTGCTGTACTGAGTTTCTCTAGTTCTTTAGACACAGACTCAGACATCAAGACTAACAGGGAAGATGTTGAAGTCAATATATCAAACATCTCTGTCAAAGAGATATCGTTGTGAATAGGAATTGCGGTAACATTAGCCATGAAGCAGCCAAATAGTGCAACAGCAAACTCACAGACCTCATTTTCCTTGTAGAGCAAGGCGACTGTGTCGTTAGACTTGAACTGAGTTCTATGCTTAAGCTCATGGGCCACCTTCAATGATTTGAGGTAAAGCTTTTCCCACAGAATGGATTGCTGCGCTTTTCCTTTTGCATCTAGAACCATGAAAACGTGATCCGTGGGAAAACTTTGGGCACGCTGTTTCAACATGTCCATCAACGCTTGCTTTGGTAAAGATGACGTGTCGGATATCTTGCGGGGCAAAAGGACTTTCTCTAGTTTCGACGGGTCCATTGCAATATTACTATTCAGTGGCTGATGTAGTTTGTTAATCAGTTGCATGATTTCCTCCCTTCTATTGATGTAAGTCCATTGGTCTATAGTCTTGTTCACGGTGAAATCTTCTTCTAGTTCCTGAAGTAGTAGTGCCATATCCGGTGGAACATCCGGCGACCCACCTGCTGTATACGCTGTAATACCGGCCGAAACATTAGAGCCTATCGGTGCGCTCAGTTGAGGAGGGCCGGTACCAATATTCATCTCTAATGAGGTGAAAGCTTACACTGTGATGTGCGACAATGTGAGACTGTGGGCCGCGAACTTCTCACTTTGGTGGCAGGTCGAAGATTCGCTACGCCACGCATATAACAGCTGAACCCAAGTACAAATTCATAGTTATTGTATCGGATTACTATTCACTTTACCAGTCTACAAGTCTGATTCGCATTCTTGTTTTATAGACTATTAATTCGTGGAAGAATTGGTTAGGTCATAAGCAGAAGCTTTTCTACCTGATTTTGGAAGAAAAAAGAAGCTTAACCTATGCCTGATTTGGCAAGGGTTGCGAAATCACGAGGGTACGACACCTCCAATGACATTCTTTACTCCGAAAAGCTGCACATTGATGAAGATGAATTGCAATCACCACCAGAGGAACCGGCTGAGTATGTCCATATAAATGCTTGTCGTACAAATTCCCACTGACATGCTCTGATTGTTGACTTATATCAAGCTTTGGTATCAAATTTCAATCATGGGCTAAAATAACCCTCTACAAAATTTTCAAGTTTGAATCTCACCTACCTTTTCGCTTGCTCATGGGCTATACCGGGGCCTTTGTAAATCAAGTGTTCGGGTACGGTAATCCCTCTCTCATTGCACACCTCTAATAATCTGGCATTTTCTTCTTTCAAGCTATCAATATAGTCGGCACTTTTGGTAAGAATGTTCAACTCAGAGCGGCTCTCCTGAGATGAAAGACTGGGAGTTAATTCCACTATGCGGTCGAATTCCATCCGAATGTTCTCGCGCCTCTTTTGTTCCGACGCTATGTGGTGGGCCTGAATAGTTAATATCAAAAGGAGCAAGAAACCATCTGAAAAAACTCACCTTTTTCTCTTCCTCTGTCAAGCTCGCCTTTGTAATGTCGTCCATTGATGGGGTAACTGAATGTGGTGAAGCAACACTCGAAAAATGTGGGGTTCGTGTATTGGTTTGTACACGACCGGGGTGTGTTGATTGACTGTGGCTCCTTGAAGATTGTGTGCCATGATTTGGACTTACGCTATTGCCAAAATGAAATTGTGCCTTGACATCTAATTCAGTTTTTCCAAAAAACAATGGAGAAAAAAGAAATCTCCCGGGGGTGAGTCGAACACCCGATCTCAAGATTACAGTCAAAGATTACAGTCTCGCGCCTTAGCCAGCTTGGCCACCGAGAGGATTTCGATGTCTCATTTTTAGCGAGTCATATAGTACACACTTTAAAACTCCAAAGCCAAAAGGAGTTACTTGAGAGAATAATTCGTTGAAATATTCACAATTTTTTAAAATTAAATTTGAATATTTAGTAAAGCCTTCAGTTTTGCGGAAAACAATCTTCAAAAATGCTTCACATGCTGAAACAAATCATGTTCAAAATTTGTACTGAACGCTACAACGTTAAAACACGATGTGACCTAGATTTTCTCATCGAACTGAATACCCATCGAAGACCGAATGAGCACACACTATTTTGTGTAAAAAGAAGTCTGGTAAAGACATATTTTATCAAAATAGAAGCAAGAAAAAGGCACAAAATAATGTTTTGGAGAAAGAGAAACACCATGAGGGACTAGGGGTTGGAAACTTTCATTTAAAATTGATGGTTCCCCGAAATATTGACAAAAGATTCCAGCAAAAGTCCTTACGATAGAAAAAAAGTGCTTTGAGGTCAATAAAAACCGTGAAATACCATGCGTTTGCGGACGATTTACCTCAATGACATGGACGACTATGAAAAACCAGAAAACTACTTCACAGAATTCGAGCAAGTGAGCAACAGCCGAATGAACCCCGAAAAATCTGAATTTCTCGGCATTCAATTGAGAAAAATCCAAGAAAAAGATTCAAGAAACTGATAGCCCTAGAAACTGATAGCCGTAAAAAGAGGTGTAAATGTCCATATTTTGTGCTCAGTTCAAAACAAGATATTTGTTCTGCTCTTTCATATAAGGAATTGTTACACCAGTTGATTACGGTAAATCATGAATGTCAAATACATATGTTCTGCGGATTTTGAGTGCATGTTTATTTATTAGCTTTCGGATTGTATAGAGTATGTTCTGCAACAGAAACATCGCAGCAATGCATCAATAATACCCCCATTTTTCATCACCATACCGGCATATTTGCGGTCTCTTACTCTTCTTAGCTATGCCATTTGTTGCTTAAAAATAGATTCCATGCTACTAATTGTCACTCAGCATTGAATTTTTTGGCTATCGGTGACACATGACAAGGTCCTAATAGTTATTTCGAGCTCATTGGGACCTTTGACATTTTTCCACTCTGAAAAATTCAAAAGGGGAGCACCTGATGAGCCGGCATGAATCGTTATGTTTCGCTCTCGGTGTAGCTTCATCTCTTTATGAAGTAAATTTGTTTCCAATTGCAACTTTCGACCAGGATTGACGGTACACATGATTTTTTCTTCCGAAATGTCAGTAAATCCAGCATTGCTTCCTGCGTCTACCTCGACTCCCAAAAGACTAGCAAACAAGTTAAGCGACCCTTGTCTGAGTGTAGTCTTTTCGTATGAACGCGCTACGAGACTAGTAGTTTCACTTAAGGAATTGTCAAAGCACCCATCGAGAGGAAAGTCTTCACTTGCATTTGCAGGCAAATTTTGCCTAGAAAATTGAGTTTGAACATAGTGCTTGCTGTGGTAAATTCTGTCCTTCAACCGCTTTGGGTTGAATATTGCCGTCAACTCTTGAAAGAATGTAGGATCGTGAGCTTTTTCGTGCAAAAATTTTGGTAGTATGACCGAAGATTCATTCTTCACAAAAATGACACTGTGCTTTCCGAAATCATCCGGAACTAAGTCATCCACCGATGATATGTGGTGCATGTCGAGTGGCTGAACCTGCAAGCGGTTTTCTGCTCCTAACGCGAGGGCGAGCCAAAGGAGTAATGCGGGAGAGAAGAAAAGCATTTGATGTATTCAGGGACAAAAAGACAGTGTGGAAAGAAGAAGATGGGAACAAAAAAAACTTCTGGGGAAATTATAGCATTTAAAAATGACCCGTGTTTTTTAATATGGCAGACCGAAAAAGTTGCCTTCCAGCATGGATGCAATGTTCCGCTCAAAGGTCCGCGAAGTATAAGACTTGAATGACAAGATCAAAGAACTCAGTTTCAACGAATAAAGAAATAGACAAAACTAAACAGACCACCCGGGGATTTGTGGAAATATGTAAAAATATGTAGGAAATTCGGAAGACTTATATGCATTGGTCTACTTCCAGATAATTAAAAAGTCTCCAGTAATTAAATATTTCGGTGTACGGGTGTCCGTACGTGAAAAAAACTGTCCGCTTCAACATGAAGTCACGATTGTCTAAGGAAACTAAGTTAACGATGCCCTTCAGATTCCCCGTAAAGTTTCAGCTTCCGCAACATTGCTACCTCAATGGAAGAGTTATCAAAGACCATTTCAAAAGACTTCAGTATGCCGAGCATGAGGTCACAAGAAAGGCGTTGAAGTACATCGCAAGAAACACTGAATTACCTGCCAAGGCCAGGTTGGAGGCACAATTACAGCTCACGGCCATGCCACATTATACAAGCATAACCCAGATCAAAGATAGGTGCATTGCTTCTGGTCACTCTAGGGCCGTCATTTCTGACTTCAAGTTGAACAGAACTGCTTTCAGAGAAAGGGCCAGGGCCGGGCAGATCCCAGGTGTCACCAAAGCCTCGTGGTAGCTTGGAACATATGTATATAAAAATAAAGGATCAAGGAGAAAGAGCACAGTATACCCAAGTGCACAACCATTATACCCGAGTTGTGTGTGTTTTACTATGACAAGAAACTCGGTGGTTCGGAATGACTAAAGAATACAACACTCGCTTATCTGTATGTATCACGCATCGAGAATTGTGACGATATTCAGCAAAGTTCCGACCAGGTTTCGAATCAATGTTGTAAAACTTCTCAACTAGACCTTGTGAATTTCTTGAAGCGAGGACTACTGTTGTGCTCAAGCACCATAGTCACAAGAACAGAGACTTGTTCATGACACTGACAAAGAACGTCGAAATGACTGGTACCGCTACCTTCAGATGTTTGGCTTGTCAGTTGCATGGCCTAAGCTACTACTGCCCGACATGCTTCGGAATAAACTCAACTCCGTACAAACATAAGAGTAGATCACCTTAATAAAGGTTCCTCTCCGTTACTGCCGTACGCTTCCGGTATCAAAATTACTAGGATAAGCTTATCAGTCTCATCCTCCGAGCCAACGGCCTATCCCGCGTCAGGCGACCTATCTCGCCTAGACAGCTCTATTATCCTGTGGCCTCTCCCACAAGTAAGAGGTAATAGCCTCTGAAAGATCCAGTTAAGAATAAGATACGGAAAGTATTTTGATAGATGGCTGATATTTTACTGCAGAAGTAGGAGACTCATCCAATATACAAGCAGCCTCCCGTCGTTCCCAAGAGACTGACTAGACCGAGCAAACCGGTATGAGACAATAGAGTTTTGCGAAGGATGAAAAATACACGACACTAAACAACATATTACAGATGTGAGAAATGCAAAATCATGCGAATCTAGTAGATACAATGCTACCAACGAAAACTTGCGCTGGGGCAGATCAAGTGTGACCTCCCGAACTTATTGCTTATTACGGAGCAGGTCAAATTCGGATATCTCGGCTCGGAACGCGCAGGTCAGGCATACTATCGCGGCCCAACTTCGCGCCAAGCATCACAGCGATGACCCAAAAAGTATATTGAGGCCTTTTTCGGTTTGAGGCTCCGTGAGGAGAGAATGCATCGGGCCATTGGATTGGGGAAAGGATCACAAATCCCACGATTGTCAAAGGCATCCATCGCCCAATGACAGCGAATACGACCATCGCCAAAATAAATTATTGTAATTTCTGCTACAAAAGAATATTCTGTTTTTTGGGCGACCGAATACATCAGTCTTCCGTCTTATTAGTCAAGACTGTCCAGCCGAGCTGATCCGAAAGCGGCTCTTGATGGACGTGGGCGAGAATGCCACACGTGCCTGCACAAGCTTTCGGGCGGTCACGTGCATAGTCGTTTGCCAGCCCCTAATACTCAACGGCGTTCATGCGTGGAATACAAAACCATTTACCCCAAAGCTCGCTTCCCAGAAAAAGAGAGATCATCAGGCGTGAGGCGGCTCAAATTACGTATGGCCATAGTTCTATTGTTCCAGCACTTTTTCCGGTGCTTGCCTTTGGTACTGCATCGGCGCGAGACACCCCCGCTACCACAGTTTTAACACGGCAAAACGTTCATGGCAATGCTGGGGTATAGTAGTATCCTGCATGGATCTGACCGGCCTGCGGAGACGTACTTTCGGCTGGCACTTCATCTCGAGATAAGCTCAACGTGCGCGTGCTCGAATTTCTGTTCTTTTTAATAAGCTTCTGTCACTTCGCTATTTCCTCCTGGTATTTCCTTGCTCTTGGACTTTTCGCCTTCTTGCGATTCTACGAGCACTATTGCTTAACACCTATCCCACCACCACCAAGCTGCCTTTTGCTCTTATAGCGAAATACTTGACCCCTTTCGAGAAAAGATAAATTACAAATCAGGCTCATCAGAACAGTGCGATCCACCACGCAATCAAGCTCCCCATTTCTTATCAATGAACACCAAAGCTCAAGCATTAGAAACTTCCTAGCTGACCTGTGTTCTGTAGACATCCAAACTTTTTCCCGCACATTACAACAAATGCATAACCTGGCTTCTGACTATTGGAGACGATGATCGCTAGCCGGAAACACGACCCCAAGCCCGCGCTTGCCAAGAAGCCCTCAAAGTTCAATTTGGGCAGTTTGATAAAGAAAAAAATGACATGGAAGAAATCAATCGATTCCTTGTCGTCCTCTCTTGAGGAGATCCAGCTAGATTACGGCCATCCCACCGAAACCCGTTGTTTTCACGTGGATAGAGCAACCTTCAATAGCCCCTCGCCCGACGAGCATTTATACTCTGATGGCTACCCAAACTTCACGCATGAACAGCCCGTCCGTCCAGACTCCAATTCTCGTGATACCTCCATCCATCTTTTTGTGGCTCCACAGGACCAGTACACTGCTTGCCATACCGAATGTATCTCGTTGCAAAACAGCGAGATGACATCTGCCATAACCTGTGATGTCAACGACCAGGAGTCGCTGGGAAACTCAAATTCCCCCTGCTATTCCCTGCCCCAGACGGATGAAGACGGCTACATTCCTTACGAGGCTTGCTTGGAGGAGTCGGTGGCTGACTATAGGGCAGGAGGCTACCATCCTGTGAAAATTGGAGATATATATACGTCAGATTTGAGCCGCTACAAGGTGATCCATAAACTCGGGTGGGGCCATTTTTCTACTGTGTGGCTCTGTGTATCGCTCATAACTGGCGACTATGTGGCAATGAAAATCGTGAAGCTGGGTTCAAACTACTCAGACGCCGCGCGGGACGAAATCAATATTTTGAAAATCTTACAAGGGCAAGATGAAGATGACGTCGGCTATCACAACCTCGAACGGCTGAAGACAAACATAGTCAACTTGCTCGACAACTTTCTGATCTGCGGACCCAATGGGAAACACTTGGTGATGGTGTTTGAACTCATGGGCGAAAACTTGCTTCATTTGGTGTATAACCTCAGAGCAAGAAGACTAGTGCATGATTCGGTTGACTTCTCTGCTGCTTTGTTTCCCATGAAAATGATGAAACTGATCATGAAGCAGATTCTTCTTTCTGTACAATACATGCATCAAAAAGGTGTGGTGCACACTGATCTCAAGCCTGAAAATATTCTTCTCGCCTACCATGGAAGAATGCCGCATCCATCTGGCTTGAATCACCAGGGACCAGCCAAATTCCAAATTCTTCCATCCAACCCCCTTAAAGTTCATTTTGATCGATTAGAAAACATCCAATTGAACGTGAAGATCGCCGATTTCGGAAATGCCACACACTCGCATTTACATTTCACCAACAACATTCAGACGCGTCAGTATCGGGCTCCGGAGATAATACTCAAATACAAGTGCTGGGGTGCGCTGGCTGATGTGTGGTCCATTGGGTGTCTTGCTTTCGAGCTCTTGACAGGAGACTACTTATTTGAGCCAAAAGATGGTGCATCATTTTCAAAAGACGAAGATCACTTGGCGCAGATCATAGAACTTATTGGACAATTTCCCTCAGAAGACTACTTGCTCAAGTGTGAGCTCCTGTCGGCCTACTTCAAAGATTCGCGGAACATGCGAAATATCACCTCTCTTAAGTTTTGGCCTTTGAAGAACGTTCTTGTTGAGAAATACAAGTTCAATCCGGACAATGATGACGTCAACTTGCTTTGTGACTTCATTTCAAAATGCCTAAAATTCAATCTAGAGGAGCGATATGACTGTGGCTCTCTTCTTGACCACCCTTGGCTCAGGGACTCTGCAAAGTATGACAAGCAAGAATGCGAGGCGCTCCCAAATCACAATCTGGAGGTGGTTGGATTCACCTGTGAAGAATAGACTGTGCTCAGCATGGTCAGTTGCATGATATTTTTTTAATTCTTAGATAGGCCCAAGTGGCCATGTATGTTAACTGTTTACACAAAATATACCTTCATTGACGACATATAAACTTATGCATACGTAGAGTCTCGTAACTGATTTCATCTTCTGAGAAATCTAAGTCAGATTGATATGGATCGATGGAGGGATCCCTGATCCCTTTCTCTTCGCTCTGCAGAACACTCTGCGAGACTTTAGATGAGTTCTCCGACAATGAGGCATCGTTTTCCGTGGTGGTTTCTACGTGTGCTTCTGAAATCTTCAGCACTACCGAGGCGGGCGTTTCATCCTGCTTCTTCCTTTCCTCGGGTGCTGAAACAGCTCGCGATATTTTCAGACTCTTCGCTTCAATTATTTGGGGTTCCGTCTCCTTTGTTGTGGTATTCACTCTCTCACTCCCTTTAGTGGATTTATTCCCGATTAGCAACTCGTGTGCTGGACGGACCACGAATTCAGATTGTTCGCCCACATTCTCGTCGTTTTCCTCCTCAAATTGGAGGCTGACTGCGATTTTCTGTTTCTTTCTTTTCTTATCCAGATTCAGGACAGAAGTGCGCTCTTGTAGGTCATCGAAATAGGGCTGGGTGGCAACACAGTCGGTGATTCTCACTGAGTATAGGGGCATGTCTGTACCAGGCTTCAATTCTGAGTCCTTAATCTTCACAACATTATATATCGAATCTCCAACAACGTTGCCTATGAACACATAGTCGGCACTATATGCGGAGATGGGATCTAGCGAAATAAAGAACCCATTGGCTGAGGACATGCGAGTATTCTCAATACGTAGCAAGCCCACAGAGCCACGGGTATTAAACTTTATTCTGCTATTTTTCTCTCGCTTGATTTCGGGGGAGCTGTCAATTTGCAGTGTCTGGATGAGACTAGATGTGACTTTAGAAAACTCCAAACCAACGTATTTCTTGTTGACACAATTACGGATGAACTCCCTGCACAGCTCAGGCAACTCTTTAGGAAACAATTGGATGTCAATGTTACCTTTTGTGGTGACAAGCGTCACCTGTGCTGTTGGCTTGATGTCCATAACTGGTTCTATTATCGAGAAAGAACTGCGTGTCGAAAAGCCACTTATTTGGGCAATGCGACGCACCTCCAGTGAACATATAACATGGAAAGAAATCACGCGTAGATGATACGCCGATACCACAGTATTCAATTGCATATTACAAGCTGAATAAATTTTAGACTGCTTTATTCTCCATTAATGCAAGTTATGTAGTTTTACCCTTTCTTTCAGAGTCGAACCCAGATTCCCCAGCCTCCTCTCGGCTATGGTTTCGCACCCATGCAAAATATCAAGCAAAGCTCGGAAAATTCCTTACTCCTACAGACAAAAGTGCTCGAGATAATAGCATAAAAGGATAGCAAGAGCCCCTAGAGATTCAAGACAGCCACGGTAGCCATAGAATCTAGAAAACAATCAAACTGAGTAGTTTTTGGCGATTTACCGCCCAAAATCGACATAAGCCCAGCCCTGCCTCGCTCGAGGTTTCGTCCTTCACACTACCACCGACACTAAACACGCATACTGAAACTCTCAGATCTATTACCCGCCTAAAACAGTCGCCATGGGTTCGCTCAAACTGTTTGTGAAAACCGTCAGAAAGGCGAAAACCATTGCTGATGAGCGGACGGTTGTGCGCAAGGAAAGTGCTGCCATCCGGACTTCCTTTAGAGACCCGAATTTGGACCAAACGACTCGCAGGGTCAGTATTTCCAAGTTATTGTACCTCTATATATTGGGCGAAAAAACGCATTTCGGCCAGGTAGAATGTCTCAAGCTTCTTGCCTCGCCACGATTTGCTGACAAGCGGTTGGGTTATTTGGCATCGATGCTCTTGTTGGACGAGAATCAGGAGGTTTTGACCTTGTTGACGAATTCATTGGACAATGACATGCAGCACCCAAATACCTTCATCGTTGGCTTAGCATTATCGTGTTTAGGTAATGTTGCCTCACCAGAGCTTGCCAGAGACCTATACGGTAACGTGGATAAAATATTGGCCACAAGCAATTCCGTATACTTGAAGAAGAAAGCCTGCAACGTGGCGGCCAAATTGACCGAAAAAGATCCGGACTTGAGCGATGTGTTTATGCCTCGGCTATCAACGTTAGTAAATGACAAAACTCCGCTGATTCTTTTGGGTTCATGTAAAATGATCCAGTCAATATACGCGAATTCACCTGAATCTCGTCCGGCATTGGTCAAAATGATCCCAAAGTTGATTTCACATTTAAAGCGTATCGTCACCAGTGGTTACATGCCAGACTATGATGTTACCGGAATCACCGATCCGTTCTTACAGGCAGCCTTGCTTGTCACTTTGAGAATGTTGGCCGTGGATGAGTCTTGCTCTTCTCAGCATCTTGAGGACGTAAACGATATCTTAACTCAGGTTGCGCTGAACTTGGATGGAGGCAAAAATGCGTCTCATGCTATTTTGTATGAATGTGTCAAGACTGTCTTCGCCATCAAATCTGACCAGTCTTTAAGGGTCTTGGGTGTCAACATTCTCGGAAAATTTTTACTGATCAAAGATAACAATACGCGGTATGTCGCCCTTGAGATGTTACTAACCGTTATCGAATACGAGCCATTGGCTGTTCAGAGGCACCGTGCCACAATTGTGAGTTGTTTGTCGGACGGTGATATTTCGATTAGGCGAAGGGCTCTTGAGTTGTCCTTTGCGATCATGAATGAGCAAAATGTGCGGGTTTTGCTGAGAGAAATATTGGCGTTTTTGGACGCATGTCCCGAAAATGATTTGAAGCCTTTCATCACTTCACAGTTGTCGGTTGCGGCTGCAAAGTATGCCCCCACGGGGAAATGGCATTTTGATACATTGATTCGCATGTTGAAAGTTTCTGGAAATTTCGTTACACCTGACATCATATCCAGTATCTTGGCATTTGTCATGAGATGTGACGATGCTGCTTTGAGAAAGCACGTGGTTTCCAAGTTAATCCTGTCGAGCTTCGAAGACGGCTCTCAATACGGATTGGCAATGGTTGCTATTTGGTGTGTGGGTGAGTATGCTGATCTCGTTTTAAACACCCAAGTTGAAATTAATGGAAAAGCTGAGTTAATTTCCGAGAAAAAGATCCTCAACATGATCGACTCTTATGTCAACAATACAAGCTACTCTGAACTCGAGACTGTTCAGTTGGTAAGTACTGTTTTGACTGCAGTTATCAAATTATCTGTCAAATTTAAAGATGCCGAATCAATTGAGCAATTACGTTTGATTCTCAATGCCAAAAGCTGGGATAATGACTTGGAAATTCAAACCCGTGCCATTGAGTACCAGCAAATTTTTGGCCAGGACGAGAAATTGAAGCAGGGATTGATGTCTAGGATGCCTGCACCACCCATGAAAGAACAGACTGCTCACACTTTGCAGGGTAAATCAAAACCAGCCTCTAGTCCACATCTGGGGCCTTTCAATTCTTCTAGTGCGACTGAAGATCTTCTTGATCTCCTCGATGATTCGGAGGTCAAAACTCCCGGAAACACGAATTTGGGTACTAACAATGACCTTTTGCAAGACATATTTGGATCTCTGGCAAAAAAATCTTTGGATGCCAGAGAAACTCCTGCTGGAGCAAATTCTGATCTTCTAAATGGATTGTTGTCTTCTTCCAATGCGTCCGCTAATGCGGCCTCAACTCTGAAAAAAGGAGACGAAGTCTTTGAAAACGGGCATTTGCGTATTTTATTTACTCCAGGTGAGTTTGGAGAGGGAAGAGCAAATGTGGATGTTGAAATTACGTCCCTGTCGCATTCTGATCAAATCGAAAAGGTGCAGCTTCTTATTGCCGTGCCAAAATCACAAAAGTTAACTATAGCCACCACAGCTGGCACAGACTCATTGGTGACGAGCAGCACCATAAGGCAGGCTTTGAAAGTTGCTGGAGCCCCTGGTTCAAAGATGAAATTGAGAGTCAAAGTCAAATATCAACTTAATGGAGAGTCGAGAGATGACCAATTTGACTACGCTGGGTTCACGGAAACCTTGTAATAAAATAGAGAATGGAGGAAGATAATTCACACGATTATTCGCGCGCACTATATAACTCTTTTTCACTAGGTTTAAAACTGAGATATTATTAAAATACTTAAATCTCGACAGAAGTCGAGACGGACTCGGCAGCATCGTTAACAGCCTTGTTGACAGACTTGTTCTTGACGATGTATGCTTGAGACAATGGTCTGATCACAGACTCATACACAATACTTGCGCCACCGAAAGATGGAACACCAATATAAAGCAAAAAGACGGTCTTAAACAAGAAGTAGAAAGGTACCCAGTATAATATGGCACGCGACCAAAACTCAATGACGCTCAAGAACGCAAAAACAACCCAGTAGGTCAAAAGTGCGGTATCATCAGCAGTACCGCGGGACTCCAAGGCGATCAAAGAATAGTAGCCAGGAACAACGAGGCCAGCAATGTTGGACAACAATTGACCAACTCCGCCAATATTCAAAAAAACCAAGACGAAGTATAAACCAGCACCACCCAATACGGCGTATGATCTAGGCAAGCCAGTTTGTTGCTCAAAGACCCTCAAGGCTTGAACCCCAGAAGTGGACTTTCATGTTAGTAAGTGAAAAATTAAGGAGAGAAAATCTGAGTAATGAGATGAATGATGCCAGAGGCAGGCCACTCAGCTAGAAAAAACATACTTTGTCAATCGAGGACAAAAAGCTTGTAACTTGTGGTGGGAGAGACATTGTTAATAGGTAAGAACGGTCGAAACAAACCTAAGTGAAACAAGTTAAGCAACTAGTTGTAGGGAGGGTGGTGATGCGAAATTGTGTACCGGAACGTGTATTGCGGTGAGAGGTTTTTTTTTGTTTGGCGTGCATAGTCAGGGGTATATTCAGTGACAGGGTCATCCACCATTCGGGCAATTCAGAGAATCAGATTTAACAATACATATCGTGGGAGTTCACCTCAAATATTGCCTAGCTTGTGGACCGCACTGAAGTTTTGTGCTGGTACGATTGCGTCTTTAACCTTCATTTCATTAGATTACTATATTACATGCTAATTTTTCTGCTTGCCCTTGGACTTGGCGTTGCCTTCAAATCCAGCTCGTTTCTTACCATCTTTAGCGCCTTTGGTTTTCTTCACGACACCTGTGAACTTCCTCAATTTCTGTTGGTTTTTGCTCTTCTTTCCCTTATTCTCCCTTCTTGCCTTCAAGTTTGCTTCTCTTCTCTTTTGACGCGCGGAGACTGTGTCTTTGACAACCTGTTTTCTTTCTCTCCACTCGATTTCACTCTTAAGTTTTTGTTTCTCTTTCTTTTTTAATGCTTTCTTCAAAAGTTTCTCGTCATTCTTGATCTTGACACCTTCTGCTTGACTCATAAGACTGCTCCACTGTTCCTTTTCTTCAAGCTTCTTTCTCTCCTCGGGCGTTAGCAGATCAAGCTTTCTTCTCTTGGCTTCAAGCTTTGTCAAATGCGCTTTGATATCTTTGTTTGCAGGCCCTTTCTTTTTCTTTTTATCAACACCGTTCCGAATGGTTTTCAAGTCGGAGGTCATTCTAGAGCCGTCGGCAAATTGAATATTACCGAAGAGGACATCGGATTCTTCATCCTCATCCTTTTCATCTTCCTCTTCATCGTCTTCTTCTTCGTCATCCGACTTATCACTTTCATCGTCGACCTCATCTCGCTTCCGTTTAAGCTTCTCTTGCTTTTTGAGCTCTTCTCTTCTCTTACGCTCCGTGAGCATTTGCTCCCTCGATTTTACAGGACCACCTGTCTTGGTGCCTGGGGCCTTTCTTTTCTCTCTCAAAAGATTAATTTTTTTAGCGAGCTTTTCCTTCAAGTCAGCCCTACGCTTTTCGCGAAGTTTTTGCTCTTCAGGGGTGAGTTCTTTCTTTTTGGACTTCTGTTGAGTCTTTTCGACAGCTGGGTTCTCTTCAGAAGCCTGTTCATCGCCTTCATCGTCAAAAACCATCTGAGATCTCACATTTATAAGCTCCTCACCGTCTTTAGTTTCCGGAAGACTTTTCTCGGGAATATCCTTCTCCTCCTTAGCATTCTCCTTAATAGCTTCATTTTTGATTTGTTTGCGGGGAAGACTAACCTTTTTGGCTGTCATCGCTCTGTTGTCCATGACTTCTTTAGCACTTGCACCGTTGGTGTTGTATGAGTCAGCAGTTACAGCAGACTCGGGGTCCAACTTTGCCATTCTATCTTCGCTCACCTCTTTCTTTCCCTTTTTCTTCTTTTGCCATTGGTCTTGGGTGGCATCGTCGTAATAGTATTTGGCGGGAATTAAAGATAACAAGCCATCGAAAGCCGTAGAGTGAGTCTTCAATCTTTCCTGAAATAAGTTAGTAAAAGAGAACCTTTTCGAGACCAGCCGCATCTCCAAATTCATAGAATAGTGGAGATAAATAGCCGCTGTCAGCTTTAATCATAATTGACTAAACATACCTCGAGAGAGTTCGTCATGTTTAGAGAACCGAAGCTTAACTAGAATATCGTAGAGTAGAAAAATTATTGCATCAGGCATCGCAGCGAGTGCAGGACCTTCATGGTGCGGCGTGGTATGGGCAAGCAGGGTTGGTGGCCTTCCACGGTGAAGTAAGAGTTGGTACCGATAATTTGAGTGAACAATATCGAGCTCTTAAGAAGTTTATTCACAATTCAATCATATCATATGCAATCTGGAAGATTTGTAGAGCTTTTTGAATTTTCGAACTCATTTCTTGTTTCTAGAAATCACGCATTTTTCCCAAAGATTTTTTACTGAAGTTGGTAAATTCCAGCATCAATTGAACAATTCACATTTTGTGTGAACGGGCAAATCAACTTTTCATTACGTAATTATTCCATATAGTGTAAGATATATAAATCTGGCTCAATACAATAGTTTTTTTTCTGATCAAAGCCTGTGACCATGTCCCGTAGCAATATACATCGACCGACTCTTCCTGGTCCGCCCATTCAATTTCAATGCGTAACTCCCGTTTCTTGAGTTTACACCCGTGCACCAACGGGTTATCTCATAATCGTATTCCAACTCCCAATCTCCGTGTCTCAGTACTTGAAATCGCCAACCAGACATGGAGTCTCTTTCTCAGTACCTTGTGGTGTCATTTCCACAGTCTGCCAATGCTTTTCCGTTTTTAGAGCGCCAATTACAGCTGGGAAAGCAACCCTTAAGTGAGTTCAACTTGCCCGATTTTCATATCCGGACGTTGGATTCATTGGTGCAGATCTCGGAGGAGCTTGCCAAATTAGACTCATCAATTGCATCGTCCGTTTCAAAAGTAGCGGATATTATTGATAATGTTGAACAGAAGAAGCTGTCACTGGACTCAAGGGTTGTAAATGGAAAATCCGTGTCCTCGTTTGTTGAGAACTTCTCTTGGAATACATCGAAATATAGGTTGGACAAGTCCATCAAAGATCTCGTTGATATTATCAGCAGCGATGCCCTTTCATTGGACAACGATGTTCGTCAAACATTTCAGCAATATCAGACGGCAAAGTCTAATTTTTTGGCCGCTGACAGAAAAAAGAACGGCGACTTATCTATCAAATCTTTGCACGAAATTGTTCGGCCCGAGCAATTTGTTTTAGACTCTGATCACTTAACTACTGTTTTGATTGCTGTTCCGAAGAATCTCGTTGGGGATTTTCAAAAGTCGTATGAGTCCCTCACTCAATTTGTCATCCCCAGAAGCGCCCAGGTCATTGCCAAAGATGACGAATACGAGTTGTACACGGTCGCTTTGTTCAAAAAGTACGAGCAGGACTTTATCAGCGCAAGCAGGGAACACAAATGGCATCCAAGAACAGATTTTGTATATTCAGAGGAAAATATGAATCAGATGAGAAAGGAATTCGATGTTACGAAAGCCACAGAGATGAAGACGAAAAATGATTTGATTCGCTTAGCCAAAACAGCGTACTCTGATATTTTCTCAGGCTGGTTTCATATAAAGGCCATTCGTGTGTATGTGGAGTCCGTTTTGAGGTACGGCTTGCCACCGCAATTCGATTCTTTTGTGATTAGATTTGACAATTCTGGCACAATCAATAAGGCAAAAAAAGAATTGATTGCCAACTTTGGCTACTTGGGAGGAGATGGATTTTCTGAGAAAAGTAATTTGCATGAGTATGCCTCTTTGGTGGACTCGGATTACGAGCCTTTTGTCTTGTATCGGGTTGACATTGTGTGAACAAAACTATGCACAGTGTTTGACCGATTTTTACCAAAACAATATTTTAATTCTACAATAAACGCTTAGCCATAAAAATAAGACGTGAAACCGCTTCCTATGAATAACTTAAAAGACAATTACATGTCAATTCAAAAAAATGAAGCTCGCACTCAGGTTCGAACTAAGGACCAACAGATTTGCAATCTGCTGCGCTACCACTGCGCCATACGAGCTTCTTGTTCTTTTGAAAGGTTTTGAAAACTTATGAAAACTAAGAGTTGTGGACGGCTAGTAACTTCTCCTTGTGTGAGAGGCCACTGGAAAATAGAACTCCTCAGAAGAGACAGGTTGCCAGGATAGGCAGTTGGCTTGAATTCAATGTTGGCCTCTTTATGATTCGTTATATAGTTTTGCCCCTTTAATCAGATGAATCTACCAAAAAAAAAAGAAAAATATGCAGAACTTAACAAAATTAAATTGGTTCGTCACCACGATCTTCAAGGTCTACACCAGAAGGCGTGGCGAGTCGCATGAAGTGGGATCCTTAAGTCCGCTACAACCAGCTGAGTTGAAGCGACTACTACAGGAGACCTATCCTAGGAGTCGATGACGTAATATCCAATACGTAAACAGATACGTGCCATGAGGACTGTCCAGGCCGTGACTAACGGAAGGGGACGGGCCGAGCTAAGACACTTGGTACGTAGCTGGGAGCTGTTTAAAGATCTTTTATATAAATTCAGATGAATCTACCAAAAAAAAAAAGCCGACCACTCTTCGGGCCGTGACTAACAGAAGGTGACGGGCCGATTTTCGACACCAGGTGTGTTGTTTAAAGGTTTTCTATATAATATTCTATGATTTTTTTCTTTCAATCAGAGAAATCTACCTTAAAAAGATTCGAGGAGAGTTTTAAAGTCTCAAAGATTTTTTTTAAAAAAATATTGCAATTGGATTTTGTTCTTTGCCTCAGATATCGTCACGGGAAAAGTTGAGTTTTCAAAATATATTCGAGCCGTTATTGTCAGTACGAACATAAATTCTTTATGAGAGTCATGTATTATGTGCACCTGGAAATCCATCTAGATTTTGGGATTTTCTTTTTATTATTGTTAGGTCTAGCTGACGTGAACTTTGTATACACCTACCAACAGCGTCATATAATAGAATGTTTGAAAGAAAATATCAATCTTTAACAAAGTATTGTGGGATGATTCTAATGGTCTTTTTTATTAGTGGATTTTTTGATGAATTATCCTGACGATTTTGTGACAATTCTAATCGCTAAACGCATGGTTTAAATTCATAATTAATGGTCTAGCGTACTCTGAATCTTTCGCGGCTATAAAAAGTCATCTTTTGCATACTGAAGACTCAGCTGGGCAGCCCGTGTAAGATCTACCACAAGTCTTTGAATAGACAACATACTTTTCCCACAACTAAGAATATCTGTACTATAAAATGGGATAATTCTCATGATTAAGTAAAATCCTGAAATCTGGGCACTACTTGATTTCATTAGAATCGTAAAAGGCAGAAAGCCAATGATAAATACCTGCATATTTACACATTCACACGCTGGTCATGTATGTTCCGAAAGATATACATGTTTGAAGTCTTTGAGCTCTGCACAATTGTCAGCATGTCCGAAGAAGACGAATATCTCTCAGAAGAATCTTATGAGTTTGAGTTTGAAGAGGACGACGAGGAGAATTCTGAGGCTCGACCAATTGAAGAAGATTCACCAGTACGTCAACCGCACACTTCATTTCAGAGAGATTGTACATGTACTAACTGAGTAGGAGAATCAATATTACTACGCCAAAGATCTAAAAGAGGACTCACTAAAAGAAGCGGGTGTGAAATTTACTAAGTTGATTGCACTGTTAGATGTCAACAGAGATACTGAGTGGATCTTTAAGTCATACAAACAACTTGCAAAAATTCATTACCAGCAGCAGGAGTATACCTCTGTGTTGGAAGATGTTCGGAAATTGATGGTTGTTTTACCAGGTCTTAACGGGAACTATGCAGAAGAATCAGTCAGCAAGATTTTGACTAGGTATGCTGCCTCATCCGATCATGTTTTTGTCAAAAACTTGTACGACGTAATTGTGAACCATCTTCAAGACTTTATTTTGTCAGGCTCTTCGGGACATAGACTTTGGCTCAAAATTAATGTTAACAGACTCAACAATCTTCTTGAAATCAATGATCTAGAGGCCTGTGAGCAACTTATTGACTTAATAAACGACAGATTGGAAAATGTTTCAGAGCTGACAAAAAACTCGTATGCTTTGGAAATTCTCGCGGCGGAGATCATATTCACAATGAAGACCACCAAAAGTGTTCTCCGTCTTGGTGAGCTCTATAGTCGATGCATACAGGTTACACCTGCCATCACACATCCTCAAGTAATGGGCGTAATCAGGGAATGTGGGGCCACTGTTCAATTTTTCAAGGGAAATTATGATAAAGCCCGCGTTGATTTCTATGAAAGCTTTAGAAATTACGATGAGGCTGGTTCCTCTTCCAAAAAAAGAGTGCTCAAATACCTCATGATTTGTTGTCTCTTGGTTCAGAGTGAAGTGAGTCCTTTCGAATCTCAAGAAACACAATCTTATGCACAGCTTTCAGAGTACAAAAATCTTATGGATTTGGTCGATGCGTATGAAAAACTAGATTTAATGGATTATTTGGAGACGGTGAATAGGATGAAGCGAGAAAACGACCCTCTTGCTTCAGACACTTTATTCATGAACTCACAGGACGTCTTGATCCACAACCTCAAAGTGAATATGCTATTGAACTTTGCTAAGTCATACGACGCTGTACAATTTGATTATCTCATCAAGAAATTGTGCTTAGACGATGAAGATGATCTTGAACATTTACTTGTTGAGATGGCGAACAAGGGTGTACTCTCTTGTATGAAAATCAATTTCACAAATCGATATGTCAACTTTAGCGCAAAGGAACAAGAGAAAGTTTTTCCTGCCGCCCTAAATGAAGTGTATTTGAAAAATAATGTCCGGACTCTTTACATGCTCTCCTACAAAGGCCCATGGAATTTTGCAGGGGAAGAATTATCAGATCTTGAATCAAGCGATGTTTACGACTCTGCAACACAACTACATGCTCTCTTGAGAGAGGAGCAAAGTCCTCGCACTTGGATGAATGTTTCAAACATCATTGAGATAATATTTGGCAATAATGCGCTCCAAGTAGACACAAATTCAGAGCAAGGTGAATGGCTCAAGTACATGTGGAGCTCAATTCCGAAGAAAAAAATAGGCGTTTCCTCGCAGAAGGATCGGGTCATGTTTGAGAAACGCGAAGAGAGTGAGAAAATTCTCGAACGAAGTCAAGAAAATGATGAGGCAGCTGCAAATACAAAAAAAGGAATTCTCGAATCGGTCGTTAGTATTGGGCTTGACATACTGGAGGAGACCGAGCCTCAGAAAACTAATCATAAGTTAGACCTAATGGAGCAATGGGCGCATCAACTTGGTGTGAATATTCGACTCGAATAAGCCCTAGATTCACTCGCTCTGGTTCATGGATTACTTATAAGTAGTGCAGATGCAAAAAACTATAAAACCGCGGTTGAAAACCAACCCCGAAAATTTTTGTTGTTCGAACTTCTTTAAAGTTTTTCCTAATGGTATGTTTCAAAGCTACGGAACACATATGATTATATAATATGCGTTATTGTCATGACACCGCTTTTTTGGCTGTAAATGAAATCAGCTAACACCTCATGAAGTGTTTTTTTTTTCAATTCACAAAAAATACTAACAGATCAGATCATTGGGTGCTTCTTTTCCACATTACGTATCTATTTTGATCTCGAATCACATCATTAAGAAGTGTTCAAGTCAAAGAATCTCTATGTTTGTAGTAAACATTCTTTCTATTCTCTATCACTGAAGTTTTTGAAATTCATGCTACTGTGACTTGCTTAGTTGTTGCATCGGGAACCAAGAGCCGAATTTCACGTTCACTATTTCCTCTTGTCTCCGGTTCTAGGTTTTCCTGACGTCGAATCAAAGGTTTCAAATGTGTGCATCGTTACAGCAATGAGGAGTTTGACTGTTGACACCGGCAACTGGTTGTGTGCGATGATTTACTAGACTCAGATGACTGTGGAAATATTACTTGAAGCTTGAAAAGAGTAATGCTCTTGTAAATGCAATAAAAAGGGACTTTCAGCGCTCCCAAGACAATGTTCAAGAAATACTGGACGAACAAGATTGTCACAATTACTCAAAAAGTCAAGCTTCTTTGACAAGAGCCGCGTCTTTCGAGGCTTTTCAGCACGCCAATGCTTCCACCAGATCATACATGCTCGGAACCAAATCGCAGAGTAAAGCGTGGCATTCATCGACGAAGAAAGCGCGTACTGGTAGGATAGTTTGAAATTGGGACATAACAAAGTAATTGTGTGAAAAGCTTCCCTCGTAGATTGATCAAGCTTTTGTAACAAGCAATTTTGCTGCACTGATGTTATGTCATAAAGTTGTCAGTGTTTCTTCATGTCTCACAGAGTATAGATAGGGGTTGAACTTGAGGATATCTCGTCTCTAGCTCGAAAAGACGGTTGTCCAAACATGAAATCAAACGAGAAAACATCATCAAGGTTCGTGGGGATTGAACTATTTGTTTCAGGCGGAGGGGCCAAGTCTTCGTATATGGCATGCTCGTGTTTGACACGGTCAAATGTCGCTTCGGACCCAGACGAGGAGGACATCTTTCGTTTCTTTGATTTATTGGGCTTTCGGCTCCATGCCCTTGGTATTCTCATATTGATCTTTCCAAAACAAGATCGATTGGGAATGCGGTCTTGATAATCAGTCTTTTCGAAGAAGTCAGGTTTGCACTCAACGTAAATTTTGTACACGGACTCTGGCTTCCAGTCACATTCTTGCGGTTTTCGTCTCTTTCTAATTCGAATCTGTTCGTTCCTTTGAGGGCGAATTGATCTATAAGAGTCCTCCAAAGCAAACTCCAACTTTATTGTTTTGAGGACGCTTTCATGTACCAAATAGGGGTTTTGATTTGTCACCTGATTGAAGTAGCAGTTTTCAGAAGTCTTAAAGTATTCATGAGAAGGCTCGAATTGCTCATTGCTTTCAGGAATAAGATATCTGTATTGAGGGCTCAAAAACAGCCTCTCGGAACTCAGCTGATGAAAGCACTCGGGTGAGCCTGATTTTATTCTCGAATTATCTCTCATTGAATGGCATTGCAAATCAGATATTGGAGTCGTATGAAACATCATCATCCAACAATGAAGATATAAGATGTCTAATAAGTGGTATACAGAGGGATTGCAGAAAAATAAAATTGGATCGTTATGCTTTATTAAAGCATATAGTCAAGTTCTTCTAAGCAGAATATTTAAAGAATTGATAGACAATCATAGCGCTGAATATTCCAGAGGCCCAGGTTATCCAATATATTACAATTGCCTAACCGAGCCAATGCATAGCAAATCTACGGTGCGGCCCGGCCTTCAAACCCTATTATGATTGTATTTTATAACAATAGGAAATGGCAGCGGCGAGAATGCACTCAGACATCATGTAACACAGGGAGAACAAATCACGAGCTCCCAAGGAATGAGCAATATTAAAAAAACAAAGGCTTCGCCCTACAAGGAGGGGATGCCCTGGGACATACACGAGATGAAAACAATGATGGGTCGAAAAAAAACTCTCTAACCCTTTCATCAAAGCTTCATTAAAAGCCTTCGCATTCTCTCAGACAAGTGTACCTGACGATGATTTGCATGTGCGGAGTAACCTTAGTTTTTGAGAAATTCATGAAATGCCTAAATGCTAGATACCGAGAAAGACAGATGTGTGACATAGTTTCGTCTCTCCGAATTGACACGAAACCTTGAAGGTGGGACATACTGCAGTTTATTTGTCATAATGATTTCCTTGTCTATCTAAAAGGGGTGCTTATGCTGTCTTTACGATGCAACCGCAGCCGGAGCAGAATGAATTGAATTCTGCACGCTCATACACGGTGCTGCGTATAACATATGATATCTGGAATATGTGCCGGAACGTTGGCCCAGAGTATTTTTTTTTTCTTTTCATCTTAAAAGCCGCAACTTCATTCGGACAATAGAAATTTGTTTGTAAACAAATCTTTTAACTTTTCGAAAGATATACATAGTATTGAAACTTTACTATTTACCCTGAAATCTAATGCGTTCGTCCTTATCTTCGAAAAGGCTGGGATTTTTCAAAAAGATGAGTTGGGTTCACATTACGTCACGCGATTTCAATAGGGACGTGCGTGGAAGATCAAAAACATTGGCAACGCGCTTAAACAAAACTGCGCCGAGAAGTCATGAGTTGAGGGGAAAAAGGCCGCTTCATGTAATGTGGCGATTGATGCTAGTATAGGCCCATCGTAGACAAAACTAAAAAAACAGTTTTTTCTGTTATATAGGTCGGCTCTCTCTCTTCCCCCGAATTCTTCAAGCGGCATCGGACAAATGAGGTTAAACAAAAACGAGCAAACACCCTTCGCTTTCGCTAACCCTCTGATATTTGAAACAGGCGGAGCCGAAACCTGGCCACGCGATTGAAAGTATCTCGCTGATCGCCTAAAATTAGGGTGCAGCCCGGCCTTTTTTTTTCTTGTGTCAGATATACAAACGCGCTCATTGACCGCGACGACTAGGGAAGGTCTCGTGACCATGTCTCCGATGTCCTTATGTTTTTGTCTTGGCGGGCTGTGCAAGAAATGTGATGAAACTCAGTTCCGCTTGCAGGCATCGTCGCAACGTCATTCGCTATTACGCGGTCTTATTTTACTTTGACCCATCATGCCTTACTGAACGCGCAGTGGCTTTGGTGTCCATCCGGCGTACCTGTGAGGATTCTAGGCCCTTGCCTCTTGTTGCCGGTCGCAAGGAGCCTTGCGGTTGGCGTTTCCTGTTTGACACTAGACTGCGGCCTCCTCCTATGCACGAGATCAGGCGTATCCCGAAACCAATTTATATACCAATTCTCTTCTTCATTTTCTTGGTGGTATAAACAGCACATTCTGGCGGTCCTTTGAGTCTTCCAACGCGAAACCCATATTATTTTTCTATCCACGGGGAGTAACTCATCCAACCTCCGGATCTTGATCCCCTATTTATCAGCTGACTTGTAAGAACATCGTGCATCCGCGGATACATTGCTTTCCCGGTCTTCCCGACACCCTCACAGTGATACCCCATCTCCATCATACCGGTCGATTGTTCTCTCGAAATCTGCAGTTGAGACGGTATATTATCATTCGAGGACTTCACAGAATTTTCTTTGGCTCCAGCTCGAACCAAACTCGTCCCTCCTTGCTTCGCACCTTATCTGTTTTGACCCAACCGATCTAAACACACCACCCATTTTCTTCGTGACTAATTTTGAATTCCTGAAAGCAGCACGCATCTCATCAAAATGTCCGGAAATTCAATATTGCCGGCTTCTGACAGGAGGAGCCCCTTTTATATCAATGTGCCCCCACACGACGCCAAACCCATAACCTACCTTATCTCTTATTTCAAATTATGGAAGCATTTTGTGGCATCCTTGATTGTGTACTTGAAAGACTTGGTGAAGGCGAAAGAGTTCGAGCTGAATTTGAACCTTCAGCTCATAGGAAGTATCCAATTCCCTGGCTTCAAAGACTTGCCATACAAATGCCTCTCAAGTATGGAGCAACAGCTTCCTTCCCCAACGACTACCCAGACTTCAACCCCCAAAAACGAACCCAATGCTTCGGGGGCACAACAGGCCGCGGGATTATCAAAGGACGCGAACCGTCCAAACTTGCCCAAGACAAAGTCCTCCTCATCCTTTTTGAAAAATCTGAGCTTCGCACATAGAAAGACAGGCAGTCTTTCAAATTTGGTTCCTGAAGGCTCAGCGACGTCTGTATCCTCGCACCATAAACAGCCGGCCAACACTAAGGTCTCAGGAAGCAAGACTAATGCACCACAGACAACTAGCTCTTCTATTCTTGCAGCAAAGCTTGCTCCCAAATCGGACGTGACCATCGACTCCACTTTCTTCCCTCCAGACTCTTTGTTCACCAACATGGGATCTTCGCTCGTCAAGGATCATTTCAGTACCTACTCTGCGCAAGCTAAGTTATGCCGTGAGATTACACACAAACTTCTCCCTAAACTTGAAAGCTTGCATAAAAACATCGGGGTCAAAATAAAAGAGATCAAGACCTCTTTGAAAAACGAATCTTTTGCCAATGCAACTTTGATCAAAGAGGTATCCAAGACAGGCAACTGCCTTACAAACTTTGTTAACTCTGTCAATCGTTACTCGTCACCACAACCAGTTATTAGACGGAATGACACAGAAGATGAAGATGAGGCCGTTTCCTTGAATGACCCCTTCCTTGTCAAGTTGGATTTAGACTACCAAATCAAAAACCAGTTGATCCACGAAAACTACATTTTCGCCCTGTACGTGAATCTTCAGACCATATCCAAGGACCTTTTCAACTATGTGGTAAAGGACCTACACTCAGTGACAGAGAAGTTAATTAAATCGCTCACTTCTGAGGCGGTCTACGCAACAACTCTTGAAAATTGTTTGTTCAATCTCGGCGCGACACTCAAAGGCAAACTCAAATCCCTGGACTATGACTGGCAGTACTTCATGGTCCATAACCCTAACTTCTTAAATGTTTATTACAACGATGAAAAATCACCCAGAAAGGAAACCAGAACTTTTAAGGACATCGTTATTCCCTATTCAAACTCGGTTCATAACAAATGTTTACGTTGCGGCTACTTACACAAAAAGCAGAAAGTCATGAAGTCATACGTTTCTCATTTCTACCTTTTGACCTGCAATTACTTGCATGAGTTCAAAGTTGAAAATCATACGGAAAAAGCCCAAAAGAACGAGTCTTCAAACTCGTCTATCCGTAAGAAGGCAAAGGGTAAGATCGGGGGAGTCGTGGATCATGAAAGCACCCCCGTGAAATCATATAATTTGAACGACTACTCAATTCAAGTTAGAAACGAGAAAGAGTTTAAATTTGTGTTGACCAAGACGTCGAACTCAAGTCAAAAGTTCACATTCAAGTGCCAAAACGAAACTGATTTCAAAGCGTGGTCTACAGATTTGCACGACTTGCTCAAGTTTTCGAGTCAACACATCAAAAGGTTTAATTTCATTGAGGCCAAGATGGCCCACAGAGATCTGGAGTCGGCTGGAACAAAGAATGCTAAGAACGAGCCTCTTTCTCAGAACACATCACAGAGTAGCTTGAATCTCGGCAAACTCTTGCCTGGAGATGCATCACTTGACAAAATTCAGTCATCGAGCCTTACTGGTATGTTCACACCGAAAATTGAATCGCCAAGCAATCAAAATCAAAATCCTTTCGAGGCTGGGTTTGAGCAATCCTTACCTTTGGGTGGCACCCCTCTGGAGAATACCAATTTTGTCTCGTCGGAGCATGGTTCAGAATCTCCACATGCGCATAGTCCTTTGAACAGCAATTCTCGTGCAGAAAGTCCCGTCGATCATCAAAGCGAACACGAGCATTACCTCAGGCTCCAGAACGAGATCATGCTTCAGCAAGAGCAGCTTTTACTTCTTGGGTCCGCCGGTGGTGACAGGCCATCAATGTCTAGACATTCTTCAACGGAATCCATTTTGTCAGTCATGGAGCAAAACAATCATAATCTCTCACAATTCTTGAATAAGAACCAGGATTTCATGAGAGACTTTGGAGAGCATCGCCCTAGTGACGGAAGTATAGCCCTGGTGCCTTCTGTACATGTTCTGCACCACGAAGCAGATTAGGCGATTGAGGTTTCGAAAAATAAAGTCAGTTCATAGAAAAACAAAATGAGGAAAATTTTAGAGTTGAGGGCAGATGATTTCTAAGTATTAAGACACAGGAAGGTACAGCGCTTGAAGTATCAGGGTATGCAGTTGGCGAATCCCAACAACGGAAGGTGCCTGACTAAGCTGCTATTCAAGTATATAAACTTCAGGTCTCTTGAGCTCTTCGCAAGGAGTTTCATTGTGCGAATCATATTGTATGTATGTAAGGCGCACGAGGCATAATCAATTAGCGTTCGCAGCGCAACTCGAGGCGCCCGCCTGATGCTTGCCAGTTGAGTTCGCAATTTGCACATGCGAGACTCTTTTTACTTCGTCGCTTTCACCGAATTCCCAACGCCCAACACAGGGTATATCCTTAGAAGAACCACAATTGCTCCCAAAGATGTCTGATTCATACTCATCTGGCTACAGGAAAAACGAAAATGCCATCGCATCTGATGCAGAGAGCGATGCTGAAATCATTGCTCCTCACCCTCCCATCAGACGCTCTTCATCCTTGTTTTCATTGAGCTCGAATCAGGAGCCATTGCCAAGACCTGAACCCAAAGACTATCAGCATTTCTTAGGCGATTCGAGACATTTTTCTTTGATCAGAAACCTTCACATGGCGGATTTCATCACGCTTTTGAACGGCTTTTCTGGGTTCTATTCAATTATTTCTTGCTTGAGGTTTGCTCTCTCGGGCCAGACACACTACATTCAAAGAGCTCACTTCTTTATCTGCTTGGGTTTATTCTTTGATTTTTTTGATGGTAGAGTCGCTCGTTTGAGAAACAAGTCATCTCTCATGGGTCAGGAACTCGATTCTTTGGCCGACTTGATTTCCTTTAGTGTCTCCCCGGCCATCATTGCGTTTTCGATCGGCTTCAGGTCCACTGTTGATGTTTTGATCTTGTCATATTGGATCTTGTGTGGCTTGCTCAGATTGGCTAGATTCAACATTTCCTCTAACAACATACCCAAAGACAGCCACGGCAAGTCCCAGTACTTTGAGGGCTTGCCCGTTCCATCGAATTTGCTATGGGTTGCGATCATGTCATACTTGGTTCATAAAGATATGATTTTAGCTAATTTGCCTGGTGGATTAATTTTCGAAGGTACGGTGCTTGAGCTTCACGCTGTGTCACTTGCCTTCATTTTACAAGGAAGTGCTGAAATCTCCAAGAGCTTGCATATTCCTAAACCATAAGTGTCATATATATATATACATAACTACGTTTACTCTGATACATAAGAGAAGCATATTTATAAAGCAAAACATCAGTGAAGTGACTTTAAAGAAGCCACACAATACGTATCTTGCCCCTTTCTTATTCAAACGAACCTAACCCGGCCATTTTAATATGTTTAAAGTTCAACCCGTTATAAACGCCCCGTTGCAACTGTTCATATGCATCTTTATCAAAGTTAGTGGGATCAAGAACACCTATTTCCGTGGGCAGAAAGCCTAGCTTGTGTTCTCTTTCCGAAATGTCGAGATATCGACACTGAGTCCAAAATATGTCATGAAGTTGAGCCAATTTCATCACATAGTGGATTCTGTATTTCCAAATTTGCGCTGTTGTAAATTCTCTAGAAGAACTAGCAGTGATCCCGATTTCGGCAAGCTTTGAATGAAATTGCAGGAGTATGAATAGTAGCTCGGGCTGGTCGGAAATCTTAAGCAAGAGTTCGTTTGTTAAATTGGCGGCAACAGAGTTTTTTGTAAGTGCTTCTTGATACTCTTCGACATCCTTGACGTAGTTCAAAGCATTCACCAAAATATTCGCCGATTTCTTATACACTGGAGGCTTTAAAGAGTACGACCGTGAAGGTCTGGCACACTGACTTATAGCGCCCTGGATCAACTTGTTTCGATAGAGAGGCCAATGCCTCAATCTGTAGGTTACTCTAAGCATCCTGATGAAACAGACCGTGCTCTTTAGAACGGATGGGCCTTGCATTAAGGTACCCTCTTGTATAGTAATGTGGCGCGAATGTACGGATGCGATCTCGGTTGGCAATAAAAAATCGGCAAAAAAAATCATACAAGCAAAAGAGCGCAAGGCTTGCTTATAGACATCATCATGCTTCCAACTCTCTTGCGTGCCACCAAGACTATTGTTAGTAGATCGGGCGTGACTGTCGGAGCATCACGTTCCGCTTCGGTTGGTGTTTCCTTCACCAGCACCGTACCCATCTCAAAGAGATTCTACTCAGATAAGAAGGCCTCTGAAAAAGCAGACGACAAACCACAAAGTATACTAAACGAAGATATGTTGAGCCGTGCCGGCTTTGAGGAAGCTGAAAAAGAGAAATCCTCTGAGGAAGAAACTGAGGGTAAAAAAGATGACACAGACAGAAGCGCACGCAGAAGACGCCGTGCTCAGACGTCCAAAGACAGGCAGCGTGAGAAGTATGCCAACTGGTTTTACACTGCCACATTGTTTGGAGGGTTTGCTGGTCTTGGCTTCTTGTGCAGGGACTGGGATTCGGAGGATGAGCAAAAGGCCGTGGAGGGCCAAGGAATCGAAAACGGTTTCACGCCCCAGCTTATGTACGGCAGGTTGAACAAGAGAGTTTCGTCTCTTTTCACGTTCTTCAGCGAGCCAGCCTTTGAGAATTTGTTGCCTCCTCCACCCCCAGAGGCTTACCGTCGCCCCTTGACATTGGTATTGACCTTGGACGATCTCTTGGTCCACTCATCCTGGGATGCTAAGAACGGCTGGAGGACAGCAAAGAGACCAGGCTTAGACTACTTTTTGGGCTACTTGTCGCAGTACTACGAGATTGTTATCTTCGGTTCCGAATACCAAATGTACTCCGAGAAGACTGTGGCAAAATTGGACCCTTTGAGGGCATACATACAGTACGCTTTGTTTAGAGAGGCATGCCGTTACAAGGATGGAAAATTAATCAAGGACTTGAATCTCTTGAATCGTGACTTGGCTAATACTATTGCTATTGACGTCAACGAAGAGACCCTGGTGTTGAACCCTGAAAATGCCATCACTTTGAAGCCATGGGATGGAAAGCCTGATGACACTTTGGTCAAATTGATTCCATTGTTGGAATACTTGGCCACCCAGCCCGTTAAGGATGTCAGGCCCATTCTTAGCTCATTCACTGACAAAAGCAGCATTGTTGAAGAGTACTCTGCCCGTGAAGCTAAATTACGCCAGAAATGGATGGAGGACAACAAGCACTTATTGGAAAGAGCACACAAGCCAAATGCGGGAAGCTTCATTGCTTCCCTCATGGGAATCCCGCAAAGCTCTGTCAACAAACAGCCAAAAATGCCCTTAGATATCATCAGAGAACATGGTCAGTTGCAATATGAGAGCTTACAAAGATACTTGAAGGAGAACGAAGCCAAGTTTTTGGAAGAAGAAAAGAAAATGAAGGAGGAATACGGTAAGGTGACCTTGAATAAGTTGATGACGGAGGGAATGCCAAACCCTGAGGATATTGCCAAGGCGCAAGCAGAAAAGGCCGCCAAGGAGGCCGCCGCGGGCCAATAGATTAATGCAACTTGAACATAGCTAAAACACATCTTGTAAATTTGTTTTCAACTTGTGATCATCGTTCATTTTCGTTCCTATCATAACATCAGAAAATCCGGTACATGCGCCATGATAGTTCCAAGTTGAGTATATACACGCAGTAGAGTGTGTCATAGAAAGAGAAAGAGGCCCCGAATTTGAATGCTACAGCGAGTCTGTAAGCTGACAATCCTAAATTTTTGATTTTGACTAGGCTTGAATACTGGGAGAGCCGCTAGTGCACAGTGCTGACTTCTGCTGTAATACACCTCGATTCAAAGACTCAAGAGCAAATATGACATACCCGTTCGGCTGGCAACAAGTTTACATGCGGCAAATAAATACCCAGTTGGGTCGATAGCTTTCAAGGAAATAGAGGCGCACTGACAAATAGGGAAGCTCGAATTACCAGGCCCAGATTTCCTTCCCAAATCACGGCGCAGGCTGAGCGAAATCTGCGAGTGCCGAAATAGGAGTAGCGGAGGTCCGATCTCGGCGACGCCGCGTCTGCCATGGGAGAGGGGAATCAATGTGACCACGGTCCCCGTTTCTGCAAATTCGATACCGTTTCTACAAATTCTATACCGTATCTCCATAAAGAATTTGAAGCGCTAAGGGAATGTCTCGCCAAAAAAAAGAAACCACAAACAAGTTCAACGTTGTTTGAGCTAATCACCGACTACAAATACAACACCGGTCGTCATCGGCCAACGTTGGTGTGCATGGACCTGCACACGCCCCATCTTGCGCGCAGTCTTGGCAAAATTATCTAAAGCATCAGTGGCTGGCACCAGATCGCATCTCATTTTTTATCGTCTTTCCGTTAAAAGACGTCCCTTCACAGTATCCACACAAACTCTTGCTTCGCTCGTTCGAGACTCGTCAGCGAGAACGGTGTATTCCTGTAGCTTCATTGACTGAAGGCTGTTTTTGAAAGCGTGAACTACCGCTGAGCTTTTGTCAAGAGGACAGCCCTGAGCTCAAATACGAAACGGGGCCGAACCACAAACCCCCAAATCCTCTGGACACGAAACCATTTATCTTCCGTTTCTACACCATGTCTACCAGAGGCCCTAGTATAGCACCCCGGACTACGTTGGCGCTCTCCCCGGCAGGAACCGGGACCGCCTCTTCTCCCGAGTCGGCGTCCTCGCCAGGGGCTGTCACTTCGATCGTCACGTCCCGTGAGTGGGTCTTGCCGCCGAGGCCCAAGCCAGGCCGCAAGCCCAGTGTGGACACACCTGCTTCTAAGCGCAAAGCGCAGAACCGGGCAGCGCAGCGGGCGTTCCGGGAACGGCGGGCCACCAGGGTCCAGGAGTTGGAGCAGCAGTTGCTTGAGGTGGAGCGGGAGAAGGAGCTCAAGGAAATGGGGCTCGTCAGCACCATCAACAAGTTGAAGTTCGAAAACCTGATTCTCAGCAAGTCTGTTGAACAGCTCCGGTTGGATTTTAACACGTTCCGTAGCTCCATGGGTGCACCTCTGGCGCCGGCCTCGGCCGCGTCTCCAGCATCTTATCCGTTTCTGGAAAAGCCTCTGCAGAACCCAACGGCTCCTTATGGCTCGGCCACGCGCTTGTCTGTCGACGAAAACAGCAACGCATACAAGGCCGATCTCAGCCAGAGCGCACAGCACTTGCTCAACTTTGCCAAGTCGCTGCCGGTAAACCACACAACAGCTTCGCCGGCCCTGCTGCTGTATTCCGTGCAGCAGATTCTGCCAGCCCCTTCGGTGGACTCTACTGGAGTCACAGTGGCGCGAGCCCAAACTCAGCCTGTACCGCCAGCAGGCCCGATAACCATCAAAGCAGAGTCTCTGCACATGCATGCCTCGAACGAAACCAATGACTTTGACTGTGGGGTGTGTATTAAAGAACAGTGTCTTTGTGAAGACATCGGCTTGAAGAGCCCCAAGTCTCTCGAGGAGACGTTCAACACGTTTGCACCCATGCCGGCAGTGTCCTTGCGTGGGAAGAGAACGAAGAGTACGGAGGAGGTAGACTTTACGGCGGAGTTTTCTTCGAAGAAGATGCCTGACCTAAAACGCTTGCGCAGAAGCGCCCCTGAAGAGAAACAGGCGCACGCCGAAGAGTTCGATGAAAGCTCCCCAGTGGAAAACTGCGGTTTCTGCTCTGACGACACGCCGTGCGTTTGCAGAGAGGCGGCCAAGGAGGCCGCGAGAATCAAGGAGTTGAGTCTGCAACAAGAGCAAATCATGGAGGACGAGAAAAACATTTCTGCGGAAGAGGCTGGTCCCACGCTGCTCCCTCCAATCCAAGTCAAGCATCCCTCCATGATGCGCAAGGCCTCGCTACCGGTCATGCACCCAGGACCCACTTTCGAATTGAGGGAGATTTCGAATATGAATCAAAGCCCAATGCCTACAGTGGTCTCCCAAGAAGCACCTCTGACCCTGAAGGCCCTGCAGCCTGCCAACCAAGACAATGGCGACAAATCAGGATGCACGGGGAACCCTGGGACTTGCTCGCAATGCCAAACAGACCCGATGTCCACGTTGTTCTGCTCCACAGTTGCAAGCAAGGCTGCTCAACAGACGGGGCCACCTGCTCAAGCTGTTCCTACAGGCCGTGGGTCCGATTACTTCAATAGTCCGCACAGCTCCATGAGTGACTGCCGTACAACAAGTGTGCCTGGGTCCACTAACCCTTCTACTCCAAATCCATCTACGCCCAGTGGATTATCCAACGGTATCTTCATACCATGTGCAGACGCTTATAGAACTCTCTCCCGCCACAAACGTTTCAATACGATCGATTTCCTGTCTCTTGTGGGAAGGCTTACTACGCGAGGAATGCAGGTGGAGGTGCAATCTGTTGCTAACATGATTCGGGAGCTCGACAAAAAAGTCTACGACTGAGAGAATATACTGTCTATTAATACTAGCTGAAAATATCATTTCGAAGTGGAGGAAGCTTTCAATATCCGACACGCGGTCCGGTGCATTCATAGATTTGTCCTCTTCCATCGCACGACCAGTATTGTAAAAGACCGCGCATGTGTGTCCTCATCTCATCACGAAAACACTAGGTGAAATTCTTTGGAGGGCGACCTTTCTGTCGTATTTCATCATTGCGTCAAAGAAAACATGTCATTTTTTCGTGTTCAAGCCTTCAGTGGCTTGAGGCCAGTGTTATTTTGTGCACAAAGGCGCCACTTGACGACCAATAACGGTGCTTCAGAGGCGCTCAATAATAGTTCCGATCTTCAATCCAGAATTTCTCGGATTCTCGAGTGTAAAGACCTTAACTCCAAAAATGATGAGAATCATTCCACGGGAGCTCAAAAAAAGCCCAATTCCCGGCATAAGGCTCGAAGAATCCACAATAAAGGCACGAGGATGCATGGTCCTGCTCAGTCACCGAATACAAAAAAGCAGAAGAATCACAAACCGGAAGAGGAACCAAATTCAGACACCAAATCACCTCTACCATCACAGTATATTACCCAACTTAAAGGATCTGTTCGTCCCAATCAGGAAGAGTTGAAACAGATCCATAAGCCCAGAGGGGAAAGTATACCTAAGTTAGCTCACAAGCTAGACCGTGTACTCTTTTCTCCAGGTGTTCACTTTCTTCAGGATCCAAGAACTAGAGTTTACAACTTTAACCCATACTTGAAACAGATTGTTTCTCATGAGGACTTCGATTTCGAAAAGGTGCAAAAGTTCGTGAGTGCGTCGAAGGATGCGACTCTTCTTCGAGAAGCGAAGGCACAGAACAAGAAATTTTACTCAAGTACTTCTTCCATGACACTGACGCTTCATCAGTTCTATTTATTTTTGAACAACTATACTCCGTCCGAAGACTCGAAATACAGATTTGACTTCCCTAATTTCTCCCGAACTGCAAGAGATCTTCCGCTGGCGGTTATAGTTGAGCCAAAAGGAGTAAACGAAGCAAATGGCGAGACAATTTACTCGGTAACATCCGACAAGTCGACCGATGTGGAGATTTTACTCTCAGCCATGGGTCATTGTTTGGAGGCTTTGCTAACGACCGAGGAAGAAGAATTCAAGGAGCTTCTAATAAAACGCGATGGTGATGAGAAAGATGAAAAAAAGGTCTCTGTTCCTGAAAGTACCAGCCCAGAGTTAAAGGATGAGCCCTTACCCGCCTCGACCGCTGAGACTGCTGAAAATGTTTACAATTACCTGGGCTACGGCGATTTTCTCATGAGATCGCAACTTGATTGTTATGACTCTAGATTACCTGGTAACGGTACATTCGATTTGAAAACAAGAGCAGCAGCTTCCGTTAGATATGACAAAGCTTCCGAAGCTGCGGACTCAAGTTATCAAATCTGGAAATTGAAAGGCAATGTTGAGTCCTTCCAGCGAGAGTTCGAGGATTTAATTCGCACTGGAGGGCTTCTCAAGTATGGCTTTCAAGCAAGAATTGGCCAGATGGATGGTATATTTGTCGCTTATCACAACATCAATTCATTTTTCGGCTTTCAGTATCTTCCTTTGAGCGAAATTGACAAAGTCTTTTATTCTAATACTCGTTTCGATGAAAAAATTGAAACTCACGGCGCAGCCAACGATATCGAGCAAGACGGTAATATGGCTTCATTATTTGCAGAGGCACAATTCAAAGCCTCGATTCGAATTTGGCAAGATGTAATGAAAACAGTCGAACGGGATTTCAAAGGGACTGAATATGAGGGTTCTGCATTCCGTTTGGTGACAAACAGAGTGAGCAGAGTTAAAAACAAAAAGAAGATGAATTCTACAGCTCATGATAAGCGCGAAAATCCCGCTCCTCAAAAAGAATCTTTCTTGAGTGTTTTTGCTGTTCCCATTTCTCGTGCCGAGGCAGACGAGCTTCAGCTGGTGTCTGCAAAGTACCAAACGTCTTTCCGTGAAAACATTTCTGATGCAGAAAGATTAGAGAATTTGGAGAAAATTCAAAGTGAGCTTAATAAATTCAACGAACAACTTGTTGAGAAAAAGCAGCTCTTTAGCTACGCTGTTCGATCCTCTTTTTATGTGAACGGTACTCGCAGACCCGATACTGACAATCATCATTATCCCAACAGTTATAAAGATGATATTGAGTGGCGTTACGCCATTCAAAGGATTTATAAAAATCCCGGTGAAAGCAATGAAAAAGTCAAAATCAAAGAAAGTTCTTCACTTCTGGTTGAGCACTATCTCAAAGCAACACAACTATGTACGAACATGTTGACAAAAGCTTACAAGGAGTTACCCACAAGGAAGAAGCCAAGTCTCACTGATGTCTTGCGCAAATACTCGGAAGTCGGTAAAATTAGACTTGAGAAGTGGAATGAGTTGGAAAACCCCCCAAGGATATATTGATGACTCATGTAGAGTGCAGGGATCTTATACTAATGTGTACATAGCAAATCTTCTTACATAATTATTTTCATTCATTGAGACAATTTCTCCATTTCCTTGCAGGCATGACGTGTCTGAAGCCGATAACTTCCACGGCCAGCTTATCGCATACAACGCCGCGCTTGTATTTCGTGTCGAAAAAAGAAAAAAAAAACATATCTTCAAGAGACATACAGGTCGAATAAGTGTCTGATGAAAAAAACTTTAAAAGCTGTGTCCAAAAACATTTTCGAGACATACCTTTGATATTTGGCTAATACACCATAATAACTTAATGTGAATGAACCTTTTGATTTCGTGTTACCAATGTCGCCCCTCCCCCCCTCCCTCTGGTTTAGGCCCCGCCACATCTATATACAGTCCTTGTATGTCATCGCGCGTCCAGGGCATATGATTCATTTCGTCACAGTCTGCGGGTTTTCCACAAGTCCGAGCCGAAAAATGATATTCAAAGAAAATGTTACCACAACCACGCTTTGAGTTTGTACTGTTAAAAATCTCAATATATGTGTGTAATCACTCCTGAGTTAAAAATGTAATAAGGAATTTTGTTATAATAATCTTCGAAAAAAAAACGGCCGTGTAGAGGCCGGAAAATCTCCCTCCGAACTCACCGCTTGTCCGAAATATTATATGCCATCTCACCACTAAGTGCATACATAGATTAGGTAAGGCTTCCGGCAGGCTAAGATCGTCGCGCCGCCCTTTGGTCCGGAGATGAGCCTGTCGAATTTCGAAGCTGGGCATACATAAATTTGTAGGATCCCGCTCTTCTGCATGGTCTTTACCTTCTTTTCATCTTTAGGCCGACTCGTTTCTTTTGTGGTCAATACATAATACATTCCTTTGAGAATCACCACTTTTACATCCTTCCATCTTTAGCTCTGGTTCAGTTTTGCTAGCAGACACATTCGATATATGGAATACATACTATGTCATATACCAGTGAACTACCTATGAGCAAAAATCAGTCATCTGCAACGCTAAATTCCATATTTTCAAGGACAGAAAGTGCGTCCACTGTGTCGAATACGCCTGCTGAAAGTCATGTCCTTACGTCCATGCCCAGTTTTACTGGATTAACGGATTTAATACAGCGCAAAATCCAGTCAAAAACGATCATTCTCCTAGTGGGACTCCCAGGTTCAGGAAAAAGTACGATTTGTCATCAACTTTCAGGCTTTCTCAATGCGCAAGGATACAGCTCCTTGGTCTATAATGCTGGGAACATTCGCCGGGCGATGTCGAGTGGATTTTCAGACTCTGAGTTTTTCAACCCCGACAATGCTGAGGCTAGTCAAAAAAGGGAAAAATACGCCACAATGTGTATGCAGAACATGCTTGAAGACCTCAAAGAAAACCGCGTTAACGTGGGCTTCTTGGACGCAACAAACTCTACAACGGTACGCAGACACTCCATGCTTAAGCTTATACAAAAAGCGGACGTAGAAATCTCCAACATTTTTGTTCTTGATGTATCTTGCACCGAGAAACGACTTGTCAATTACAATATCACGAGCAAAGCTTTCAACCAAGACTATAGAGGAAAAGATATTGCCACCTCCATTTCTGACTTCAAAAAGCGCTCAGAACACTATGACAGAATTTTCGAGCCAATACTTTCACAAGAGTTTGTTGAATTCAGGAATGTGAAACATTTTTCAATACAAAATGGTGGGCGTACATTTGTGGTTCCCCAAGACGCCTCAGATGACGATTCTTGTGATGTGACATTATTACTCGCAGCGTTTGTAACGAACTATTACAAAACCTATGGGGAAAGCTATCATGCAGCTGTCGATGAGTTCTATAGCTGCGCTTTGGGGGGGATCTAACGCGTACATTTGGGACAGGGACTTTTTTATACTTTTTATAACATATAGACAACAAATTTCAGTTCATGGGTTTAATTCTGAAGAAAAAAAAAAAGCAAGATGTATACCTGTCTTTTCTATTTGAAAGGTCTAATATTGTTGCCCAGATGAGCCCAAACCTGGAATGTAGCTACTGCCATCTTCGTAAGTGTTTTGAAGACCAGGCACTATATTTCTAGATCCGTACGCAGATTGGGCGGAGTTTGTTGGAAGCGAGGGATTCTCCAAGACCGCATTGACGTTATTGTTTACGCCGTAGTACCACGCGCCAACTTTCTCGTTGGTATACAAGGGGTCTTTGAACGCCATTGGGTCGTTGGGTCTTGCTCGCGACCAAAAGCGAGCAGATCTATCGTTTCCAGCGGAACACAACAAATGACCCAATGGATGGTACTCAAGTGCATTGATGGCTTTTTCGTGGGCATATGGGACCTTTTGTGCGATCTCCACATTCGAATTTTGAGACTTGTCGGAACTGGTCTCTGGGATGTGTCGATCTAAAATGTAGTGGTACATCGAGCCGTCGTATGCAGCAGTCGTTAAAAGAGAGGCATGAACTGGATGCCACTCGACGCACGAAAGATCTGTCTCATGGTCACGGATAACCTTGAAGTCGGTCATTGTTCGCAAATCGAAGATTTTACAAGACCGGTCTCGGGAAACCGATGCAAGAAGTCTGTTAGTGCCTGCCCTTTGAAATTTGGTCTTCGTGACCGTGTGCTTGAAGCCATGAAGAGTATTAATGGCAGTCGCTACTCTAGGATCCCAGAGCTTGATGAGATTGTCTTTCGAGCCAGAAACGATAAGACCCAAAGAAGGATGCCAATCAGCACACTTTACGTCCCAATGGTGGCCCAGTAGCGTGCGTTCCTCTTTTCCGTTGTTGAAGTTCCAGATTTTAATGGCATGATCATCCGAGCAGGTGAGAAACTTGGAGTCATTTGGAGAAAAGGCAATGTCTCGTATGGCGTCTGTGTGGCCCTGCAAAATATTGACGTTGTTGAAGTTCGGCTGCCAGTATTTGATGACACCATCTTGGTCTCCGGAAAGGAGCCAGTCGTCGTCATGCGAATACTTCAAAGCAAGAACAGCCAGGTCATGGGCTTGCATAATCGTCTCGAAGTTGAATGTCATACCGTTCCAGATGGTGAACTCTCCACTATGCGATGCCACCACCAACCGTCGTCCTTCAGGTGTCCATTTCACCGTGTTGATGGAGTGACGTGCCTTGTTCAGCGATAGGTGTACAAATTTAGAGGGAATGTCTAAGATAGCAGGGTTCCCGGCCAAAGTGTCTCTCGAATAAGCCAACGATGGGAGCAAGTCGATCAAGTAAGACAGCTCAGGCCTGACTTTGCCCACGTGTTGCTTTGTCTGGCCAATGGATCTCTGTATATACCAGCGGCCCATATTATTTCCGTGATCTACGGTTCTTCTGTGTTGACCCTTTTTCTCTTGCAGACTAAGCTGTTGGTCCATGCTTTGCTGTTGTCGATTATTATCATTTTGCTGGTACCTGTCGTTTGGCTGATACCGGTTTTCATTCAGTTGGTACCGATTGTCAGTTTGCGAATATCTGTTTTCGCTCTTTTGGTATCGATTGCTCATTCCAAAAAGATTATATAGCCTACTTTAGGACCTGTGGGAGTGCAATCACTTTGAGTCAGTCTTTAACCAGAAGTATGTGCGGAGAGCTCATCCAAAGAGTGCGCGAGAGGCTAAGACGATTTGCGAGCAGGCCAAGTCCAGAAGAATTCGCCAGTCAATGAAGAAAGCGAAAAAATCGCAAACATTGTATCTTTGAACAAGAGTTTGTTTTCTGTGGCTTCATGGTTTTAGTTATCTACTTGCAGATAGACCCTTACCATTCTTGTTCCAATTCACATGGGTTCGGGAATGGTCCAGCCAAGATCTCCCTTAGATCACGTGGGCGACCGTAAGCAGAGTGCCGCAATGATTTGCCTGCTTGACAAGTCCAAATATTCGGATCCACCTATCCTGGATTTTCCATTACAAATCACCAAGAAAACCATGGTCTCCTTTTTCTACCATGACGGCCTAGATACGTCCGAAAACTTTACTGAGGAACATCACTCGGGGAAATTCGTCACCGAGGAGAAGTTGGCTGAGCTTGGCGTCGTGTACAAGTATATAGACAACTTGGAGGATTTGGAAATTCTTGCTCAGGAGAGGGATTACAAGAATAGAGACGTAGTGAATTTGAATCTTGGGTCCTTTGGTGGTGATGAAACGGCCTACAACAACAAAATGCGCCAGTTCTACACGGAACATTACCACGAAGACGAAGAGATTCGGTACGTGCAAGAAGGCGAAGGTTATTTCGACGTTCGTGACAAGGAAGACAAATGGATTCGTGCCAAACTTGAGAAGAACGACTTGCTTATTTTGCCTGCCGGGATATACCACCGCTTTACACTTCTGAGCAAGCTCAAGAATGTCACAGCCATGAGATTGTTTAAAGACGAGCCTAAATGGGAGGCAATCAACAGGGTGGAACAAAGAGAAACAAAAGCTCGTTCGGAATATGCACAGTCAATTTCTGGCAACTAATACGTTTCGTAAGTTTTGATATTTGACTGGAAGAAGGGTTTAGTATGGTGTCACCCTTTTCAATCGTTATTTATTTGCAATATACTCGCTTATCACTTTCGATCATAGGCGGCTGTAAACTTTGTCTACTGGCGAACAATCTTTACCTTGTTTTTGGTCATCCAGTCATTCATCTCCTTCTTACAACTCGTGAACTCTTTCTCCAAAAGCTCTTTCGATTTGGTGAGCTCTTTCGACTCCTCGTCTAAAATCTTGATGACCTCATCCACTGATTTGTTGACAAGAACTCCCCCAACCATTTTATAGCATTTTCGGCCTTCCCTTTTGTTCGGTGGAATTTCAGTTAGCGTTTTGTCGACAATTGAGTGTTCCTGAATCTGCGAAGCAATCGATGAGAGTTGTCCCTGCAAATCCGTTAAAAGCTCTTGAAATCTATTGTACTGAAGTTGGTGTTCCTTAACCTTCTGTTCTTGTTGTTGTTGCTTTTCAGACATGATTATTGTTGACTTGGTTTCGAACTGACTAGTTGAAAGCTTTGAGAAGGTAGACATGCATCCTACATGTGTACTGCATTCGCAGTGAACACGTTTTGAGGCCATTCTACGATAAAAAAAAAGTTGATTATTTCCATCACATTTTGGTTCATTTAGTACTGTTTTGGTTATATTTTTTTTACAAATCAGTTTACTTCTCTGCTACCTTTTTTTGTGTTTCTTTGCTGGAATCGATCTTCTTAGGCACACCGAGATACAAGAAGCCTGCGACAAAAATCAACCATGCGATCACCACCAAAGCAGCGCTCACCATGTACATCCAAGCATTTGTAATCTCCCAAGATCTTTTGTATTCGTCGTTGGCCAAATGCCGAACGGCCACGATCTTTTTGTCCTCGAGGAAAGATAAGCCTTCTCTCTTGTAATCGAGCTCGAAAGTAAACATACCATGGTGGTCTGGAATAACAAACTCAACGAAGAAGACATTTATGTCATTGACACCATTTTCTGTGGATGCAGCTGGGCCTAAAAGTGTCATGTTCAATCTCTGATATGGGTCCAACATCTTGAAGGACAACTGCAAAACGTCATCTTCTGATGATGGGGTATATGGTACCCATTCGCCATTGTTCAACTCAGAAACTCCAACAGTATAGTACACAGAGTCCTTAATACGATACAATGTTCTGTTGGAAGCTCCGGGCTCGTCCTGCTTGTAGTGTTCGACAAAATTCAACCTAAGCACTCCCTTTTCTTGTAAAACCCATGACGTCAAGTCGTCCGAGAGTAAGTCCAAAGATCCAACCCAGGCACCACGTGCGTTATTCAAGCCTTGGAAGGCCACAGCCAAGAAGCCTTGTTCACCGACGGTCCAGGTCTTTTCAGATGTCAACATTTTGTCCTTCGAGCTACTGGTGAAAGAAAATTTGGGGGCCTTTACCAATGGAAACAAGTATTGACTGTTTGAGACCAATGCAGCGGTCCCTTCATAGTTCAAGTCTTTTATTTGTGAGATGATCTTCTTGGAAACAAGATTTTCGTCATTGATTCTCACATTTGTATCGAAGTGATCTGATAACGTGAAGCCTCTAGGTGCGGGATGTATACCCACTTGAGCGAGAAGTAGACGTACTTCCTCAGGTACGGAGTAATCGGAAGAGCCCACCGCTATAATGTTTCCTCCAAGGTTGAAAAACTCAAGTAATTTGTGCTTGTCAACAAGGCCCTTAGCTTCAACCACTTTCTTTGACGAAGGCAAGAAAATCGCATGGTCGTAGCGAGCCTCGTCGGTAACAAGCAATTCTTCGTCCTTTTTGAGGTAGTCCAAGTAGTTGACTTCGTATTTGTTCGAGTCAAGCAGGATGGATTTCTCGAGAACCTCCAAGTCCGGTACAAGGCTGGAGTCGTAGGCCACTAAAACATGCGGCTTCAGCGAGTCGGCACTATTTGCAGCGGTAGCGAGGCAAAACACCGCTCCAATTGCCACTAACTTGGCAATGGCTGAAGAAAACATTGGAAGTATATGTGTATTCCTATAGTAACCAACAGCTCAACTCGTTTTCTGGATACGTGTGCGATACTGCACCGCAGTGTTGGCGGAGCGAGGTCCAGTGGCCGCGGGCACGGGTGTCCTTTTAGATTCAAGGCCACGGTGTCCAGAACTTGGATACGTCTGATTAACAAAATGGATATGTAGATCATCGAAATACGTCAGCCCCTACTTTCAAAAGCAAAATGGAGCCGACTATAGTGTACAATTCTCGATTTCTACGTTGGTACAGAGCTAAATGCTAGTACGCGAAAACTGATCAACCATGAGTTCGATGAGCTCTTCGACAACATCACAATATAGTAAAATAGAAATCAAGACATTCACTAGCTTACTTTAAAAGTCCTGTTTACAAATAAAAAAACGCTCAGTCGGATGATGTACTTAGACTTGGCATATGCCATTACGTACTCTTTAGTAGTCGAGTGTGTTCCTACACATACCGCTTCTGGCATCTCAAGGTCAGGCAAAATGATACTACAGCTTTATTTGATATGATTAAGGTAAAGGTCGAGTTTCTCGGTGGGCTAGACGTCATATCCAATGGTATTCGTGAGCACAAAGTCACGCTTGATGGCGAAGAGGGTGATGTCCTCATGGGGGATTTGATCAAGCACGTCACGGCCACTATTGTGTGCGACCCGAAAGACATCCCAGTTTTCATTGAGGAAGACACTGTCCGCCCTGGGATATTGGTGCTAATCAACGATACGGATTGGGAGCTAGAGGGTATGGAAGATTATGTTGTTGAGGCAGGTGACGTTTTTACTTTCACGTCGACCTTGCATGGAGGTTAAAGAGAGTAAGGTCGATACCAAATTTCATAGATAAGTATTTAAGACCAATTTACTATAACTTGAGGGCCATGTGAGCTGATTACATCGGCACTATATGACACCCAAGGAGCCCCCGGCCAGCCCAATTTTCGGTGGGCACCAACAGCAACGTTTCTACGCTGGCCGCCCGGAGAATTTCAATAGATACACGAATGTCTTCTTTCTCCTTTACACGCTTGGCCACTGCTGTAAGATTGGCATGGTTTTGAATGTCTATGTTTTCATCAAATGTGATTATTTTATCTCCCACAAGAAGGCCTGCTTTTGCTGCGGGACCATTTGGATCGACGCCTTTCACGACGGCAAACACCTTCGAAATTCGGGAGTCCTCATTGCGGAAATTACCATTGTGGGGCTTTTCTAATTCGTCAGTGGATAATTTCTTGTTGCCACTCAACTGCTGTACCAAGTGAAGCTGAAGCTGACCCAAAATAGCGGAGTGGTCGTTTCTCAATCGTATAATTTTGGAGCGAATCAATCTCACTGTTACGACATCCACATCATTGCGGGGGAATCCGTCAATGACAAGCGGCAGGTCCATATCAAACTTATAGGTCACATTGAGGAGCGTGTACAAATGGTCCACACTAGTCTCTATCAGTTGTTTGACTTCCGCAAGCTGTGAATACGTCATTGACAGAAAATCACCGCTATATTCAGGGACATCAAGATTAAGAGATTTCATCTCTCCGGATAAGGATTCATTTTGTCTCACGTGGTTGGGGATCATTGTATGATGTACGTGTATTCCTTGATGCGCACCAAATCATGAGCTCCAGGGAGCAATGAGCATGCACCCTAGGAAACGACCTACGCGTAATCAAAACACCGCTGCAAGAATGAAAACGACTAGACGTCGTTCTTACACTATAAATTTTTGCGGCCTTATAAAAGGATCGGAAAAGTAATTTACATGCATAAAATTTATTTGTTGAACTGAGGGGTATACTCATGACCCAACTCTCATTGCACGAGTATTGCGGTACTAGTGTTGTCAGGATAGCTTGATTACAATGACTCAGAAAGAATGGACAGCTTCATGCATACTCATCTGAATATTCTTTTCAAATTACTTTCAGTTGTCGATCCGTTTCAATCATTTATATAATTTCGGAGCAAGGCAGGTGTTCCACCCCCGGATCATAGATCGTGCGAAGAAGCCTGTGTTCCAGACATCAGGCTATTCTGGGAACCCTCCCTGTCATTCAAATCTTTTTCAATTTGGTAGAGTCGATCCTTATATGATTCAAGGCACTTCGCTTCTGCTTGAGTAAATTTGTGATTGGCGACGAGAGTCTGGAAAGACTTCGGTAGGGATGCAGAGGTTTCAGTGACTACTGGCGTCATTATCAGATTGTTAAAAAAGTTGACCTGTTAAGAGAATTCTGCAAAATCAAGGTTCGAAGCAAAATGATTCTTGTTAAACTAGAAAGAGTTGAAGTCCGAAGAATCCCAAAATGAGGAACAAACGGAATTGGAGCGGCTTTTAAGAGGAAACAGAGCCTATTTTATACATGCATCGTTACAACTGCAAACCGCCCCGCAGCTTTCAATTTACGAGGTGTCTGATATTCTTCCTAAAAATCTCAATAAAATCAAATTTAAAGGTGTTTTTTTTTTTTGTTTTTCCCTTATGAAATACCTTGCAACTCTTCTCACATTATTGTTTGAATTTAATGTATGAACCGTTCATTCTTTGATTGGAGTCTTTTCACTTCAGAAAGCACGCCAAAAAAAGCCTCGTTTATTTCAGGGATCCTCGGGCGTATTTTACATTACGAGCCACCTCAAGCAGACAGGCCACACATTTCTTTGCAGCAGGATACGAGAAACTCTTAAGTGTCGCGCAACCCGCGTTCCTTTTTCGGCTTATACTCTTATTTTTCCAAGTGTGTTTCCGCGTCTTCCATTGATTTACGAGCTCTGGGCCCCGCGGGCACTTCTCTAGAAACGTCACACTAACATATGAAGGGAAGATGTTTTACCCAAGCAGTATATGCATTTTTGCGAATCTTCATGGACATACTCGTGTTCTCGCTGCAGTAAAGTATTATTGACAGGCTAACTTGTAAAGATTTGTTGTCATGACCAATCAATCATTTTGTTTCCTTGATTTTGGGCGCCAACATCGTCTGAAATCCAAATATCTCGTATAGTCAAATTCGTGCGAAACCCCCAATAAGCCGCAATGTTTGGAAGCTTAACCAGTGTCCGTGTGTCTGGGCGACAAACCACGGAAGTGACTCCGGCTTTATATAATAGCTCCGAATGCAGTACCTCTGCCCCAGTTCTAATTCCGTACGTTCTTCTATTCTTATCGACATCCGCAATTCATATTTCCTGTGATCTACAAAGCTTGGGGTAATCTTGTAGTCAAAATTTCCCTTCCTAGTTCTGAGTCAATATATATTTCACAATATTTACATTCAATTTTACCATGTGCCCACGTGGCGATTAAATCTTCATCATTTTTTTTTTGGTAGATTCGTCTGGTTAAAGAAGCAAAACATAAAATCAACAAAAATCATTTTCAACGTCTCTCATGGTCTCCAAATCCTTTCCAGGTTGTGAAGGCTTAAATTTTCTAAAATTTAATCAAACTCTTACTTCATTTTGGCATCTTGCCAGGGGTAACCAGGAAGTGATCGATATGAACACGCTGGAATCTTGATGCTGGTGCAACCTCAGTTCAGTACCCTTGTCTGTGTGTCTTGTATATAGTATGGACATCATTTCAACGAGGAAAAAATTCACGTTAGCAAGTTGATTATGAATAGTTAGAAATGTGTTTGAAGACCATTATTTGAAGCTTAACATCAATGCACCTTGAATGTGAAACCGGCTTAGGTGATTCGATCCTCAAGCATGAGGTCTCACGCAGAAATTTGGTGAGCGAGACTTTTGACAACTGATTATTATATTCTTGAGAAGAGATGAACAGCTCAAATAAACACATCGATCTTTTTATACTCACTGCATAAAACCATCACTTGCTATTTTCCACAAGTCTTTGTCGGCAATTGTTCGAAAATGCCGTGGACCCGTTCATTGCACTCATGCCTCGCTCATATCTGATAACAATCCTGCAAATAAAAACAAAGAAGATTTCTCGATCACACGGCTGTTCGCTCCCTTGGTTTTGATTTATCAAAGTTGTTTTCTTCGTAATATAGGGGCGGCTCAAAATCTGAGTCTGCTTGGGACTGTACGCTCAACCTTTTGAAAGGGAATACTGAATCATTTGTTTCTTTGCTCTCACACGCATCAGACGCAATATCACGTGATAAGACTCTAAAGGAAGCATCGAACTGACTAATTGAAATTAATGAAACTAGCACCCAGTCTCTTTACGATTCAAAATGATTTCGCTCACCCAAGACCATATTGATCATCTCAACAAGACACTTGTGAAGCTCTCAGCACCCGAAATATTGACTTGGGCAGCTATCACATTCCCTGGTTTGCATCAAACTACGGCTTTCGGCCTCACTGGCCTTGTCATCTTGGACATGATCTCCAAGACGAACCCAGTAGACTTGATTTTTATTGACACATTGCATCATTTTCCTCAAACGTATGACTTGGTTGAAAAGGTGAAGCTGAAATACAATCCTAACTTGCACGTGTTTAAACCACAGGGTGTGACAACTGATTTGGAATTCACTGAAAAACACGGCGACTCATTGTGGGAAACCAATGATAGTCTCTATGACTTTCTAGTTAAAGTTGAACCAGCTCAAAGAGCTTATGCCGAGTTGGGTGTTCAGGCTGTTCTTACAGGAAGAAGAAAATCGCAAGGCGGTGCTCGTGCTGCACTCCCAGTTATTGAGGTTGAAAAGTCTAGTGGCATCATCAAAATTAACCCTCTTTGGGATTGGGATTTTGGTCAAGTAAAGAAGTACATCGACGAGAACAACGTGCCGTATAATGAATTGCTAGATATGGGCTATAAGTCTATCGGGGACTGGCACTCAACGGAACCGGTTGCAGAAGGAGAAGATGAGAGATCGGGAAGGTGGAAAGGAAAAGCAAAAACAGAGTGCGGAATTCATCAAACCTCTCGCTTTGCTCAGTATATGGAAAAAGGTGTTCCCTCATAAAACGGAATTTTTATTGACCCCTCATATGTTTGGATGACCAATGCACATCTGATAGTCCTTATGAATTGCTAAGTATATTGATATTCATCAATTTTTGAAGTTCCATGTCTTCTCTTCAGTATTATCAACTTCCGTCTCCGGCTATTTGCCCGAGAACATATCGTCCCTCACCTGTTATCACTCTCCTGTGTATGAGATATCAGCTAAATTCCGCGTGCGGAATTCTTTATCAATTTGAATGATATAAAGCCAGCAATATATTCAACAGAATTGTGGGAGGCTTTTTTCTGTAGATCCAAAATGTTAATGAATGTGCTTTATAATGCTTATCTTCATTTACAAGAGAACCAGGGAGTATTTCTCTGTGCATTCCTATTGTTTTTCGGCTTTTATAAATTGGTGGTCTATCCATTCTATATTTCCGCATTGAAGGATATTCCAGGACCCTACTTGCACCGGGTTTCCCACATTCCTTCCCTCAATGCCCAGAGAAAATTCCAGTGGATTAAGAAGGTACATGACTTACATGAAAAATACGGCGAAGTTGTAATTCTCTCCCCCTCTGCTATAAGTTGCAATGGTGACCCGAAGTACATCAATGATATCTATGTGAAAAATATGCCGAAAACAAAATTTTATGAGAACTTCAAAAATCATGGAATGAAGGATAACATGTTTTCGGAACCTGAAAATGGAAAGCATCTCAGATACAAGAAAATGCTACAAGGCCTGTATCTGAAATCGGCTGTGTTCAATGCCAAAAACACAACAAGAACAAACATAGTTGAAAAGGTTGGACAGCTCGTTGACCAGGTTTATTTGTCTTCTGTATCAGGAAAGAGGCCAGATTTGGTGAACGCCGAGCTGAAGTTGAATGAACATGGCAAAGGCCACAAACTAGGCTCTGGAAATTGGTTCAACCCTCAGGTCAAGAAAAGCGGTCTTGGCATTGATGTATACTCTTTATTCGGATCCTTGGCTATGGATGTTGTATCTGCCTTTGAGTTGGGTATTTCGAACGGTACTTGCCTTTTGAAAACCCCAGAGCAAAGACTGATTTTAGTTCCTCACAGGATGACAGCGGGGATGGTTTTCTGGACAACTTTGATGCCCCGGTTTTGGGATTGGGCTGCGGGGCCCACAATTAGAGCAGCCTCCAAGAAGATTGAAGCCTGGCAATTGGAATTGTACAGAGTTGCCGAAGAAAATGTTCCCGAAAAAAGAAGGGACCAGAACCTAAGCACCCTTGAAACTTTAAAAAAGAACGGTTTCTATGGGACAAACGCGTACTCTTTTCTTTCGGATAACATTTTCGCTGGTCATGAGACTACTGCAATCCAGTTGACATATATGTGCTACGAATTGTCTAGACCACTTCATCTTGAAAAGCAAGCTAAACTCAGATCAGAAATCAGAGAAGCCTTTGGAGAGCCTGGATCCTTGGAAAGCTGCATTGACAGCTTGGAAGAAGTCGACAAGCTACCTTACTTGGAAGCGTTAATCCAGGAGAACTCTAGGGTTCATACCTCGATCCCTGGTGCCGAACCTAGACGTACAAACACGCCTTACGAAGTTGCAGTTGACGGGAAAAGTGTCACACTTCCAGTGGGTACAGGCATCTCATGTCAGCCTTATCTGATGCACAGAGTGTCGAAGGTTTTTCCGAATCCAGAGGCATGGATTCCTGAGAGGTGGTTGCAAAATAGCAATGAATCTCTCGAAGACTATGCTCAACGATTGAAGGAAATGCAACGATACATGATGCCATTTGGTAAAGGAATACGCATGTGTCTTGGTATGAATCTTGCCTTAATAGAGATGAAAATGGCATTGGCAAATCTTTATTGGAGATATGAGCTGACTTTGTGCTCCGACTGGTGCCAAGTTACTCCCGCTGAAGAAAGCGGCCACATCAGTATGGGCAAGGAGTTTGCAGGATCTAACCGCGACGAAAGCATGATGACCATGGAAGATTCTTATACAACACGGCCTCACTATGATGAGTGCTGGTTGGCGTGGAGAAGTGTTTGAAGTGGAGGGTCACATATTCAGACTGAATGAGTGACAATTTTCTGGATAACCGAGACCCTGTTGAATTTCTCTTCTGGAAACTCGTGCGATATATTCATGCAGGTGTATGGAACCGGAGTCATCAAAGTACACAGGCAGCAATTATCGGGAGACAGGCATTGCCTTTATATATCAAAAAAAGTCTCGAATACATATATATCACAAACTCCTCGGGATTATATATTATTCGTGAGTAGTCGCTTTCGGATTTCAAAGTTTGCAAACATTTATCTCCGGCACGATCGGCTATCAAATCTCCTGTTTGTAAGAGATTTTGCATGCACTGATAGCGGATCACGCAACGCTTCTACCACTCAGTTCTCAACTAAAACATGCTTCCTTTTGCTATTCCATATCCCCCTGAGCAATCCAATGGTTTTTGGGGAGCCCCTACTTCCACAATAGATTGGTGCGAAGAAAACTATGTCGTCTCACCATACGTTGCTGAGGCTCTCAATACTGTGACAAATGCAGGGTTCATCTTCTTTGCGGGTTTTGCCATTGTACATGCCTGGAAAAACAAATTGGAAATGAGGTTCCTTATTTCTGCTTGTGGCTTTTTGCTAGTAGGCGTCGGATCTTGGCTCTTTCACATGACACTCAGATATGAGTATCAACTTTTGGACGAGTTGCCTATGATATATGCCACTTGTATTCCGTTCTGGAGCGTTTTTTCTGAACTTAGAGATGGAAAAGGATCTCTTTATGTTGGTGTATCAACATTCGTCGCTGCTAATTTGCTAACGTGGATATATTTGAAGTTCAAAGACCCAACAATCCACCAGGCTGCCTACGGGCTAATGAATGCCGCAATTGTTTTTAGGTCGTATCGTTTGACAAGAGATCATGTTCCCAATAGAGATTCCGCTGCTATATTGAATCGAACCATGTTCACAGGAGTGCTGATATTCGGTTTAGGGTATATTCTTTGGAACATGGACATACATCTCTGTGAATATGCAAGAGCTGCCAGACGTGAGGTAGGAATGCCATATGGGTTTTTGTTGGAGGGTCATGGTTGGTGGCATCTTCTTACAGGAACCGGAGTGTACTTCTACCTAGTCTACGAGGAATATTTGAGATGTTGGTTGACCGGAACTCAAAGATTTTATCTGCTTGAACGAAAATGCTTCTTGCCCGTGGTTGTCCTTAAAAATCCGACAGGATTGAATGCTTTCAAGTCTGCAAGATACAAAAAAGAAATATGAAAAGGAGAGGTTTGAGCTGATACTACGATTCAGACTAGACGAGAATTGGTAATTTCGACATTCGATCTAACAAAACCAGTATATACGCCAATTCAGCGAAAATATCACCATCAGATAACTCACAACATCGTAAGTATTTCTGCGATGAACTTTTCATCTTTGCTGTCTTTGTGTTGAGTATCAATCAATTGTCTAAGTTTTTGAATTGCCTCCTCGGAAGATATGCTGCAATGCTGATTGGAATCGACACAGTGTGCTCGCCACTCAGTTAGAATTTTCTTGAGTTTCTCGAGGCCCTTTGCAATTTCTTCGTTGTTGCATTTTGTTCTCTTGCTACTCACGTAAGGATCCGTGTCTGATCCAACGCTGATGTTTTGTAACTCAGACGCTTTTCTTTTAGCCATGTTTATGATCTTGGATGGAAACTTGACAAGCTCTGCAACGTGGATTCCAAAAGATTTGTCTGAAATTCCTGGTTCAACCTTGAACATCAATGTGATGTCATCATCCTCTGGATCTCCCTGGTCATCTTTCTCAATGTGTGCCACGACGTGCAAATTTTGAACTTTCCCCTTATGTTTTTCGGAAAGCTTTGTGAGCTCATGAAAGTGGGTGGCAAATAGGGTGAAGCAATTCTTTTCCGTTATAAGATGTTCACTAATTGACCATGCCAACCCAAACCCATCATATGTGCTCGTTCCTCTTCCTAATTCATCAATAATAATCAAAGAGTTGTGCGTTGCAGAAGCTAATATCGAAGACGTCTCAAGCATTTCGATCATGAAAGTTGACAATCCCTTTAGTTGTGAGTCACCTGCTCCGACACGAGACAAAATTGCGTCGAATATTGGAAGCTCTGGTTCTTCATTTTCATCCAGCACCGGCACATAAGAACCCACTTGGTTCATGAGAGAGATCACACCAATTTGCCTGATATAGGTAGACTTTCCACCCATATTGGGGCCTGTTATTATAACAAATGGGCTTCCATCAGTATTCGCCAATGAAACATCATTCGGTATGAAATTAACTTCATCTTGAACCTCGAGAACGGGGTGACGAGCTTCTTTGAGTCTAATTCGCCTGTTCTCAAAGTCCTTTGATTTCACGGAGTCGGCCATCCTATGCAACTTTGGTTTCACCAAAGGGGTTGGTGCAAATATTGCAACATTTGCAAACGAAGATATGACGTCAAGGCTGCTGAGTGCCAAAGATAATTTCAAAAACACAGTCTGATATGTTAATGTGATCGAGAGAATCTCCTTTATCAATTCTTTTTGTTTGCTATTGTACTCATTGGAAAAGTCGGTGTAGTTCTGCGAAAGCGTTCTTAGTTTCTTGGTTGTGAAGAACACACCCGCCTTCACAGTCTGCAATTCAATATATCTATCGCCAGTATTCCTGAGAACGTTGGAGTCGATTCTTGTGACCCTAAAACACCAACCATGTTGCTGATGTTTTTCCAACTTCAATCTCTTTTCCATGTCGATATTCAAATCGTCAGCAACTTCCTCGTGGACGATCTTGATCTTACTGGAGGTTGATTGTAAGTTCTCATTAATCGTGATAAGAGACTCATCAAACTCTGGTTTAATGTTGAAATCTGTGTGTAGAAAAGCGTGTGCGGAAAATGACTCTAAAGGCGTTAAGTCGATAGTGGTCTCCACGAGCTCCTGGAATTTGAGCAAGGACTCGTGATGTGCCAGAATTGGCACATGCCAATTTTTCTGGACCAACAGCTTGACATTTTCATTCTCGCAATCCTCAACAGACATTTGAAGCATTTTGAGAAGTTCAGGAATAATCCTGACAAGTTGGTAAAGTCTAACAACATCTTCCATTTTTTTGTTTTCGGAAGATGAGGGTCTTTTTATGCCTAAGGCCACCTTCTTTATGAGCCGTTTGATATCTGGAACTTGCGAGAGCCATTCTTGAGACACAAAGACTCTCAAGCTTGTGTCCGCAATAAAATGTCCGACTAACGAGTGTCTCTCTGAAATTTGCTCCAAATCTGTGAGCGGTTGTTTGAGCCATTGTGAAAGCAACCTCGTCCCCGCAGAAGTCTTACACTTGTTCAAAAGACCAAAAATCGATGTAATGGACTTGCTTTTCGCACCAACCATTTCAGTTGCCTGCAGTGTCGGGAAGATGTTCAAAGCTTTCATTGTAGAGGAGTCTATCTTCATGTACTCTGAAACCAGGTATTTTCCAATTGTGAATGAAGTTGTGTCATCACCCAACAAGTTGAGATAATGAATAAGCGAGCTGCAACAGGAGAGCGAGAGGGAATCCTCTGTGGAGCTAATGCCTTTTGACGCCAAAATAAGCTCGACATTATTATTCACATCAGACTCGACATTTTCTGAGACCACAATCTTGGACAAGTCCTGATCGATGTCTTTTGTTGAAAAATATGTTTGCTTGACCGAGCCAATGACCAAGCCACCAACTTTATTGAGAACCTGGAACAACTTTATGACATCGGGAGTGGACTGGTCTTCAGGGTTGTAAGATGATGGGAGAATGACTTCTTTCACATTTACCTGCAAAAGCAACAGTTCAAGATTGGAAAACAAATCGTTGTCCTCGAACTCGGAGAGCTGTATCGATTTATTTGACAAGTCGACTAAGCTCACACCAACCTTTTTAGATGATGCGTTCGATACAAACTTTACACTCGCAACCATCGGCACAGACCCGTCATTCAACATAGCTTCCAAATCGACCCCATACTCCTGTGCCAACCCCTCCAAGTTTCCGGGGGTGGCGGTGAGAATGAGAGCAAACATTTTGTTGTAGATTTCGACTTTATAGGAGTTCGCCACTAAGCAAAATCTCAAAACCGATGAAAACACTTGCGGTGAAAACGTCACATAGTTCACAGAGTTGGAAGTTTTGATCACCAGCAGAGTTTTGTAGATAGCCTCCGCTATCAAGATCGCGTCCTCTCCAAGAACAGAAAAATAATCTTTGTGGTCAATAATTCGAACAATGGACGCGTTTTCCTTGGGAACCAAGCTGTTAAACTTTCTGTAAAACAGCCGCTCATCCACAGTGTCGGAGAATTTCAAGTCGGGGCGAGTGCTTGACATTTGATAAAGAGGATGTGATGGTGTCAAAGGTGGACGCGACTTGGGTGCGTTCTTAGAGTAAGATCGCGTGGGACGTGTAAAACCGTGCGAGCCAGATCGAGAAAAATATAATGGAATTTTTCCCTCAGTACGTTTCCATTTCCAAAAATCACCGGCGTCAGGAAAAGTATTTATTTCGGCTTTCTTCTGTAAGATTGTCATATGGAAGCTTAATTTTTTGAAATTTTGTAGTGATAGATCAAACGCTACAAATTGTTAAATTTTAATTTTTTGTCGAAAAGTGGTTAAAACTCCATTTCATACAAAAATGGAGCACACAATTAATATTCCAGCCACTCTTGAATTAAAAGGGCAAAAATCTAAAAAGCAAACAAACAGAATTTGAATAATCTTGACATAAAAAGAATGAGCCACTTATTTGATTCACATAGCCATATGCTTCTTGACTTTGCTTTGTGTGCTTATGGTTAACAATGATGAGTCCTTAAATTATTGAACCAAATTCTCGCAATTCTAATTAGAAGCGTCAACACTCAGTTCTCAAAATCCGTTCGAAAGATGTCCAGTTCCACTCATCAGTAGGACTGAGATGGTATCACCAGCAAATGAAAGTGAAAACAAAAAAAGAAAAAAAAAAACACTCATCTTGGAACACAGTTGAATATCTCTGATGAATGGTCGCATTATGAGCTTTACACGCACAAAAAAATTCTATTCTAGACAAGCAGGAGGAAGTGAGTTGAGATCATAATCAGAGCATCTCCACACTATGTTCTATGAATTATTTGCTATAGCACGTATACAAGACCCAGTTCTTGTTAACAAGGAGGCAGTCAAGATCGCCTCGACTGTTGGGAAATTGATATTAAACAACAGAGGAGTCATTAGACTGATCACCAGCTTAGGTCCAAAGCCGCTCCCAAAAATCATTTCTAAGGACCAAGAAAGACATTTCCAAGGATACCACTTTATAATGGCGTTTGACTCTTCCTCAGCAGTACAACAAGAGCTATTAAGAACTTTGCGCAGAGATCCTAGAATCTTGAGGTCCAACATCATCAAGAACGACATGAACAAAAAGTTGGATGTCGGCACAACATTTGAGAGAGCTTTCTCGAGCGTCTCGGATTAACCTTTATGGAGAATTTGCTACATAAAAGCACCTAAATCAGATTTGTACATAATAAAATATATGATGATAACCCATGGGTTCCGCATGGAGATATGGTTGTAAAACTCTTTTACAAAGTGCACGTGAAGATCAAGCACACAAGCTGATAGGTGAAAAAAGTTGTTTTAATGACTATGGCTGCTATGTGAATTGGTCGATTAAAGACAGTCAGGACCGCCGACCAAAGGCCTGACTGGGAATACTTGTAAAACTAAGTTTTGTGAGACGGATCAGGTTAGATGTCAAGTCATCGCAGTAGGCTCAGTGACATGCTTTATATGCTGGCCTGACTTTTTGACATCAAGATGCTATTTTTCGCAGGCGCAGAAGCCGTGGACAGCATGTCATTGACGGACGTGTTGGATGTTGTCACACTGATCTGGACTTCGTCATCACGTTTATCAGTATCAAAAACAGATCCTGCAATACTATGATCAGTATCCACCTCCAGAACATCTTGTACGTCAACGCGATTATTCACAGCCAGTTCCAGGGGAGAGATGGAACTTGTTCTTGATAAGGGTCTTCTTGAAGGGATGTCGTGCGGAAGGCCTAAAGTATTCATTTCAATACCCTCACTCACGCTGCCACTAAACCGTGGATGATTGAAAAAATCTAGATTTTCGTCAGCCTCCAAATCATTATGCAACGGAAGGAAAGAGTTCAATGGGTCCCTCTCGTTCAAGTCAGGAAGCTTGAGCTCAGAGTACGACCAACGACAGTACTTCAAGGGATCAATGACAGGTAATTTAGCACACTTCACGTAAGTAAAAAACATTAGTGAAAGGGCTGCGCCAAAGATAAGATCAATGAAATAATGATGGGTCAAGTACATTGTGCTCCACCACAACAAAGCTGCGTAAGACCACCATAATGGGGTGAATCTAGGAAACAACCAGCACAAAAACAACACATCCATTACAGCACACCCCGAATGAAGCGAAGGAAATGCTCCAAAAACTAGAGGCGAATTTTGAAAAGTCGTGGTATACATATCCACACCAAACAACTCATCGATTCTGCCCAAGCCACCAGGGGAACCGTTCATTGCATAATTTGCAGGCTCGAGTCCGTGTATATTCTTGTACCAAGGTGCAGCAGCTGGAAAGAGTAACTGGATAAAGACTCCTGTCAAGTTCATGTATCCGAATGCAAAACCAAAGGAGTTCAACGACGTAGGTGGCGCGAAGAGGAAAATAAAAAGGGCAACGATGAAGGGTGACGCAAAATGTATAATTCCGTAAGGGAGCCATGCCAAGACATCCAAGACAGAATTGTTGGTTTCTGCTAAGACATTTGACAAGTTATCACCATATAGAATTGTCTCCATCGCCGGGAGAAATTTCACCGAGATGGCCGGCTTCCATGAGTGAGGAATCTTCGACGCTGAAAAAAAGAGTGCTAGCCATGTGAAGATGGGCAAAGCATGGAGGAAGAACTGCGATGTCAAGGGTATCAAGAAGCAAGTGGAGAATGCTGCGAGGATAGGGAGCTTGATCAAAAACGATGCCGGGAATATAATGAAAACAAAGAAAATAACCGAGGACAAAAACCCATAGTGGGCAATCTCGGTGACTTTCCACTGCTTCTGCCGGAATTTGTCTAGCGTTTTGCGGATGTCCGTGTCGAAGTTGAGATCAGCCAATGTATTGCCGGGCTCCTGTTCACTGAGAAAATGATAGTGGAAGAGATGGAACGCCTTTTGGACAGGCTTCAACCGAAGAACCTGAGACATGGTTTTCAAGTGTTGTTTTCAGCTGCGGCTCGAGCAAGAATTTTGGAATTTGGCCGTGTTTTGAAGCACGTATAGTTAAGTGTAGCCTTGAATTTTTTTTGTTCGGCAGTTTAGGTGCAGAGAATAGCAGCGCTCAAACAGAGTGGTAACAAAAATGCGCTCTGGTGGAACAGAGAAAAAAAGGACTGGTTTCGCAACCTGCGGTTTGTGCGCCTCGAGACTTATTGCAGGCCCCTCGGTTGAGGCGGGCCGCTTAACTAGAATGGGTAAATTCTGTGAGTCCTGAAGCTTTGCGTAAACAGCCGACAGAAGTTCGAGTGGAGAATATACTTTGCAAGTTCAGACTGTAATGCTGCGTATGATCTGCGTGAAAAGGTGAGGATCTGTGGAAAGAAATTATTGTCACTCATGATAGCCTTCAAAGCGAATCTTCGTGGCAACCCCATTGATTAACAGCTTTTAATCAGAAAGAAGAACTTCAAGAACAGTCATTAAAATCGACAGGATAGAAAAAGGAATCAACAGGCTTTTTTAAAGAAAAATCACACTGTGTATTTTTCTGGAAAAAACTCATGTGATTAACTACAGTTAAAAGATCAAGTAAAGCTTAGTCACGCGCTCTTGTTATAATCCATTGAACTATAGAACATCAGGGCAGGAATTGACTTCAGATTTTACCGCGACCTTCATGCGGAGAAGATATCAGATTGAACTTTGATCTCGCCGTTTAAAGTCATACTTTGTGCTGCAATCCACTTGTCTCCTTTGTTCAACTTGACAAAGTCAGCAACGTGCCCAGGCTCCACACAAAGCATGTTCAAGTACCCAGATTTGGGCTCAAAGTCACCCATTCCTTCAGATTTCTTGATCCAAGGGTTCCAAACGACTGCATCAGGTAAGTTTTTTCTAGAGACTGTCACCACGACGTTGCCCTTATCAATGAGCTGCACATCTCTGTCACCATCAATATTCTTATAGATACGGTCAAACTCCTCATGAAAACTGAGCATGGGAGCCTTCTCTTTGTATGTCAAGGCTAATAATTGATCGTAGCATTCGGTATCGATCAAGTTGGTAGCCAAGGTGTCCGTCACATCGTCAACATTGTAATAAGTATGGAAAAGCCAGTTGAACTCAAACGGCTCTTTGCCAGAATTTTCCACCTCGATCTCCGTGGTAAGATTGTTCTCGGCCAAAGTCACAGTCAATACAAGGGTGAAATCGTAAGTGCCTGTTCCCCAGAGCTTGTACAACTCTGGTGAGACGTTTTCTGGGCCCAAACCAAATTGAACAGAGACCGGGTTTTCGGTCACTTGACCCAAGAATTCCCATTCAGAGTTACGTGCGAAGCCATGCTGTGGTAATGAGGCTGTTGGGTGGCTTGAATCTTTGGATTTACCAAAGACAGGAAAAACAAGAGGAATTCCTCCTCTGACAGCTTTGGATCCATCCAACTTGGCTGCATCTGAAAGCCACAATCTCTCCTTTTTATCAGAAATCCACGAAACGACAGTGGCACCGAACTTCAAGATCTCGACCTTGGTATCAGAATTTCCTGGATATGTCAAAATCACTTTATCATCTGTTTGGTGTACTGGCATTTTTATGTGGTTTATAGCGCTCATCAGTATGTCTTGATTAGATAAGTCGCTAAAAGTCGAAGCAGGATGCAGTCCTCGCAATGAACTAACTCAATGAAACTAGTGTTAAGTTTATATATACCAATATACAATCTTGTGATAGATGTGATATTTTGGCTTTTGAATGGAAAAGTCCAATCTGGAGACTTACTGCTATTTGGTCAATAATATGCTCGTGGCTTCGCCGTGTGTTCGATTAGGTTTGTCGCCGTCTCAATAGATTTTTTAATAACTTCTTCTGCTTTACATCTGTTCTCTCTATTAATCACTCGAGTTCGAGATTCAGCCTGTTATAGTCTCCACTGCTCTACAGCTTCCGAATTTTGCACTGTTTTTGGTCGTGATACTTTGATATCTATGTACTTATGAAAATCGGCTTTTGAATTTCTGGAATCTGTTTGAGCTTCTTTGGCTGGCCAGCAGCGAGGCGTTACTCATGGCTGAGTTTAGGGAATTCTGAGAACCAAAAGTTTTCTGACTGGAGGATATTGTTGGTTTGCTGTACAACGAGAATGGTTTTGGAATAGTCACATTTGACTTCGTTCCACGAGACTGAAATTGTGACGAGCTTGGTGTCGCATGGCCACTAGAAGTCATAAAATTACGACTCGAGGGTCTCGAAGAGCTTTCGCACAGCATACTAGTATCGCGTAGCCTGTCCGGGGCAAGATTAGAATGAGACGGCAGTTTCTGTCCCTTCAGTAAGCTGGAAAATGTGCCACTGCATATTTGGGAGGGAACATAAGAGTCTTTTGGGGTATTTTTAAAGCTGGGTATTGATTTTTTTTTTTGCAAATTTGAGACAGAAGTCTTTTTATCTAGGCTTGGAATGGAGGGTTTCTTCTGTAGGCTTGGAATGAAGGGTTTCTTTTGTAGGCTTGGAATGGAGGGTTTTTTTTGCAAGTTGCCAGCAGATGGCTTTTTTTGAAGAGAGTTCACAGAGGAGCTAGCTTGTAGACCATTGACTGAATAATGTCTGTTCAAACCATCGACAGATGGCTTTTTCTGCAAGTCAAAGCCAAAACGGGTTCTCTGAAGCTCACTACTCGAGGTTTTCCTTGAGAGAGATGGAATCCCACCCTCAGGGGGTTTCACTCCAGCCATTTGTAATGACAGCTGTCGTATCCGGACAGGGCCTTCAGGTTTTGCAAAGATTGTATCGTTCAGCAAAAGCCCGTGCAAGTTCATCGATCCTTTGGAGGGTGAAATCCCGGGCGTTTTGATTGGCGAAGACAACAATCGGGTAGACGAAATTGTTGGAGAGACCAGGGCGCTTTTGCTTGGATTTGAGGCTGCGAGGGGAACGTTAAGTTTTAGTGGCTGAAGACGTGCGGAAAATACATCATTTGATAGGTTTCGGGGGTTAGGCCTTGATGGATTAGCGATAGCATCGCCATTTGGAGCGCCTGCTTTTATATGGGTCTTACGCCGAGTAGGCGAGGGATCTTCTTGAGACGCCAGGAAAATGTCCTCAGGCCCATTGAGAGTTCTTCTTTTTTTCGTGGCACTTGACGAGATGTCTTGTGTGGTCGGATCAGATTGACGTGCGGCTGCATAATGCGACGTAATGCTATCCATCTTTGAAAAGAGAGGTTTGTGGATACCTGAATATCGCTTGCGGTTGACCAGCATGGGCTTACTAGTGGATGAGCCCACAGTCACATTTGAGGAAATTTCTTGAGCCCGGGTATCTAGTTCTCTAAGAACTGCATTGCTCAATGTCTGAGAGTATCCCTTTTCCACCATGCTCTCGTTTATGGGATCACAGTCTATTGGAAAGTCGCTCATACTGGGGTACCTTATTGGCGAAGTCAGCATGGGACTATGTATCGTCAAATTACGTATCTTCTTCATTGGCGTGTTGAGCGCCGAACCAGAATAGTCGTCCATTACTAATTCTGATATCAAGCCTGGATTTTTCTGCCTCTTTGAGATCACAATGGAGGCGGAAGTCTAGATAATGGTCCAAGATTTATGTTGCTTTGACTTTTGAGGTTTCCAAGGGTACCCGAGCCAGCAGTATAAAGGGGAGAGCGCGGGATATACGTGTCAGAATGTTTGTAAGATTTCTTTGCAGAGAAAAGCCTTCCTGCAATATAAATAAGGGGTTCGATGATGTAAGATGGGAAATCAGCTGGGTGATTTGACGTAGAAACTTTGATACTGAAGTATGAGCCTCACTGTTGGTATCTCAGCTCTTCGGAAAGATGCACTGTTTTGTTTACCTCATTCCAAATGCGGCAACGGCGCGCAGGATGCAATCATGCAAGCGAATGTAAAAATCTAGAGGGACAACCTGATCTCATCATTCTTTTTATTTGGGGTCTCAAAACAAAGGGCTCACACATCAAAGATTGGAAGAGACCTGCGAAAGACTCAATCCGAGACCAGTGGCAAAATTCCTCGTCAGTTTGCAAAGTGCATGAAATGGGCTGTCAAGTAAACGTGTCAGGGATTTCAGAAAACTATGTCTCACGCACACGTGAAAAATTAGCACCAAATTCTTGATCCACACTAAAGGCCGTGCTATTTGGAGCACATATGAGCAATATTCATTTGAACTTTTACTTGCAAACCTGTTTGCTAGATTTACCTGCCGCTTAAGTATCATGCTTTCTTGGAATTTGATGAGAGATTGTAACGAAAAAATTACTGATTTAGATGTGACTCGTTTCTGTTTCCTTATATTTTGTGTGAACATTTACGCTAAGATATATCAACTTTCGCACCCAGACTGACGGGAGCCTTATGTTTTGGTGTCTTGAGTTACCATCTGGATTCTGAAATGGATACCAGCGAGAAGTGATCGCTTTGTGTGATTCTGTTTCTAAAATAAAAAAAGAAGGGGCATACTGGGAATTGAACCCAGGGCCTCTCGCATATTTGCAAAGCTCTCAGGTATCTGCGAACTCAACCCAAAGCGAGAATCATACCACTAGACCACACGCCCGTTTCATGTTCTTCTGGAATTCTTAAATCATTATTAAGAAGCAAAGGCCGAAATTCCTCTCTTTTATGACGCGCTGGACTTTTTTTTGTAGTATAGATTGCCAAACCAAAAAATTTAGGAAAACAGGAGCAATAATAAAGTTCGCGAGTTTTAACAATGCCGAGCGACGCAGCAGATTTTCAATGCCATCTTTGCACAGAACAAATCCACAACAACGGAGACGCCACCGACGCTTTCCTAAGCCATATCTACAACAACTGCGAAACATCCAAATACTGGTGGCAAGAGCTAAAATTTACCAAGCCCATGAGCTTGAACTCAATGTTGGCCCCAGCCGACAACTCATTGGAGAACTTAACAAAATTAAATTGGTTCGTCACCACGATCTTCAAGGTCTACACCAGAAGGCGTGGCGAGTCGCAGGAAGTGGGATCCTTAAGTCCGCTACAACCAGCTGAGTTGAAGCGACTACTACAGGAGACCTATCCTAGGAGCCGATGACGTAATATCCAATACGTAAACAGATACGTGCCATGAGGACTGTCCAGGCCGTGACTAACGGAAGGGGACGGGCCGAGCTAAGACACTTGGTACGTAGCTGGGAGCTGTTTAAAGGTTTTTTATATATATTCGTTATATAGTCTTGCCCCTTTAATCAGATGAATCTACCAAAAAAAAAAAAAAAACAGAGAAGATTAGCATTGCCCTTGCATAATTGCTTCTTGAAATAAACATCATAATATAGGGTGCCACTGGAGAGATGTATGACCCCATCACTAACGAAAAACTTTAGAGAAAACGTATATTAGATCGTGGCATAGGGTAAGGTGAGAAGGCGTGAGCCTCAATTCACGAGATCTCCCAAAGAGGATGTGACTCTCATAAAGACTTTTGCCCATAACCGATGTAAACCACCTGGATAAAATTAATTAAATATCATCGTCCCCTAAGATATGATCACCTCAGGCCCGTGATCATAGTACATTCAAAAAGATGACACGCTAAACAAAGAGATTTTTCATATTCTGTAAAAGAGACACGAAGGGGATTTATAAAATCCAAAAAAGGGTTTCCTCATCATATCAGATAGATCTACCAAAAATACAGCAAATCAAAACAAAAAGAAGACCATGAGTTTTGCTCTCCGAGCAAGCAAAGACAAGAGACTATTCTAACTGCAAGTCTTGGGAGGCTTCAGGAACTCTGCCTGGGCCTGGAAATTAAAATGCTGGCGAATATTTGGGGATACGCTATTCAAGAAAGAATTTATATAGAAAAATAGGTTTTTAGCCATAAATCTATTAATTCATAGATCTTATTTACTTGCGCAAGACAAGACAGGTATTACTTACAGGACTAAAGGACAATTATGTCCCAGAGCAACCCCAAGAAACGAATGATGAGCCATCTCCACCATAGGCGTGATGTCCTCATATTATTAGCTCAAGATAATTGGCAGTAGGTGCCAATGAATCTCACGGACTCTCTCTATTTGAGAATCGATGTAACCTTAACTGGCTTGTTCGAGGGATGTCGTATTTTTAGACGGACGGAATTTTTGGAAATGAATTTAAAAAAACCTTAGAGGTTTGAATACTTACTTTTGCCTCGCATAAACTTTTGGTATCTAATAACAGTGGACATGGACAAGAGTCCAGGCGGTGAACGTCATTTGTGCCTGAGACGTTTTGAGCGAATCACGTCTTTTGGGAGGCTTCTGTGACCGCGAATGTGTATTTGGTGGCCTGAATTTTTGTTGGGATTTCGCCATTAATTGTCGTTGTACACCTACCAGAAGTAATAAATAATATCTTGTTTCTTTTCAAAAAGCATTTCAATTTGTTTCTTAGAAATACTCTTGGACTCAGCTTGTTTTCTGTCCGTTAGATTCATTTTGTTTGGGGAAAAACTACAAAGCACTGAATAAATCTTCAAGAAGCTCCTAAATGCTACCCAATATCGAAATGCGTTCTGGCACTCGTCTGATGAAAGGAACAAAACCTCTTAACAGCTCCCAGATACGTACTTAGTGTTGAAACTCGGTTCTTCCCCTGGACTGTCCTTTTGGCATGGTACTCAAAAAACATATGAGATACTTATATCTTCCTGGGTTTGATAATGTCGTTATTTTAAATCACATATACCATATTTGATTCACCGCAGCAAATTCTTTTACGCACGTCTATTTCGTAAAGCATTCTGCTGGGTTGCTGGCGAAGTCTTTTCTATACGTCACAGTCGCAATCTCATGAGCAGTGACATTTCGCCTCGAGAGCCTACTTCCAAACATGGGTACCTTCAACTAGAGATGAGCAGTTGTACGCCGATGAAGATACCCTCACGAAAATCACAGAAGTCATTTTTTTGGCAATCACGAGTACACTTCAAAGTGAATCTTTTGTCATAGATTCCTACAACAAGCAAAAACATATGTCTTGAAGGATACTGCTGCCCGGGGACAGGGGCGAAAACTATGAAAAATGTTTACATAAAACCTTAACACACTTCCAGATGTGTACGAAGCACCCTTTTTCGGATGCGGGAAGTCCTCACCCAAAGCACCTAATGGAAAAAGATAATAAATGCATGACAAGTTGGAAGCGTTTTATCAGAAGATACTTGAGCAGACTTCA